AAGTGAAATTTGTAACAAAATGTAATAACAAAAGACAAAAGTGCTGAAAAATAAGACTCCAACAAAGCTACAAGATTTTGTGTAACGAAGACTATAATGATTTTTTTTTCCAGTCTCATGATGAAATAAATTATACGAGTGAAATAAATACTGAGCATCGGTTATTGTTGCTCCACGAGTGACGCCGATTAGCATATTTTCAGCATTGTCATCGTTTGATATTATTTAACATTGTCTATAGTCCACATAAATTTCAAATAAATAAATTATTAAAAAGAATTTCAATTATTTTTATTGACGAACAAACGATCATTTGAAATGTGAGAACTCAAATCGTACACCCATTACCCCAATGCATAAGCAAATTCAGAAATTTTCGCAGACTCAAATCAACTGCAAAAATTGTTTCGTGGTATGGGAGTAAGGGTCCTGGCAAAGCGTTCTTTGGAGTCCTAGAAGCATAAAAAAATACGTGATTACGAAAATTTGTGATAGTTTTTTTCTATATTTGTGTACGCCATATACGAAATAATGTCGTTTTAGCATCGAAAATCACGTAAAAAGTTGTTGACCCCTGATAATTTTTTGAAGTCCACATAACTTTAAAGCTACAGAAAACCAAAAATCGATTTTTCTAGTGGGAACTTTTATTTTACTTTTTATTGCAGATTTGAAAAAGGCGAAAAATTTTAATGTTGAAATATGTATTTTACTTTTTCGATGTGATGTCATGGGGTATATAAAAATGAGACCCTTTGTAACGTTGAACTGCTGTGAAAATATCATTAACCCGTTTCGGGCCAAACGGACGAAATTTAAGTTATTTTTTCATTCGCTGTAAACTATGTGAAAAAATTATGTGAGAAATGTCAGAATAGTCATAACCGACGTAAAGTTTTATGAACTTTTCGAATCCGGCGTCAGAATTGTCAAAAAAGTTGATGTGTAAAAGTTATGAATAATTAAACAATAAAAAACACGATTTTTGTTGAAAAAAAATTTGATTTGATCCGAATTTTCGAGTCGAAACAGACTTGCTCTATAGGTCTAACACGTTTTTTTTTACGTCCATGGGGTGTAGACTTAAAAGTCCAATAGTTACGATCTCGAAATTTAACATGGCGGACATGAAAATGGCGCTTCGTAGAAAAAAACCGTATATGAACTAATCAATTTTTTTATGTCAACCAAGCGCCTAGGAAAAAAACTTTATAGAGAAAATGTTGAATTTCGATATCGTAACTATTGGACTTTTAAGTCTACACCCCATGGACGTAAAAAAAAACGTGTTAGACCTATAGAGCAAGTCTGTTTCGACTCGAAAATTCGGATCAAATCAAATTTTTTTTCAACAAAAATCGTGTTTTTTATTGTTTAATTATTCATAACTTTTACACATCAACTTTTTGACAATTCTGACGCCGGATTCGAAAAGTTCATAAAACTTTACGTCGGTTATGACTATTCTGATATTTCTTACATAATTTTTTCACATAGTTTACAGCGAATGAAAAAATAACTAAAATTTCGTCCGTTTGGCCCAAAACGGGTTAAGTGGAAGATTGCATCGATACACCGTCTTGGGCATACGAAGCTGGACCGACGTAGTTCGGAACCATAGATAATACAGAGGGTCGGTATGCATTGCAGATGGACACTAATGTCTTGACCAAAATCGATAAGGCGCCATGCGAGCAATAGGCGTTAGATTGGCGAAATTTAATCAGATCAGAATACGGATCTATTGACTCGATATAAAATGAAGAGTTATCTTTAAGTACTCAGTTTCATCCCTCGGAGTAATTGTCGTCAAGTTAAAATTTCAAATTGTTTCGAGCACAGTAAGAACAATGTATAAACAGATGAATCGGCAAATTAATTGTAAACAACAGGATCATAAGCTATTTTGAGACATTCCCTCGACACATTGATCATGCTTACAGGAAAGTAAAATTAGTTTGAATGTTGTCTTTCCCGATGACACAAGCCATAATACCAAAAGATAGATTTTTCTCATTATTAATTTCCGTGGCACCAAAATGGATAAAAGTCAGAAGAAATCGGAAGAAATTATCTCGATAGATAATTCAAGTGAAGATGACGTTGTTGCTTCAAACGACAAAAAATACATTTGTGATATTTGTAAGCAGATATTTACAATAAAATCAAGCATGATATTTCACCGATTCACTGTTCACACTGAACAAAGAAAATACCCATGTGGCAAGTGCGACAAGATATTTGTGAATCAATCGTGTTTGATTATGCACCAAAAACTAATGCACAGAAATCGCGAAGATTTCATGATCAACAAGTGGAAGCAAAACATTGAAAACAAATCAACCTTACTTGAGCAGCAAAAACTATCCAACGAAGTTTTCACCAATTACTTGTGTGAAATGTGCGCCAAGAGATTTGATACTATTCATAATTTGCTCTCGCACATGAAGACAGTCCACGAAAGTCGCAAAGATTACCCATGTGATCAGTGTGAGAAGAAATTTTCACATAAAGCGAGTTTGCTGTACCACCAAACGTTAGTACACGAAGTTCGAAAATATCACACATGTGACAAGTGTGAAAAGACATTTGTGACTCAAGGCGTTTTAGATACGCACCGAAAAATGATTCACGGAAGTCAAAAAAATTACCCATGTGAAGGTTGCGAGAAAAAGTTTGAAAATGAATCAAATTTACTCGAGCCCAGAAAAGTATTCCACCAAGCTTTCAGAGATTATTTATGTGAAATGTGTTTGAAACAATTTAATACTACACATAGTTTGCTCTTACACATAAAATCAGTCCACGAAGATGGCAAAGACAACAAATGTGATAATTACGAGAAAAAATTTGGACAAAAATCACATTTTCTCTCCCACCAAAGAATAGTACACGAAGGTCGCAAAGATTTCGCATGCGATAACTGCGAGAAAAAATTCGGAAAAAAATCGCATTTGCTCGTTCACCAAAGGACAGTCCATGAAGGTCGCAAAGATTTTAAATGCGATAATTGCGAGAAAAAATTCGGACATAGATCAAATTTGATTTTCCACCAAAGAACAGTCCATGAGGGTCGCAAAGATTATGCTTGCGACAAATGCGAAAAGAAATTTGGACACAAATACGATTTGCGTTTACATAAAAAAACAGTTCACGAAGGTCGCAAAGATTTCAAATGCGATAACTGCGAGAAAAAATTCGGAAATATATCGCATTTGTTTTTCCACCAAAGAACGGTTCATGAAGGTCGCAAGGATTATGTATGCGACAGATGCGAGAACAAATTCGGACAAAAATCAGTTTTGTTGAAGCACCAACGGACAGTACATGAGGGTCGCAAAGATTTCGCTTGCGACAGTTGTGAGAAAAAATTTGGACGGAAAACAGATTTGTTTCGGCATCAAAGGACAGTCCATGAAGGTTGCAAAGATTATGCGTGCGACAAATGCGAAAAAAAATTTGGACACAAATCCGTTTTGCGTTTACATAAAAAAACAGTTCACGAAGGTCGCAAAGATTTCGCCTGTGACAAATGCGAAACGAAATGTGCGAGTAAATCAGTTTTGTTAAAGCACCAAAGGACAGTCCATGAAGGTCGCAGAGATTACGTATGCGACAGATGCGAGAACAAATTTGGACAAAAATCAGATTTGTTGAAGCACCAAAGGACAGTCCATGAAGGTCAAAAAAATTTCGAATGCGACAATTGCAAAAAAAAATTCGGACAAAGATCGCATTTGTTTTTCCACCAAAGAACAGTTCATGAAGGTCGCAAGGATTATGTATGCAATCGATGCGAGAAGAAATGTGTAAGTAAATCAGATTTGTTGAAGCACCAACGGAAAGTCCATGAGGGTCGCAAAGATTTCGTTTGCGACAGTTGTGAGAAAAAATTTGGACTGAAAACACATTTGTTTCGGCATCAAAGGACAATCCATGAAGGTCGTAAAGACCATGCATGTGACAAGTGCGAGAAAAAATTTGGAAAAAGATCGCATTTGCTCGTTCACCAAAGGACAGTCCATGAAGGTCGCAGAGATTACGTATGCGACAGATGCGAGAAGAAATTTGGAGAAAAATCGAAAATGATTAGACATAAAATAACAGTCCATGAGGGTCGTAATGATTATGCATGCGACACGTGTGAGAAAAAATTTGGACAGAAATCACATCTTCTCTCCCACCAAAGGACGGTACACGAAAGTTGCAATGATTTCGCATGTGACAAATGCGAGAAGAAATTTGGAGAAAAATCGAAAATGATTAGACATAAAACAACAGTTCATGAAGGTCGTAAAGATTAGGCATGCGACAAGTGCGAGGAGAAATTTCGACCAAAATCAGGTTTTTTGAAGCACCAAAGGTCAGTCCATGATGGTCGTAAAGATTAGGCATGGGACAAGTGCAAGAAAAAGTTTGGACAAAAATCAAATTTGCTCAGACAACAAAAATTAATTCACTAATATTAAAATCTTAAATATATAGATTTCTAGAATATATTCTGGATCAAGTTTAAAAAGTTTCATCGAAGCTAATTTTATTTTGTGTAATTAAATGACCTATCTGTATAAAACTTATGTTCATCATAGTAATACATTTTTTGATTATAATTTGCTTTCCTATTAAATCTTTAAAAATCTCTCTAGCGCCAAAGAATTTTTAATCATGTCCACGATTTTGCCGATTTTATACAGATAAACAATTGATTTTTTGGAAGTTCTTCAACGATCGGTTTAGGCAGTAATAAACTGTTTTGATCTCCACTCTGTAGACGTCGTTTCAGGTTCTGTGTGTCCCCACGCTGTATTTTTTTCGTATGAGTCATTCTTTTTTGAAATAGAAAATTGTATAGATTGCTAAGTTTGTAGTAAAAATAGGGAGAAAAACGACGAAATTTAAGTGGAACATCAATAAGTTTTCATTTATTGGAGCGATATGGAAAAAATGCAGTCTTAAATAACACTAAGCATCAAAAAATATGGTTGATGTTCTTATGGTAACTAGTGCCGGGCGCCTCGACTCTTCATGAATTTCAACGTCTGAATATTTTTACGATGGCCCATATGATATAACAAGTCCAATGGTGTTCTACCCTCTTTGTTCCTGGCATTGATCTCCACCTGTCGCGGGAATACATCGCAGATCTCGAAGACTTTTGTCAACGACTTGTAGGGTTGGTCTCTGTTGCAAATGAGGTGCAGAGCCGTGCATCCATCATTGTCGGCCAGATTGGGATCGGCGCCTAGCCTCAGCAGTTTTTCGATGGTCTCCGGGCTGCAGTTACGGGCAGCCAAGTGCAGCGGTGTGTTGCCCGATCGGTCATACACATTGACCTGAAAATCTCTCCGCCAGGTGACGCTCTCCTTCGGGAATATTTTCACCAAGTTATTCTGACGACTCTGGCAGATCTGGTGCAGAGCGGTGGATCCATCGTCGTCGACCCGAGTCGGATCGGCTCCATGTGTCAGTAGATCCGTGGCCAATATCGCGTCTCTGTTCCTCACAGCATGTCGTAGCGGCGAATAACCTGCAATCTTAATATTAGGATCCTGCCCGTTCAAGAGGTAGATCTTGACGAGTCGACGATCCACGAGGCGGAAGGCCGCCTCGAAATGCGTCAATCCCAATCCATTTTCGTCGACGTAGTTCACATCGAATCTGTCGTATATTTGAAAGAGCAAACGGACCATGCCATCCCAATCGTCGAAACGGTCGTGTCTAAGCGCGTACAAAGCGAGGTGTATGGGTGTGGTGCGACGCACCAGCTGGTATTGGTCGTTTCGGGCGACTCCGGGCTCGTCTTTATAACCGGTTGCAACCATAAACTGGATGAATCGTTTTCTTGCCTCCTCGTTGCCGTCCCTGTCTATTACGACTAGCGCGAGAAAGAACACAATTTTTCCGACTCCCCAGATCCTTAAAAGATCTTGATGAGTTGGTAATGGGCCCCGCCAATTTTGGATTAAACGATAAACCTCATCAAGCCATCGGCGTCTGTCCTTGTCGCTCAGGTTCAATTCGGTTCTCACCAAGTTCCACCAATTTTGAGCTTCCATTCCGTCAACAATTTAAGATTGTTTTTTTTTTTCGTCACGAAAACCACACTTGCTGCGGTCGATGCGATATTTTTAACTATTCACCGTTACCACGAGTATTCACTTACTCTATATACGATAGATATATAGAGATTATTAAAGACTCGAGAGAAGCTGAGCGCAAAAAAATATGTAAGAGTAAATGCGTGATATATAAGATATATATGAGATACGAATAGGCCCGAGCTTCGTAGAGAATAAGTCGTTGAATTTGGTATCTATTTGAAACGGTCGATCGAAAGCAGTAGAAGCAGCTCGTTTGTACACATAATATAAGTAAGCAATAACAACAATAGCACACGGCTGAATCGACGCTTTTCTGCGCCGAATTTAAAGACTTCGATTATAAACACATGCGAAATGTGTAAAAATTTTATTATTTAAAATTTAAACTGTTTAAAACCAAAAACTTAAGTACGAAAAATTTTTTTTGTTCAATGTCCACCGAGAAACTATCAGGTTATACTGTAGAGAGACAAAAATATGTACAGATTTTACTATAGTCTCTCTGGTACGCCGAATCAGCCAGTCTAGCATGAAACGAAGAATAAAAAGTTTTGAACCCTATAACACCGTTCGAGAGATTAATTTTCTTTTTAAGACAGAAAATAAACGCGCGAAAAAATCAAAGATATCTCTAGATTTACTCTACTTGAGTCGAGGATAATTCGACTACTCAAGAACATTCAGGTTCTTGTGCTCTTTTAGCGTATTTAAATTTTCCATTTCACTGCTGCATAATTTTGATGTCATTATATTGCTTTCTCATACAAATAACTTCGTGATGGGTCTAAAATGGACTTTGGTTCATTTCATTCTTAAGTTTCATGCTTAACAGCGAACAGGCTCACGTGTCAGAGAGGTTGTAACCTTGAGAGTTGAACTCCGATAATTACGAACAAGTGAAGTACGACAGATATTTTTACTGTTTAGTGTACAATTTCTATGAGCGAACCAATATCTTTCAAATTCGAACTAGCAATATTGCATATGTTGAGATTCGAAAAATAACCAATGAGGGAGCACTTTGGTTCACGACCCCTTGAAAATCGATTTTTCCTGTTGCATTATCGAGTTGTTTGTACTTTCAAGAATCTGTTATGACCTTTTGGCCAAACATTTATTATCTATCTATCGCTATTATTCTTGCGCGCATCTTCCCTTGTCAGGCGAGCACGAATGCGAGAGAGCGGGGTAAGGGAGAGAAAAAATCGCACAAGACATTTTCACTTACGACTAATTTTACCATAATAATTACAAAATATTACAATTTCGTCGCGGCGCTTAATACAATAAATTCAACCTTGTTATACTCGGTGCGTGGATCTTGATGTGGCCATATACTCTCTATGAAAAAGACGTAGCTCTGTCGTACTCAAAGTTCAAAATCGGTCTCCGTCTAATTTTTGGCAGCAGCTCACGGATCTCGATATACATCTGAGAAAATAACGTAACATGCGTTCGACCATCCATGGGCGACAGGCCCAGTGTATGCTATCACCAAGGTCTACAGCGTTCGCAGAAATCGCACTGCTCGGACAATGGGGGTCTGTTCTTCGTGTTACGAATTGCGCGGAATGAGGTAAACGCGTGATGTCCGCGTGTCCTTATCAGCGTAAATATTAGGCGCAATTGTACCGATGCGATGTCTTGTACGCTGCTACCTCCGGTCTTCCGTCCACTTGTTCCCAGCAGTCTTCGATCTTCGCACATAGAGGTGCGTCATCGATGTCGTTTTACCTGGTCCAGTCTAAGCGCGGGTGGACTATCATATGGATTGAATGAGCACATATTTTTGTTGTTCTAGCTCGTTTGTTGCTCAGGGTAAGCACAGATGACCGACGAATTTTCACACATAACAATTTATTTTTCGATATATAAACCGTCGATAAAATTTTTTACGGTCAAATTATTCGTTATTAAATTTCCTGTGCGTACGTATTTTTTTCTATTTATTTTTTGTTTTTTTTTTACATAATGTTTATGCTCACTTCAAGTCGAAAATTCATGATATCTCATAAGAAACCATGTTAAATGGTCAAACAATTTTTTATATTTTTTAAACAAATTTTTACAATAAAAAGTTTTATTTTGATATCAACATCGTTTTTTAAAAACTTGGCTACCTTTCGAATGAGATTCCTGAGCGATAGTTGGGTGATCATTATAGCAATACTACACTTTTGATTAGTATCGTCATGCGTAGAAAACAAACATAAGCCAAAATACGATGACTTTGTACTTTGATCATTGCATACTTCTATAAAAGCCCGTTTTCATGTAATTTTACAATAGACTAATGGAAATGTGATAACTATAGCTTTCTAATAAATAGTTTTTTCATTTTTTTCGTAATAAAAGTAAGAAAATTATAGCAACTGAAGATATAAATCATCCCCAATCTACTTGTTAGAAAGTACAGGCCTAGCTTAATGTATGATATAAAAGCTATAATCAAAATTACCAATTCGACTTATCGTAATCTGTACTCATCAAATGAATACCTCGTTGGCTTACCCATTAGTGATGGGGTATATAGAAGTGCGCCCCTTTGAAAACATGCTGTAAACATTCACGTGAAATATTGTACTAGATGAAACTGCTATGAAAATAGCATTAAGTGGAAAATGACATCGATTCACCGTCTTGGGCATACAAAGCTGCACCGACGTAGTACGGACTCATAGATGACAATAGAGAGGGTCGGTATGCATTGCAGATGGATGCGAATGTCTTGACCAAAATCGATAAAGTGCCATGCGATCAATAGACGTTCGATTGGCGAGATTCAACGACTCGACATAAGGTTCTATTGATTCCATATGACAGGTAGTTATTTTTAATTAATTTTATTCTTCGGGTTGATTGTCACCGAATTACTATTTCAAATTGTTTCGAGCACAGTAAGAACAATGTATAAACAGATGAATCGGCAAATTAATTGTAAACAACAGGATCATAAGCTATTTTGAGACATTCCCTCGACACATTGATCATGCTTACAGGAAAGTAAAATTAGTTTGAATGTTGTCTTTCCCGATGACACAAGCCATAATACCAAAAGATAGATTTTACTCATTATCAATTTCCGTGGCACCAAAATGGATAAAAGTCAGAAGAAATCGGAAGAAATTATCTCGATAGATAATTCAAGAGAACACGACGTTGTTGCTTCAAATGCCAAAAAATACATTTGTGATATTTGTCAGGAGATATTTACGATAAAATCAAGCATGATATTTCACCGATTCACTGTTCACACTGAACAAAGAAAATACCCTTGTGGCAAGTGCGACAAGATATTTGTGAATCAATCGTGTTTGATTATGCACCAAAAACTAATGCATAGAAATCGCGAAGATTTCATGACCAACAAGTGCAAGCAAAACATTGAGAATAAATCAACTTTACTTGAGCAGCAAAAACTATCCAACGAAGTTTTAACCAATTACTTGTGTGAAATGTGCGCCAAGAGATTTGATACTATTCATAGTTTGCTATCGCACATGAAGACAGTCCACGAAAGTCGCAAAGATTACCCATGTGATAAGTGTGAGAAGAAATTTTCACATAAAGCGAGTTTGCTGTACCACCAAATGTTAGTACACGAAGTTCGAAAATATCACACATGTGACAAGTGTGAAAAGACATTTGTGACTCAAGGCGTTTTGAATACGCACCGAGAAATAGTTCACGGAAGTCAAAAAAATTACTCATGTGACGATTGCGAGAAAAAGTTTGAAAATGAATCAAATTTACTCGAGCACAGAAAAGTATTCCACCAGGTTTTCAGAGATTATTTATGTGAAATGTGTTTGAAACAATTTAATGCTACACACACTTTGCTCTTGCACATGAAGACAGTTCACGGAGATCGCAAAGACTACAAATGTGATAATTGCGAGAAAAAATTTGGACAAAAATCATATTTGCTCTCCCACCAAAGGACAGTACACGAAGGTCGCAAAGATTTCGCATGCGATAACTGCGAAAAAAAATTCGGAAAAAAATCGCATATGCTCGTTCACCAAAGGACAGTCCATGAAGGTCGCAAAGATTTTAAATGCGATAATTGCGAGAAAAAATTCGGACATAGATCAAATTTGATTTTCCACCAAAGAACAGTCCATGAGGGTCGCAAAGACTACGCATGCGATAATTGCGAAACGAAATGTGGGAGTAAATCAGATTTGTTGAAGCACCAAAGGACAGTACATGAAGGTCGCAAAGATTTCGCCTGTGACAAGTGCGAGAAAAAGTTTGGATATAAATATCATTTGCTCGCGCACCAAAAAATAGTACACGAAGGTCGCAAAGATTTCGCCTGTGACAAATGCGAAACGAAATGTTGGAGTAAATCAGATTTGTTGAAGCACCAAAGGACAGTACATGAAGGTCGCAAAGATTTCGCATGCGATAATTGTGAGAAAAAATTTGGACTGAAAACAGATTTGTTTCGGCACCAAAGAACAGTTCACGAAGGTCGGAAAGATTTTATATGCGATAATTGCGAGAAGAAATTTGGACATAAATCGACTTTAATTTTCCACCAAAGAACAGTTCATGAGGGTCGCAAAGACTACGCATGCGATAATTGCGAAACGAAATGTGGGAGTAAATCAGATTTATTTCGGCATCAAAGGACAGTCCATGAAGGTCGCAAAGATTACGAATGTGATAATTGCGAAAAAAAATTCGGACAAATATCAAATTTGCTAACCCACATAAAAACAGTCCACGAACGTCAGAAAGATCACGCGTGCGACATATGCGAGAAGAAATTTATACAAAAATCGAGTTTGCTCAACCACGTAAAAACGGTTCACAAAGGTCGGAAAGATTACGCATGTGAAAAATGCGAGAAGAAATTTGGACAAAAATCGACTTTACTTTTGCATGAAAAAACGATCCATCAAGGTTGTAAAGACTATGCATGCGACAAGTGCGAGAAAAAATTTGGACAAAAATCGCATTTGCTCAGACACCAAGAGACAGTACATGAAGGTCGCAAAGATTTCGCCTGTGACAAGTGCGAGAAAAAGTTTGGACATAAATATCGTTTGCTCGCGCACCAAAAAATAGTACACGAAGGTCGCAAAGATTTCCCCTGTGACAAGTGCCAGAAGAAATTTGGGCTCAAATCAAATTTTCTCAAACACCAAAAAATAATTCACCAATATTAAATTCTAAAATATACTGATTTCTAGAATATATTCTGGATCAAGTTTAAAAAGTTACATCGAAGCTAATTTTATTTTGCTTAAATAAATGACCTATTTGTATAAAACCCATGTTCATAATACATTTTATTATTATAATTTTCTTGGCTATTAACTCTTTCAATATCTCTCTAGCGCTTTTTTCTCGAAATTAAAAATTTGAGCATTCAAATCCAATCTCATGTCCAAGTATGATCATGTTTTTATGTATAATTTATTGTTCATATGAATGTCTCGAGCTTATTGCAGTCATTTTATTGCAAGATTTTTTTTTGACAATTGTAAATATATTTTTACGTGGGCTCACAGAGTTCAAGTAATACTGACTCTGCAGAGCATGCTCGTCCTCGGAACTGCAAGCATTCTCACTCTTGCATGTCACCCGAGTCATTTCGGAGTCCCGTGACAATCCCTCTTCTAGCGCATTGCGCGGCTGTCTAAAGCAGTCTCATTTCATCCACGGTCACGAATTGTACTCTTACCTTCTTTTGATCCCCTGTAATTAACTAGCAATCAATTCTTGTATTATTTTATTCTCCCCGTTAAGGGAAATTTCCCCTCAATAAGTAACGTATCAATATGTATTGATGTTTATCTAGATTTTTTCTAGAATTTCAATAAAACTTGTGGCAAAATGATTGTGTTTTACCTTAACCTCGTGCAACTATCATTGACACGTTTATATACTTTCGTTGTTGGTCGGCCGAAAATGTCTGTTGACAAGGCGTTATCGCTGTTTCACGTAGCCTCTACCAAACTGGCAATATAGAATTTTTTCATCGATACAAGTTGAAACGTTAAGGCATTTCTTGCGGTGGAAGGCCAATGTAAACTTAAGCGATTTGAAAAATATCGCATGGTAATACATCTCCTATATATCAGCTGCAGCAACGGTAATTTTTTCTTCACGTAGCAACTCGACTCTTTCTATTGCGGGAGCCTCAGCGATTAAGCGCCTCGTCATCTGGTGGCGAGAACGCGAACATCGTATTGACGAGGTTACATGCAGAATTAGACTTTCGCAAATATATGCTATAAGATGGTGAATTCTATTGATTTTTTTACCATTACAGGTAGAACATTAGAAGCTCTAATTGTTAAGCCATTAATGTTTAACTATATTATGAATGTTCTGAAATTAATATATCTTACACTGGATATGATTTTTCTTGTGGGCAAAAAAAGTTTGTGAAAATAAATTATAAGATAATGACTGCGTGATCAAGTAACCGCAGAACATTACAGACCATGTTAAAAGATCGATTTTTTTATTTAAAGTCAGGTAAAAGTAGCTTGTTGAACAGGGCTGCAATTTTATGGATCAATCGGAGATAACTCAAAATATAACCACCCAAAGTTTCAGTCTTACGGTAACGCAATGAACATTTCATCCAACCACCTTGACAGTTTTGTAATGGGCAGCCATGATTCAGAAAAAAATACTTGATCGAACCTTCTGGAATTTTTACAACTTATTCTTGACATTTGTGGCTATCGATGGAACTACTAACATTTAAAAAAAATCCACATCTAATTATTTTTTTGAGTAAAAAATTGCAAAAAAGGTCTTTTTTCTCTTTGTTTTCAAATAGAAATCATTCTATCATTTTAGAATTGATACTTTCTTTAGAGGTTCTAATAATAGCCATCGCGAAGAAAATATTTTAGTTTTTTATTCGCAGGGTTTATGTTTGAATAATTTTTTTATTAACATTTATAATTAAATTGGAGCGATAATTTTTTTTACGAGGAAGCTATTTGCCAATGAATTGGCAGCGATTTTGATAATTTTGATGTGTGTTTTGATCTCCACTCTGTAGACGTCGTTTCAGGTTCTGTGTGTCCCCGCGCTGTGTTTTTTTCGTACGAGTCATTCTTTTTTGAAATAGAAAATTGTATAGATTGCTAAGTTTGTAATAAAAATAGGGAGAAAAACGACGAAATTTAAGTGGAACATCAATGAGTTTTCATTTATTGGAGCGATATGGAAAAAATGCAGTCTTAAATAACACTAAGCATCAAAAAATATGGTTGATGTTCTTATGGTCACTATCGCTGGGCGCCTCGATTCTGCAATACTTCCACCGTCTTGGTATAGTTACCACGGTTCAGATAACAAAACAAGTTCAATGGTGTTCTACCCTCGTTGTTCTTGGCATTGATCTCCACCTTTAGCCCGATTTCATCGCAGATCATGAAGAATTTTCTCAACGACTTGTCGGATTTGAATCTTATTAATAAGAGGTGCAGAGCCGTGCATCCATCGCTGTCGGCCAGGTTGGGATCGGCGCCTAGCCTCAGCAGTTTTTCGATGGTCTCCGGGCTGCAGTTACGCACGGCCAAGTGCAGCGGTGTGTCGCCGAATCGGTTGTACACATTGACCCGAACTTTACGCCTCCCCTCTTTGACCAACTTGAAGAATAACTCCAGCAAGTACTTATGCGAATTCCGGCACAAAATGTGCAGAGCAGTGGATCCATCCCAGTCGACTCGAGTCGGATCGCCGCCTCTTGACATTAGATCCGCGGCCATGTCTTGGTCTTTGTTGAACAGAGCTTGTCGTATCAGTGAATAATCTCCAATCATAATATTCGGATCGTGTCCGTTCGCGATGAACGTCTTGACGAGATCACGGTTTTTGGCGAGGCCGAAGATCGCGTGAAAATGCGTCAATCCCAATCCATTTGCGTCGACGTAGTTCAAATCGACTCTGTCGTATATTCGAAAGAGCAAACGGACCATGCCATCCCAATCGTTAAATTTGACCCTCAATGCGAGATGTATGGGTGTGGTGCGACGCACCTTCTGCAGGTATCGGTCGTTTCGGGCGACTCCGGGCTCGTCTTTGTAACCGGTTGCAACCACGAACTCGATGAATCGTTTTCTTGCCTCCTCGTCGCCGTCCTCGTCTGTTACGACGTGCGCGAGAAAACCCTCGATTTGTTCGGCTGGACAGATCCTTAAAAGATCTTCATGAGTTGGTAATGGGCCCCGCCAATTTTGGATTAAACGATAAACGTCATCAAGCAATCGGCGTCTATCCTCGTCGCTCAGGTTAAAGGCGGTTCTCACCAAGCTCCTCCAATTTCGAGCTGCCATTTCGCCAACAATTTAAGATTGTTTTTTTTTTCGTCATGAAAACTTCACTTGCTGCGGTCGATGCGATATTTCTAACTGTTCACTGAGGGCAAAAAAATATGTAAGAGTAAATGCGTGATATATAAGATACATATGAGATACGAGTAGACCCGAGCTTGGTAGAGAATAAGTCGTTGAATTTGTTATCTATTTGAAACGGTCGTAGCAAAAGCAGCTCGTTTGTACACATAATATAAGTAAGCAATAACAACAATAGCACACGGCTGAATCGACGCTTTTCTGCGCCGAATTTAAAGACCTCGTTTATAAAAATATGTGAAATGTGTAAAAGTTTCATTATTTACCATTTAAACTGTTCAAAAACAGAAACTCAAGTACGAAAATTTTTTTTGTTCAATGTCCACCAAGAAATCATCGAGTTTATTGTGGAAAGACTTAAATATGTATTTGTGACTGATGTCCTTATATTATGTATGTGTGGATAAGACCAGGCTGTTTTTGCAAAAAGGTCTTTATCGCCTGGGCCCTCGGCTGAGCTCAAAAAGATGATGAGGTAGGTGACGATTCGGCTATCGAGATTCCAACTCTCGGGGGAAAAATTGAAATTTTTATCGCCTAGCGACCAAGAGTTGTCAATATGAAAATCGCTTAAATTATTTTAGACAACAATTCATTTGATATTTATTTATGTATTAATTTCTTTTTTTTTATCCGATTCTTTTCTTACTCAGTCAATTGACTATCGGAAAACCATATGGGAGACCATGCTGTCTCATACGCGAGTAAATCTGTGTACCAGGAAGTAAGCGCGTTTTATCATCTCACGGCCATCCGTCGCGGGCCATCGTAGGCAGGCTCGTTTTAAATATATTATAATATGTCTTTTATCACGAAGCGACGAAAGCAAAAAAAGCTCCCTCGAATTCGTCAATAAATAAATGTGCGCCCGCGCGTATGTGTGTATCATCTCATTCGCCCGCTCGCGTACATACACACACACACGTGCATCGAAAATTTTTGCAAGCTCGCTAACTATATAGAATATAGATGATATTTAGCCGCGCCGCGACAGATAGCGAACCGACTGCGAGCGGCTGGCAGTCTCGCGCGCGCATCATCGCAGTAGTTTCGTATCGAGCTTGCGACGTCGGTGCAAAAGTTGGCGCGCGAAACCACGCAGCAGCAGCGGTGCAGCTCAGGAGGGGCGCGACGCGATTCGCGGTGGTGACTGCTGCTGCTGCTGCTGATGTGCGCGGCTTTTCCTCGTTCGGTTCGTCGTCGCGATCGTCGTCGCGCGATCGCACCGACCGATAATTTTCAAAAAATTTTCACTCGTTTCTGCGCGTTGTTACGCTCGTATCTCGCTGCACACGGACAGGTATACCCGCGGCTGTACAACGTGCTCGAAAAAGCTTTATCGCCCCGAGAGTAAAATCGTCAGTGTGCTTTCGCGCCCGCGTACATTATAATATAGTATACAAGTGAGTGCATGTGTGTGTGTGTGTGTGTGTGTGTCTGTGTGTTTTGCAGCAGCTGGCCCCCCGTCGAGGTGGATCGAGTGCATCGGTGTATCGCTCTCGCGGCCGCAGCGAGTCTCGTAGCCGCCGCCGACGCGAGTATTAAGACGCGCACCTCGCTCGCGCGCGGGGCAATATTTTTAGAATATTCGGAGGAAATATTTGTGGCTCCGGCGGATCTCACTCTCGCTCTCTCTCTCTCTCTCTCTGGCCGCTATCCTATCTCCATCTCTCTTTCTCGCGGCGCAGCTCCTATCTATCTCTCTCTCTATCCCCTTCTCCTCGCTTTTTTGGTTGTCCCGCAGTAGTAACAGCAGCAGCTTGCAGATTTTCGATGCTACCGCTGCTGATGCTGCTGCTGCTGATCATCATCATCATCATCATCGCGCTCGATCGTCTACACGAGACGCTGCCGCCGCCGCCTCGAGCTTTTTCTCCACTCTCCGAATATTTATTTATAAGTATAAATATTTGCATACGAGTGTGTTGTAAAGTCAGTGCGTGCAGCAGCAGCAGCCCAAGTTCAGTCGATTTTTAGTTTACGCACACGCACACGCATGATAATATCGCAATGTCCGATCCATAAAAGCTCTCTCTCTCTCTGCAAGCTCCACTTCGCGGCTCGATGCTGCTGCTGCTGCTGCAAGCTCGTGCGTATTATGCCCGAGTAGTGTAGTACAGTGGCGAGCTATATATGGGGGTAACGTGTGTGCTGTGCGTAGTAAACGCGTTAGTGCATAAACATACACTCAAGAATTGACCGAGACGCGATGATAACGACGACGACGACGACGACGATTTGTGAAACGAACGATTACTCGGGCGCGTGAAAAAGAAGAGAGACGAGGAAAAAAAGCTCGTCGAGCGGAATAATAATACATTGAAAGCTCGCGTTGATGGTGCCGAAGCGTCGAAAGAAGCGTCAAAAAATTCGAGCCGATGCAGGTGAGTGCAAAAAAACAAAACAAAAAAAATATCTTTTTTTTTTTGTTCACTGTATAACTGTACAACTGAACAGATGTATCGCGCCTGTCGATGACGTCTCTGAGCAATTAGTCCGCGCACATCGTGCATATTGCATATCGCGCGCGATGCATAGATAATCGCGCGCGCCGATCTACATTGCTCGCGCGAGTTTAACAACCCTCCTTGCGGTACATATGTTTGTATGGCATTGACCGCTTATGTACAGCGAGCGTAGTATAGAACCTACGAGTATCGAGTTCATCGTTAATGTGTGTTTCCACATAAGTCATTATTAGTTGGATATATATATGTACGCGGTAACTTTACACACGTAGCCACCGAGAGCTGTAGTGAGGTTTGCGAATTTTTTCACAACCAAAGCTTATAAACGCGCGCGAGACCGTGTGTCTGTGTGTGGGTGGGTTAGTTTGCTCGATGTGTGTTTGCATCGATATATAGGGAGGTGGTGCGGCGCGCTCGCTTATGAATTATTGAAGATTCGCGACTCGCGCGAGCTAAATAGCGCGAATTCATGACCCCGCGCGAGATCGATCATGCTCGAGAATACCGTGCTGTACATGTAAGGGCGATGCTATTGTGTAGCGCAAAACATAAACGATGTGTTTAAATCGAAGCAGGCACGAATCGGAGGAGCCAAGGCATCGACGCCGTCGTCATCGTCGGCCGCGGCTGCTGCTGCTGCCCGCGGACCACCGATAAGTACCGGCAACAGCAATGGCCCGAGCAACGATGACGAACAGGTGGCCTTCTGGAGGCGCACCGGAGCCATACCGCGAGTACCGGCGCAACCACCTGCCGTTCAGCAGCAGCAGCAGCAGCAGCCCAGACGCGGACTGTTCTCGAAAATGTTCTCCGGGGGCGGTGGGGCTACGACCGCCGCTACCTCCAATTCATCCTCGTCGCCTTCTCCAGCGGCTTCGTCGAGGACGACCGCCTCCTCCTCGAGTCGATTCGCCAGCACACTGGGCAGCTCGACGACGTCGCTGCTGCGCTCCATATCGCCGGCGTCGAGATTACCACCACCAGCAGCAGCAGCAGCGACGGCGGCACAGCAGCAGCAGCAGCAGCAGCAACCCCCGCCACCAACGAGGGAGCCGACGCAAAGGGATACACGCAGCGAGAGCAGAGATCTGCCGACAGCAGCCAAGAGCTACGTTTACAAGTGAGCTATAGAGTCACTCGCTCGTCATGTTTTCGACGTTGATGTCGTATCGCTCCAACAATCACTCGTGCGATAATTACGACCTGTCGCGACGTTTGTACAGGACGAGGACGCCGGTGCCGGTGAAGCCGGAGGATCTGCCGCCGATCGGCGCCTCCGCGCAGGCCGCCCGCAGCTCCTACGTCTACAGGACCCGAGTGCCGAGGCGCGCCATCGTCGACTCGCTGGCCCATCATCAGTCCTTCGACGAGACGGATTACGCCTCCGGTGGTGGTGGTGGTAATGGTGGTCCTGGTGGCGAGGGCGGCAATCCCATTACGCGGCGCAGGGGCGCGGTGAAGCATCAGAAGGTCCACATGGTCAGGAACCACAAGCTCGTGGCCAAGTTCTTTCGCCAGCCCACGTTCTGCGCCCTGTGCAAGGAATTCCTATGGTTTGTGTACTTTGAGCTTTTTTTTTGGCATCTATGTAGTGGAAAAAAATCTCAAGGGTAGGTCTAGCGAAAGCGAATAACTATATTAGAAAAAGATATTTCGCTGTACTTTTGCTGGATCAACTCCTGAGATTTTTTTCTGTGGTGTACAATCAGGCTTCTAATGAAAAAATTTTCTTATTTTAGGGGCTTTGGAAAGCAGGGCTATCAGTGTCAATGTAAGTACCATATACCTTTATTTACTCGATGCAAACTTGCAATTTAGAATCTTAACTAATTGTTCGTACATTTTTCTTTTAGCCTGCCTGACCGCGGTCCACAAAAAGTGCCACAACAAGCTCCTGACCAAGTGCAACGGCGGCGGCCGAGAATCGGAAAACACCATTGTAAGAGAGCTGTGGAGCGGACAGGTCGACCGCCTAGAAGACCCGGGATAAAGTCGCGGGGCAAAAAAAAAAATGAAAAAAATAACACACAGAGCTTTCGAACGCGCGGTGCAATATGTATAGTACCGAGTCATTGCGAAGTAATGCGCGTGTACACTGAGAGAGAGTATTAGCAGTTGTATTTTTGGCAATGAGCTTGAGCTCTCTCTCTCTCTCTCTTGTCTCTTCTCTCGTTGCGTCAATGAGCGCGAAGGAGGATTTATTTTTTATTATTTTTTTTTTCGCGTGGACATCGCGTCGCCGCGTTTCTGTGTACCGATATTTTAATGCGTACGCGGCGAGACGAGCGTGACGCATTATGTACATTTAAATGTATTGGAAAATCGCTCGAGAGAATTTAAAAGCAGCTGAGCGCGCGTCAAGGATGATCTCGTTCTCTCTTATCGATGACATAGACCATGGAAAACTGTGGAGAAATTTGACCCTACGACAACGTCCGAATTATTCTCGTTCGCGCGTTCGTTCTTCGTTTACTCTTTATTCCTTTTTTTTCTGGTTATTTTGCATCTTTGCACTCGACGATCGATCGACGCTTGCATCCCCCCGTGACTCACACGAATATAATGTAAACGCGCGAGACAAAGCTCGGAATTCCCGTATATCCACCGGAGAGAGTATACGCACGATTTTTATATGGAAATTGTTTTGATAACACGAAAAAGCCCGAAAGATGCGTATGATTTATTGTTCATTCATTTTATTATACATTGTTCTTGTCGTTATTGTCATTATAATACTGTCCTTTGTGTGTCTGCGCGTGTGTTTTGTCCATGTTTCTGTTCCAGTACTTGCGCGAGCGCTTCAAAGTCGACGTGCCGCATCGCTTCAGGCTGCACACCTTCGTCTCGCCGACGTTCTGCGATCACTGCGGCTCGATGCTCTACGGTCTGTTTCGACAGGGTGTCAAGTGCGACGGTGAGTACAATAATTATTACTTGTCTAAAATATATAATGTTCGATTATTGGTTATATTATTCAGAAGCTTGGCCGTGGTTCCATTGCAAAAACGAGTCGCGCGACCCGATTCTCGCGAGACCGAGAAATCCGAGATTTCGAGAGTTGATTAATTTTCACTCGGCTTGAATATAATACATCCCATTTCGAGGAAAATTAATAACCTCGTGCAAAAAAAAGACGATTTTTCTATCGATAAAGAGGTAAAAGAATAAAAAAAGAGACGAGCAATCGAAATCGATATCAATTCGTCCTTCGGCCGGGAGTAAAAAGATCTCTTATCATTTATATAAATATTAGTTTCGTGTTTGTCGACGACAGCTACGCGAGTGTAATAAATAAATGGTGTTCGACACGCACGCAGATAGCCTATACAGCAGCCACAAGGCCAAGGTAAGTAAGCTCAATGATATTACACGCTACTACATTACACATATATCCGATATGTACATATGGAATCGAATCGATTTGTTAATAAAAACTCGCACTTTATCCGTATCCGGTACGAACTGGATCTTTTTTCATCTACCCCGTTGAAATCTGTCGCTTTCTTGATCTCAAGGTCCGATACGAGGGAGAGAGAGATAAAAGGGGTAGACAAAGACGTTCGAATGGCCGCGCGTCGACTTACACACACACACACACACACACACACATGCATACATGTTTCTCGGATTGCGCAGCTTTCGTATATATAATATAATTGCGAGCTTGCGAAGAAACGAGTCGTCGAACGTATACATATTATATACCCGGCAGAAAGGCATATAATGCACGAATTAGAAGATATTATACGATATACAGTTCGAGAAAGAGATAGGTAGAGTTAGATAGAGATGAAGAGAGCGTCCACCAGCATGATTCCTAAAATAACAAAACTAAAATATCCAAAGCTTCGACGCGAGATCTACTATACATACGCACGCATACACACATACGCACACATATTCGCGCGCGTAAAGCACGAGTTTATAATATGTATATAATAAAAGCTCGCGGCTCGATGCAGAGTTACCACTATATACACATCTTACACCTGCGCCTATATATACCTTAATTGACGCACGCCATGCCGATCGTACGCGTGCTTAAAATCCGGAGCTGCTGGAAGAGAAAAAAGAGCTGGACATTTTTTTTGCTCCTTTGCGGAAAATAATTAGCGTAGCCAAAAATTTTCCATCGCTCCTCGGTTATATATTACACATATATAGCATATACGGTACATTCAGCGCGTATTGCGATGCACATATAGCACAGCGGCCAAAAGCTCGTTTATTGGACCTCTGCCATTCGAGTTCGAGTCTGAACGCATCGGAGCTTGCGTTGTATGTATATATATAATAAATACAAATCATCCGCGTCTGTCATATTCCAAATGTCTCGATAAACTCGTGTCTTCCATACACGCTATATAGGTTTCTTTTGCGTGTATCTACTCGCGTTTTCGTACACGCGCGCGTAAATCCGACACAACGGGTAAAATTTCTCAATTATCTTAATTATGCACCGAGTACACGTTCGCGCGCGAAAAGTATACCGAGAAATCGCGCGTCTGCATATCGTATATAAGAATCAGCGAGTGACTCGCGTCTTACAAACTCTACGCTATTATATAGTCTCTCTCTTTCTCGAGAGAGAGGCGAGCGAAGAGTTGAAATTCTATTCTTACAGTACCTACACCTCGTCTTTGGGTTCTCTCTACTACTACTACTACTACTCTACTCTACTCTCTATACTCTATACTCCACTCTCCTCTCCAAGTCTCGAGCGAAAAGTTTAAAGCTCTCTCTCTCTCTCTCTCACTCTTTCTCTGTGTAAAGCGGCGGGGTTGGCCGCTTGCGCTACTGCTGCGGAGCGCGCGCGAGTTCAAGTAAAATAGAGAGAAGAGAACGGATCTCTGTGCGGCCAGTCGAGTCAGTCGGTCTTGGGCTCCCTGAAACGTGGGAACATCGTCGCCATCGTCCGCGGGTGCGCCACGCGGTTCACGCGGCGTACCTCGTCGTCGTCGTCTCCGCGCGGTCGTCTCTTACGAAACAAGTGTGGTGCCGCGGATTTTTCCTTTTTTTTTTTTTATCTTTTTACACTTCGTCTTTACTGTTGTTGTTGTTACAAGTGAATGTGATAAATCCGAAATCACGATGCCGTACTACGGTGACAGCGGCCTGCCCTACACGAGCAGCAGCTACTACTCGATCGGCGGCTCGGCGGCAGGAGGCAGCAGCTCGTTTGCCAATCACAGCTCGTTAATGACGGGTGTCAGTCGGTAGGTGCAGAGCAGTGGTTTCGTATACACGCGCATACGTGCGCAGCCTATAAAAATGCGATATATACACGAGATGTGTGATTGATTTGTCTCTCTCTCTCTCTATCCCTGGCACTACCACTGTTATTGTGTATTGATTTTGCAGCGCAGCCTCTGTTGTGTGTCGTATATGCCGCGGGGGCTTTGTTTTATTTTTTTTATTTTATATATTTATTTGATCGACTATTTTTGGATCGTCATCAAAGTTCTTTCTCTTTCTCTCTCTCTCTCTCGGCTGCAGATTTTTTTTCAAATAGGCCTCGACACGCACGATCCGTTAGTTCGCGATCGGCTGCTGCGACAGTTCGATCGATACTCTTTTGTTGTTTTTTTTTACTCTTCTAAAGTGTTGCATCGTCAATCGTGTATCAAAGATATCAGCGATTTTCGCGCGAGATCGAGTTTTTTTTGGGCCACTCCAGCTGAGACATGGTCGAGTTAGTATCTATCTCTAGACGACGAAAAAAAAAAAAAATTACACACGTTTCGCAGTGTAAATCAGTGATTAGTGACGTTATAGCTCGGTAGCTATTTAAACTCTTGTCTCTGATTCTTTTCCTCTTCTTTTATATTTTGGTGAAAAAAAAGTTCGACCGCTGACCTTGAGGTCGGTCTACAAACAGTGTACGAGGCCGTTATGAAATCGGCTACTGCTGCGCGTCTTTACGCTAGAACTATCGTTAATTTTTTTTTCTCTCTCTTTTACGCGCCCTCGCCCGCAGTGCCCGGAGAGAGAGCGAGCGAGCTTGCGAGCTTGCGCGCGAATTCGGGCTCGTATTGCACATTTGCGAAATATACAAATTTCAAGCTGTAGCTGTATGATATAAAATCTCCACCATCTCTCGAATGCGTCAATGGTTTGACGGTGTGTGTGTGGGTGCTTGCGCGTGCGTCTGTTATGATTCGCGGGCGCCCGCAAATTGTATATATTAATGACTTTTGATGTATCGCGTCGTCACAGCTATCCCGTAGAAATTTCACAAAATATTTTGAAACGCTCTTGTATTGTTACGCTTTAAAATGCTTTCTATCTCGACTAATATCCTATAATACATTGATGAAACATTTTGAAACACGCATCGAGGCGCTTTTATTTTTACAAAATGTACATTATAATTCCGATCTAGAACAACCTTCGAGACAGAAATTGCAGTTGAACGTGAAAAAAAAACATTACATTTTCACCCAATTGTGACGAATCGACGCACACGCGTACACATTACTGCGCAGAGAGCTGTCAATCACAACATTTACCTCGAAAAAATAATCAAAGCAGCGCACGCAGCGGAGAATTTTCCGGCTAAAAAATCTCACGTACGCACTTTCACTCTTTGGCACTTTGGGAATGTCAAAAAGCTCTCCTCTTTCTCTGTCTTTTTTTTTTATCTTATTCCGCATACACGAACGAACGCGATCGCCACACGTGTGTTATATACCTCGAAGCTCTCGTGTGTGTGTAAGTGTGTGTGTGCGAGCATATTTAAATACACACACACTCACGACGCGTACGCACGCGAAAGAAAATGCCGTCGCCAAGACTCATAAATCAGGTGGCATAAAGGGTCTCTCGCTCGCGTAAATGTTCCTCTATCTCTCTCTAAAAATACTCCACAAAAGCTCATAGGAGAATTAAAAAAAAAAAAGTGAAGAAGAGTTGAAACAAAAAATTGAGCTTCTCGCAATCCATCCGCCTTCCGCGTTGGTTACCCGGAGATCGATCGATCTCGATCGATGTGACGCAGATGCAAACCTAGCGAAAGCTCGAGATGTATACTGGTGTGCGTCGTTCTCATTTCTCTCTTTCTTCTTTCTCGTGTGCGTGTGCGATATCGAGCTCATTGCCGATCGGTATGCTTTTATAAGGGTCAGATGTGTGTGGATGCATCCGCAGCCGATTCATGGAACTATGCGCGCGCGCTATTTATCCCGGATTCTTTATCTAGAAGCCAAATCACGACAATGACGACGTATAGATGAAGACGACGACGACGACGAAGACGATCGTCGTCACCCCGGCGCACCGTTGTCTCTCTCTCTCTCTCTCTCTTTTTTTCAATGTTTTTTTTTCGTCGATGTTGTTGTTGTTGCACTCTTCATCTCTTACATTGTGACTAATCACCTCGACTATTTTCACGATTTGTCCTTAATATTATTGACCTAATTAACAATGCGTATATCATTTAACACTCATTTCTCAGGTATCCTGTCTCATTAGTATCGTCTGCGTCGTCTTCGTCGTCGTCATTGACGAGCTCTTCGTCGTCGTCGTCGTCGTTTTCATCGGCAATTGTTACTCGTACGCACAGGTATAGACAAGGTACGACCGGTTGCCAAGTGTTGTCCACACGCAAAGCGTACGTATTATTATTATATGCATTAACTCATCATCATTAAAATTATCGAAATTCTCGGCTCGCTATTTTCTTTGTCTCTCGCGCTCTCTCTCTCTCGGTCGCTGCGTCGTATACGTATAAAATTTACGCGTCTCGCGCGCGCTCGAGAAAATGCCAATTAGTTCGGGGATTAAACAAATAAGAAATAAATAAAAATTCAATGGTAGCCCTCGTGCCACGAGGCGAAATCATCAAAGACGGTGCACTACTACACGACACGGTGTAGTACACCTCGCATCGCGCAGAATCTCTCGTCTGTCGTCGGCCGGCGTTACGCATATCGTGCGCGCACGAGCCGATCGTACATCTGCAGAGCTCGTTGTATAGCATGCGTATTACAAACTTTGACAATGTAGCTATCAACGCACGCACGATCGGCAGGTGTCTAATAATCGCACACGTGCGCGCACGCGGGTATGCGTACAGGCGTAAAAATAGATATCGTTAATCATCGGCAAATCGTCGAGATCTTCGAGCAATTAAGTATGTTCGAAACTTATGTATACATTAATTATGATTAAAGCTCGGAATTCGATTATTTATACGCGCGTTTTATAAGATTTACACCGGATTGCCTTTGGCTTTGGACGCGCGAGTTCGTTTCACAATTATTGCCCGCCTCTCCGCTACTGCTCTTTTTAGGGTCAAGTTTGTAAACGATTTACGCGTTAGGCGCACCTTTCCAAATCTTAGCTAACGTCTGTCTCTCCCCGCGCATTCGCTTTTATTGTTTTTAACAAGTTCAATGCTAATATACGCGTCGAGCTACACGAGAAGAGCCCGTAGCCGAAGCAGCAGCAGCAGCTGCTGCCGATCATCGTGCAGTGTCGCAATCGCTTTTCGAAGCGCTTGTAAAATACAAAAATAGCCGCCAAAGTCGGTGCAAAAAAAAAACAACAACGCAATTTCGTTGTAACGATTTGTTAAGGGTACACCAAAGATATACCGTCTTACGCACATCGACCTACGAATTTTTGCCTTGCGACTCTTTTAACGCGCGCACATGCCGGAGTCGCAGTTGATGTATAATTCCAGTCGTTTCTATACACGCTGCCGCCGATCTGCATTTGAGCTTTCGCTGCTGCTGCTGAAAATCGCGCAAAGTGAGTGAGAGAGAGAGAGAGAGAACTGTCCTAGATTTTCAAACTTTAACGCATGCACACGCGAGTAAATATAACTTTTCACGCGCGGCGCGGCGCGATGCGGATTTTCGAATGTTAACGCTTGTATACATAACGCGAGCGGTAGCGGCAACAGCGGCGGCGGCACGGACATATTATTATACGCTCGGGTTGAACCACCTCCTGCTCGCGTTTATTCGTTGGGCGTCGCGATCATTGCGCGTATTCGACGATCGTGTATAGCGATTGTTTACACACGCCTCGCCTATATAGAATTCGCTAGTTTTTGCGCGTACAATATTTACGTATTTATGTGATAATCCGAGTGGACCAACACAGCCTATATTTACAACGAACGACGAGAAGCGTTTATCGACTCGATAAATTATAATTATTATTGTTATCGAGACACGCGCTCGATCGGTTGTGCGGTTCCGTCGTCGTATAGTCGTCGTATCGTATCATTGACTATACTACCGGAGGAGACACCCACGAGAGCTGAACTTTTTTTCTTGATATTTTTTTTCACGTCGACTTCGGCGCGTGTATAAGCACGCACGCACGATGTATAATAAAGTTTAGAGAGAGATTTTTGCTCTGGCGAGTTGTCAAAAAAGCTGCGCCTCTCTCTCTCTCTCTCTCTCTATTTGCACATAAACGCAATAGGCCGAATAGAAACGTACGCGTTGATTCCAATTGTTTTCCGTTCATTTGTTTGGAAAATTTTGAACGGTATATAAAAAAAAAATATTTACCGTTCGAAAGCTCGCGAGCTTGCGACGATCTTGTTATCTCGCACTAGCGGAAATCGAATCGATCTTTCTGTATATGCGTCGTTCGAGCTCGATACACGCGTCGTTAAAGCTTACAAATTGAAGAAGCAACGATCCGACGACGACGACGCTTTACCGTAACCTTGAATCGGCTATATATTTCATCGTTTTCATACGTCTGCCATCTACGTTCGGATCCAAACGCATTAATTCGCGCAAAAAAATCGGTCTGCGTTCCGGCGATGCGTACGCGACGATTTTATGCGATTTTCGTGCAAAATTGTACGTTATATATACGCGTTGATAAAGGCGAGCGACGATCGTGAATCATCGTCGAGTTATATCTAAATATGATACGCGGTCGCGCAGGCCCTCTCCGCATAAGCTGCGAGAGCCCGATGTGCCAAAAGTTTCCTCGCGCGCGTATTTTTAGCAGATCGGATATATAATTATGATGAAGATTTCATTTGCGAGAAATCGAATTATAATGCACGTAATAATCGTCTATACAGCGCATCGAGAGAGAGAGAAGAACATTTTTTTTTGCTTTTACGTAACTATACATATTCTCTCTGGTGCCTCTCTTTCGCTCTCGAGCTTGCGAGTTTTATTTTCATATCGAGGCAGAGTCGTCGTAACGCGGACTGTATACCCGTTAAACTCGACGTTTGTTTTCGACGATACGCAATTTCGCTACGATCGTTAATTGCGGTTGCAAGTATGTAACACGTATGCCCACGTGAGCGATCATCGTTGATGTTGTTGTTTTTGTTTTTTTTTCTTCACGCTCTCAATTTCGCTAAGCGACGACGAGCTCGGTAAACAAGAGAAGAAAGAAAGAAAGAAAATACATCGCTTAAAAAATTGTGCTTTTAAACTATTTCGCAATGGTCGAGCAGAAAGAAAAAAAAAACAACGACCTCGTGACCCGTGTCTCCTTATCCTCGAAAACGCGGCGTATTATTTTATTTATTTTTTAGCTCGTTTACGGGGAGATTTGTATAAATCGTCTCGAAAGCTTCGTGCGATTTAATAATCTGGAACGCCTCTCGGGCATACGCTGCTGCCAACACGAAAAAAAATTCGGGCGCGAACGTTAAACGCGCGGCGATAAATTATATTCCTCCCCCCGCGTACAAGTATTGCCACGGAAAAGAGGAGCCGATCTTCGTGACTCTCGGCGGCTGTGTAGAGAAAGGAGCAGCCTAGCCGAACCTCGCAACAAGTGTTCGTGAAAAAAGCTCGCGCGACTACTGCGTGTCTGCTGCCTTATAGTGCAGCACAGCATCAGTGCTTGCGGGTGGGCGGGCGGGCGCGCGACATTTAAATTTAGCCGGTGCGCGCGGCTCGAGCTAACTACTATCTGGCACCTGCTCTCGAAAAAGTCAGCTCTCTCTACATGTATGCGTTTCTCGGCTTCTCTCTCGGCTCATCGGAAGATCGATCGAAGGGCGCTGAACTACTGACTTTGTTATAATTAGAAATATAGATACGCAGTTGTGTGTGTGCGAATATCGGTACGGATATTACAGTATCGAGCTTGCAGGACTGCAAATTCGAAAAATTCCATCCATCTCTTCTCTTTTTTCAATACTTTTAACAATTAGTTACGTGTCGAGCGAGTATTATAATAAATCATATACGTCTTGGGCAAATACGAAGTCTCAATGCCAAATGCTTGAGATGTCGCCGGGGGGCGGGCCAACGACATACTGCTCTCGACGGTCCTCTTTTTGTTTTTTTTTTTTTTTTTAATATCGTCGCAAGCTAATTGCTATATGGATCTTCTTTGTGCTGTTACTTCGCGTATATGATCGCTCCTGCGCTCTTGAAAAGTAAATTGGTCTCGCGCCCGGCGCTCACTGCAAAGTTCAAGTGAATCGTCGTCGTTCGTTGATTATTAATGCGTCGAATGGATGGTGCGCAGGCTTTTAAAACTCTAACGCGTACGCTAATTTATGATTTTTGGCAAATGCCTCGCGCAGCAGCACCGAATTCCAGAACTTGAAAATTTTTGGCAGAGTCGTTCGTAATATAGTAGAGTTTGATGCATTATTATAATTAAAAATTTCGTTGGGGGCTATAGGTTCATTTCACGAAATTAATTCTCTGAAGTATTATAATTCGTAGGCCGCGCAGTAGTGGGTATAATGATTATTTTCCTCGAAATTTTATCGCGACCATTGTCGCGTTTCATACAATATGAGCACGAGAGAATCGACGTTGTGAATCATTTAGACAAATCGACACGTATCACAGTTCTGTTATAGCATTTGAAATTAGCTCGGGTCGGACACTCGTATAATTTTCTACGACATTAAAATTAAGTGAGACTTTTGCACACAAATTATTTACGACTTGTCGCTCGTCCGCGACTCATTTGGCTTTTAAATAATAAATAAAACATTCTCGACTATTAAAATTTCACGTTTTATAGTCTCGGTCGAGCGAGCTCAAATCTCAACCTCATGCATACCGAATTATTTTTTATCTCTCTCTCTTCTTTTTCTTTCATTGCAGTTACCACAATCCGATCGCCGCGCGTTACTCGCCGCACCTGTCGACGATCTCCGAGTCGCCGATCGTCGTGCTGCGTCGCTATGGCCAGTCGGCCTCCACGACGGGCAGCACCAGTTCGTTCGTCCGGCCGATCAGGCGCACCATCGACACGGCGGACATCGACGTCACCAAACCACCGTCTTCGTTGCGCAGCCATCATCATCATGCTGCGTCGTCGTCGTCGGCACAGGATCGCCAGCAGAGGCATCGACTGCGTCGCGACCGGCCGACCATCAAGATACGCTCGCAGGCGCTCAAGGACAATCCGGCGCTCAGGGAGTACAACGAGCGACACGAAAAGACCGTGGGCGAGCTGCTGGTCGAGAAATTCTTGATCAAGGACAAGCAGCAGCCCGACGAGCCCAAGATCAGGCTGTATCATCAGGCGAGCCTCGGGCTGACGTCTCCGAGCTCCGTCAAAGACGACGAGGATGACAACGACGACGACGACATCCTGGCCGCGATGAGGCGGCGCGTCACCCGTCGCATGACCCGACGTCGCTCCTCGGCCGACGTGCAGCCCCTCGACCCGGAGCAGATCGAGCGCGAGGCTCGGCTGCACGCGGCCCAGGCCGTGGCGCTGGACACTCTGGTGGCCGAGGAGCAGGCCGAGATCGAGAGCGAGGTCAGACGGGGCACCTTCGTGAAGAAGCACGCCATGAAGCTGCCCGGTACAGGCTCGGACGTGTCGGGTACCGAGGAGGAGCTCAGCGTCGGCCACGACCACCAGGTGGCGAAAGAGGAAACGAGGACGGCGACGCGACACGGCACCGCCAAGAAGAAGAAACGAAGGAAAAGCATCGAGCCGGTGCCGGTGGAGAGCGAGGCCGAGGACGATCAGCTGATCGAGATCGAGATACCCGAGCCTGTGATGGAGGTCGAGGAGGAGATGGAGTACGACGACCGGGAGAAGTGCGACGATCTGCGACTGATCATCGATAACAAGATCGACGAGGCGAAGAAGGAAGTTTCGAAGAAGATTGTCGTGGAGAAGAAGGAGGAACCGAAGGCGAAGAAAATCAAATCGAAAGATGCCAAAGTGGATAAAATCAAGATCGCGGATAAGAAGAAAGCGATCGTCAAAGTTCAGAAGGAGCAGCCCGAGACCAAGACTAAGACGACGATCGAAAAAGCTCAAGATGCAACGAAGAGCATCGACGACGACGACAAGAATGAAATCGAAAAAGAATCCGAAACCATTGTCGAGGATAAAAAGCCGACGAGATTTGCCGCCAGGGACAAGACCAGGATCGAGCTGAAACGAGCCCAGTCGGCGCCGAACGAGTCCACTACCCCCGCAACGCCAACGAGCACGAGCGGTGGCAACTTCAAAATCGAGGCCTGCAACAGCGTGGGCGACTTCTCGACCCTCTACGTGACGACGAGCGCCGCCGCCGAGCCGTCCGTCGTCAAGACCTTCGAGCAGTTTCGCGAGAGCGTGAGACTTCCAGCGCCGAGGCGTCAGGAGGTCGCGGCTGCCACCGTAGCCGCCGAGGTGTCGCTGCCGATGCGTCAACAAAAAAAGCAGCAGCAGCAACAACAGCAGCAGCAGCACGTCGATTCGTCGAGACGAAACAGTGTTTACTTGACGCTGAATACAAGCCAGAATGCAGTGGTAACAGAAGCAGCAGCAGTCACAGCAGCATGTCAGGGACGCATTGGCGCCGATGACGGGCTATCAATTAATATCGACGAATCGAGGAAGGAAAGCAGCGGGAGCTGCGTCGCTACTGCTGTTGCAGAGTCAAGGCCTGCCAAGATAGAAAGCTCCGTCGCTACTAGTGGGGATGATCGTCATAATCGACAGCTAGACAGGACGAGTCGACTAGACGACGTAGTAGTAGCGCCCGCCGAGCGGCCATTGAACGTCGTCGCAGACGTTACCGACGACGCGTTTATCATCAGCAAGAACAGTAGTGATACGAGTAGCGCGGGTGTTGGTGGTGCGGGTCAGAGAGGCGGCGCCGACGAGTTCGTGCAGTGGTGGGACGAGACGGACGATGCTGCCCATCAGCATCGTCATCATCCAGAAGACAAGAGAAGCGTGACGAAAGTGACCAAGGCTCGAGATGAGCCGAGAAAGATTAGCGACGAACTCGTTGTGAAATCGGCAGTGGCGGCTGCAGCTGCACCGCTCGAAGAAACCAAAGTTCAGAAGCCTCGAGAGGTAGCAGCGAAAAAAGTAGAGAAAGAGGCCACGCCGCCTCCAGCGAAGCGCGAAGCTAATAAAGCGGAAGAGGTAGCTGTCAAAGACTTACCGATCAAGCAGAAATCGGCAGCAGTGGTAGAGGAGAAGAAGCTGGTCAAGAAGAAGTCGTCGCCGGAAAAGGATATTGCGGTCAAAGAGTCGAAAGATAAATCGGAAACCGAAGGTGCACCTTTCACGAAGAGCAAGAGTCCGGAGAAGAAGGTAGTCAAGAAAAAGACGTCGCCTGAAAAGGAGCTCTCAGCGAAAGATAAGTTGACCGTTCCGATATCCGAATCGGATACTTCGAGAAGTAAGAGTCCGGAGAAAAAATTAGTCAAGAGTAAATCGTCACCCGAGCAGAATATCTCGGCTAAGGAATCGAGAGAAAAATCACCCGCGCCGACGAAGCAAACGTCGGAAATCGAAGCCGTACCTTTCAAAAAGAGCAAGAGTCCGGAGAAAAAGTTAATTAAGAGTAAATCGTCACCCGAAAAGGATATCTCAATCAAAGACTCGAAAGAAAAGTCAGAAACCGAAGCTGCCGACCCTTTCACGAAAAGCAAGAGTCCGGAGAAAAAATTGGTGAAGAAAAAGACGTCTCCCGAGAAGGAGCTTTCATCCAAAGACTCGAAAGAAAAGTTGACCGTACCGATACCCGAATCGGAATCTTCGAGAAGTAAGAGTCCGGTGAAAAAATTAGCCGTCGATAAGGCTCCTGAAAAAGTTAAGGAAAAGTCGCCGGCACCTGAAGTGAAAAAACCATTGGAAGCTGTGCCTTTCGTTAAAAGTACGAGTCCGGAGAAAAAAGTCGTGGAAAAAGAAGCGTCACCCAAACGGGAAATTCCGTCGAAAGAAAAATCTCCCGTACCCGAAAAACCAAAAGAGGCAGCGGTTGAAATTACGAGTAAGTCGAAACCGATCGCAGAAGAAGTAAAAGTCCCGGAAAACAAATCGACTCCCCTCAAGAAAGAAACCCCCAATAACAAGGTGACGAATAAAAAGCTCGAGCCCAGCAAGCCGGAAAAGAAGCAGCTGCAACCGCAGCAACAGACGAAGATCAAGTGCGACTTGCCGCGGATCGATCATCGCTATCTCGCGGACATACCCGAGGAGCCGAAATCGGCCTCGCCCACGGACAAGCCAGCGCCGCGATCGTTTACCGATTTCGCGCCCGCGAAGGGCGGCAAGAGGCGAGTCGACACAGCGGCGGTGATCGAGATCGAGAAGCGCATCAGGCAAGACTCGGACTCGGCGGACAAGATCGTGACCGGCGCGGCGGTCGTCTTGATGCCCGCCGCCGAGCCGACGAAAAAAGTCGACGCCGATAATAATAAAGAGGACGGCAAGAAAGTAGGCTCCAGCGCCGTCAACAAGTCAACGGGCGCGCCGCCGGAAATAGACTTCTGGAGCGAGATTAAAATTCCGAGCGAGAAAGTTTGCGAAACAACGACGACGGAGACGGAGACGAGTGCAGTCGAGAGTTCGGTTCAGTCGCTCGAGCGCGAAGAGCAACCGCAGCCGCTGCAGCAGCAAGACGACGCGAGCATATCCAGCGAGGAGGTTGTTCGCAAGGACAGTCAGCCGTCGCAGAGCGGCACAGTGAAAAAGATCTCCAAGTGGACGAACCAGGACAATCTGAACAATGCCGACGACGAGTTGACCCCGATCAATTCCAAGGAGGTGAGTCCGCGAGTGTCCACTGCTTCGGTAGCCTCGACCACCGCTGCCAGTAGCACCACCACCAAGAAGAAGATCGTCAAGCGGAAAAAGTCCGGCACGACCGGCACCAAGAAGAAGTCCGACAAAGCCGAGGCGGGCAGCGGCGGCTCGAAGGTAGGCACGAAGAAAACCGGCACGAAAAAGACGTCGGCGGCCCTGAAGAAGGCAACGAGCTCGGCGATGTCGCAGGAGTCGGGCAGAAACTCGCCCAGCGCCCCGCGGCCCTCGGATCTCTCGAAGCTGCTCTATCAGACGCCGGCCATACTGCTGACGGCGACGCCGCGCGATCTGCGCAAGGTGCGCCGCGCCAAGGTGAAGAGGAAGAAGCCGCCGTCGAGGACGCCCTCGTTGAGCAGCGACAGCACGGGCAGCACGAGGAGCACGGCGACGGGCAACACGACGAGCACCGAGGAGGGCAGCAGCAACGAGGACGGCTTGGAGGGACACAAGAGGCTCGCCTCGACCAGGAGCAACGACTCGGGCTTCGACGGATCGCCGAGACTCTCCAGTACGAAGATCCGCGTCGATCTGCATTATATAATGTGTTTTTTTTTTACTTGTCTAACACCGTTGTGAGTTTTTTTTTTTTTACTAATGCAACAATGTGTTTACGTTTTTGGTGTTTTTAATATTTTATATACGAGACGAGTCGCTGCCGCCACATCGTAACGATATCGAATGACGATCGCGATTTTTGGCAGCGATCGGGTAGCACGTGTGTGTGTGTAGGTGCGCGACTGCATACTTCGCACGCTGTGTGCTACGTGCTGTGTGCAGGTATAAAAATTGGATAATAATATAATACATCGTGTATGCGCGTCCGTCAACGCGTACATATATATTATACCCCGAGAGATGAGTTATCGATTTCGTCGCGTCGCGCAAAAGTTAATTCACCCTTTTGATATACGAATCGGGTTCGATCCCTGCCCCCCTCCACCTATTTTCGATTTATAAACGCGGGCCAAGCTTCTGATTTTTTGTTTCTGTACGATATATTTATGACGAATTCCAATATATAAATCAGATTGCGACTTGGTGTGCCATAAGAAATGCGAAAAATTGACGGGCAATCTTTGCGGAGTCAATCAGAAGCTCATGGCCGAGCTGCTGCAAACGGTACAGTTCAAAAGTAAGTGGCGGCGTATAGTGGCGCTATACGCTGTGTGTTTGATCTTTTTCATAGTCGTCGATGTGTCTCATGCGTACGATTACTGCTGCCGCTGAAAAATTTATCCTGCTGTTTGACGCTTTTTATACGCACGCACAAACATATTATAAACACGAACTACTTTATCGACCCGAATATACCGTACGCTGCAAGTCGCGCGCACAATTATAAACGTAAAAGAGGTACGAGCTTACGTATGCAGGTGGATATATGCCGATCGAGATTATTTTTTTGGCAATCGTCACGCAGCAGCACACCTCATTATAAAGAGAAATGGCCGTTTCGTGCGTGCGCGCACAGAGCTTCGTCATCGATGTATTATACGCTTTGCTATATATCATACACTTAATCGTATTGAAAAAAGCTCTCACGAGCTTTTTAGCGGCGACGAACATTCGAATACGCAATATGTCACTCTCGAGACTTTTTTTGTTCATCTCGTGGGTGCGGCTTGGCGTGGAAGGAAGTGTCGCGCGTTGCGTAATCGAAGGACAACAACAAGCCCGCGGAAAAAAAATACGCGTATGCAGTCGGTGTGTAACGTAGTCGTTGAAAGCTTGAAAAATCGAGAACGCGGGAAAAAAGAACGAGAAAATCTCCGTTTGATAATAATCATAATGATAATAACGATGATTTGCTTCGACGAGTCTTCCTACTTGGCTCGCTCTTGGCTCTCTCGCTCTACCGGGTTTTAGCACGCGACGATATTACAACGCGTTAAATTCGTTCATCGCCGCAAATGAACGGACTCTATTCAAGAAAATCAATTTGCCGATTATTCTCAGCTCTGCTACGAGAACACGCGTAAAAAATGCATTTAGTGACTCTCTGCACCTTTTCTTCTTCCCCACCGCCGAACTATGGATCAGTACGCGCGCTCGCAGAAAAGCTCGCGTTGCAAACGCATACCGATCTCTTGCATCGAACGTCATCGCGTCATCGACGCGTCGAGTGTGGTGCATGTTTGTGGCGTACACAACGCACGCGGTCTGCTTTTCTTTGCGCGCGCGCGAAATTATTGGTCCGAAGCCACGCCGCGCGATCTGCGCATCTTTGAGGAAATTTCGCGAGGAAAATCGTAGAAACTCGAGCTCGTTTCTTTCTTCGATTGCGGTAATATGGTAGTGCATCCGTGACTCGGAGAGCGCGAGGACCAATCAGCGACCGGCCGCGCATTTATATTTTTGATATAGTAATACGGATCGCGCGCCATGGCGCAGGAAAGCGCAGGTATTTTTCTACATCGTTTTGACTTTACACGTCGAGCACTATTTGTCCTGGAGTTATCTCGAGTCCAATTGATAAGAGACAAGAGCGAGATTCAGATGATTCCAGGGCAAAAATTTTAGATTCAATCGATATAATAAATCCGTAGGTAGTAGCACCGCAAGCAGCAAATCGGGCCCGTCGTTCGTGCGCGTCGGCCGCAAGTCCTTCGTGCGACGCCGGCTCAGGCCGCAGGGCTATTACGGCGTCGTCGAGCAGCAGCAGGAGCTGCGCTATCAGCAGCAATCACTCGGTGAGATTAGTTCCCCAAACACACACATACATACACACACATGCTATTCGCAAAAAAAAACAGCTGCTTTTCTCAAGCTATTTTCAGCTATTTCAACGCTGCATCGTTGTTATACGTATCGAAAGAGAGGACACATGTATAACGCATCGGTGTGAGTGCGCGTGGGGGATGGTTTAGCCGGTGTTTTGTCGCGAAGACGGATGACTGCGGACGTTACTCAATTATCGAAACTGTGCATTAATATCCGAACGACACGTGGCCTGTGAGTGTGTGTGTGCGAACTTTGTTTTCTCAATCGGCTGAGACAAATCGATTCACTCGTGCGTATCGAGGCATTGATCACATTCGAGTAAAAAACGTAAAAAAAAAAAAAATTGAGAAGAGAAAAAGAAACTAAAAAATCACGCTACGCTCTAAAAATATGATTTCACGTGACGTCGATAACGCGCGACTGTTTGTAATGTATACGATAAATACAAATTTCGCGTGTCTCGCGGTGAATGGGACGACGACGACGACGCGGTGGAAGATAAACAAAAACGAATAAACCGCGCGCGCGAGACTATCGACGTCACTGCGATTCGGAGGGGGACAAACGGAAAAAGAAATTTCGTGAAACAACGACGCGACGCGATCGTCAATCGTCGACCGGTGATCAACACAACATCGATCGATGAAAAAAAAAAGGCAGAGGAAGAAAGAGGGAGAGAGAAAGAAAATCGAATAGTTCGAAAAGCTCACGACCTTGAGGCGCACGATTTAAGCTCTCGAGTTTAGAGCGAGCTCATACGAGGGAGAGTTGGAAGTAGGGAGGAAAAAAGAGGGGAGTGTTTGTGGGTTTGGGGAAAGCAGGTCCTATACCGATTTTGTCGGTCGAGCGCAACCTGTTGGCCGATCGTCAATTTCTGAAAGCTCGACCAGAGTCTCGAATACGATCGCATCGATTCTCAAAGCCGAGAATCGCGTTCGTGATCTGCACGCGCGTGTCTCTCTCGTCTCAGGCTTTTTCATAAGGCAAACGTATGATGGACGGCGACGATCGTCGGTGTGCGAATCGAGGACTGTGTGGCGTACTCGCGGACGGCATCTCCTCTACTGCACGTACACACACACACGCACTCACACACATAAAGCTCATAATAAAGATGTATGCGCGCGTGTAAAGCTGCTGCCGCTGCCGCTGTGACATCGAACGGCCAAGTCTATTTTTGAATAATGTCAGAAGAGCAGCCAAAAACTCTCGGCTCGTATACATGCGCACACGTACACACGAGTTACGCAGCGATATTCGTATGCGATCATTATTACTATATACGCGAAATACGCTTCGTATCGAGTGAACTGCCATATAGTATGCAATTTATATTACATAGCAAGAGGAAAAGAAGCGGCGGCCGATCTCGCGCAACTAGGTGACGATTGATCCACACACTAACGTACTCACGGACTGTGACCGGGAGAAAAAAAATTTTGTCGCGTACGATGGGATAAAAAATTTGACGTTGTAGCGACGTTACCCCCCGCGCGCACGCGTGCATTAACGCATTTAAAGTTACGCGCATGAGCTTGCGAACGCACACATTCACACATACACGCGAGTCGTCGTTGCTATATTTTTAGAATCTCACGGCTCGTACGTGCGAGTTTGTGTATCTGTATATATAATATGCTGCAATATGAATGTGCACGAGAAAAGGAAAAAAAGGAAAGAACGAGAAAAAAAAAGCAGAATCAGCAGCTGCACTTTTCTCCTGCACGTTACATTATGTTTTACACGCACAACAAACACGCACTCGTGCGGTATGAGCGAGGCACAGAGCTGGCTTTTGTGCATTCGCTTGTATATCCAGGCATTTTTTTTAAATACATCTCCCGCTCGTGCGAGTATTAATATTTTTGTCCGGCGCTTTTACGAATTTTTCTCACAAGAGCCATACGCGACGGACATGCGTGTGCAGCAGCGGCAGCAGCATACGAGACGGAAAGAGAGCGACTGTATTTTATGCGCGTGATGGTTAATAAACGCGTGCGTCAGAAAATTTGCATGGTCATGCAAGTCGTATCGACTACTATATGTGCATAAAATGCATAGACACGTGCTTGTGTCACTGTTTGTCTTTCTGTGTGTATTTTTCATCCTCGCATGTATTTTTTCCAACAACAACAAGAACCAACCATATCCTTTCGATTTTGTTTTTTAATCCCCATTATCGCATGTATGGCAGAGCTTAACAGCATATGCAATGTATAGCCATATGCTGTATTCGAAGGCTCATCGTATTTTTCTATTTTTATTTTCTTGTTTGTCGAGTTCGTAGTACTTACTGTATGTAACGAGTGTGCAGGACATGTTTTTTTGTTGAAAAAAGGTTGAGTCTCAATACTTTACAATACAATTAGAGTTATGTTGTTGTATTATTAAATCAATGTTAGCTCAACTTCTAATTTGTATAATTCTACGCGCAGCTCCTTCCCAATCCTCGGACAATCACAAGAACGCCGACGGCGACGCCTACCATCCCAGCGGGCGGATAACGCCGCCGGCCACGAACCTGCCCAGATTCAAGAAGTACGAGGTCACGGACTTTAATTTCCTCAAGGTCAGTACGAGCATTAACTATCGTTTATTATTATTGATGACGACGACTCTATATACGATCGTTAACGAGCAAAACAACAAACATATCGATATTTTTATACTCTATAATAATTTGTACACAGGTCCTGGGCAAGGGCAGCTTCGGCAAGGTGCTGCTGGCCGAGCTGCGCGGCACCGAGTGCGTCTACGCGGTCAAGTGCCTCAAGAAGGACGTCGTGCTCGAGGACGACGACGTCGAGTGCACCCTCATCGAGCGCAAAGTCCTCACGCTGGCCACACGCCATCCCTATCTCTGCCATCTGTTCTGCACGTTCCAGACGACCTCGCATCTGTTCTTCGTGATGGAGTACCTGAACGGCGGCGATCTCATGTTTCACATACAGAACAGCGGCCGGTTCAGCGAGGCGCGCGCCAAGTTCTACGCCGCGGAGATCTGGTCGGGCCTGATATTTCTCCACAAGAAGGGCATCGTCTATCGAGATCTGAAGCTGGACAACGTGCTGCTGGATTACGAGGGCCACATACGCATCGCCGACTTCGGCATGTGCAAGCTGCAGATATTCCTGGACAGGACGGCCGACACGTTTTGCGGCACGCCCGATTACATGGCACCGGAGGTACGTGTATTTCTCAAATGAAAATATTGCATGCATATTTATTTATTGAATTAAAAGACAATAAATTTGAAAAAGTTATTGAACGAGTTCTTATGCAAGTTCTTTAGAAGATCTTTCAAGAGATACAAGAGAAACTTGTATAAGAAAAATTATTATATTTTATACTGAAAGTATGAGATCTTTGGCTTATGACAAAATTTACTATTACTATCGTAATTTTTATTATGTTTCGGATGATTTTTAGTACATTTTATTGTAAATTTTGCCATAAGTCAAAGTTGTAATATTTTTACTATAAAATATAGTAATTTTTTCTACTTAGATTTCTTCGTGTACTTACAACTCAAATGCCCTAAATATATGAGTAATATCTTGCGTAAAAATTCAAATGATAACTTACTTGAAAGTACATACTTGTAAACAATAACTTGTAGGATCTTGCGACACGCGAAATTGACAAAAAAAATAATTTTTTCCTAGCTAATAATCATAGATTTAAAAAACTGGTTAGTTAAGTTAAAAGAAATAATCTCTCTTTTTGTACATAATTTTGGTCAAGATAGGTAAAATTTCACCAAATTTCTTACTCTTACTTTAGTATTTAGGGCTTTCCAAATGAGCCAGCTTTTACGTAAGAACTTATGTCAAAACTTTTACGGTCGATATTAATACGTAAGATCTTATTTTAGTTCAAGAAAAAAAAAATGAAAGTAAATTCAGTATATCAAGCCCGCAATTTTCTTTATTGTTATACACACTAATAACGCTTGCGCAATTTTTTCTGCAGATCATCAAGGGCCTGAAGTACAATCAGGCCGTGGACTGGTGGTCGTTCGGCGTCCTTCTCTACGAGATGCTGACCGGTCAGTCGCCCTTCTCGGGCTGCGACGAGGACGAGCTCTTCTGGAGCATCTGCAACGAGCGGCCCTTCATTCCGCGCTACCTCAGCCAGAGCGCCACAGATCTGCTCGTCTGCCTGTTGGAAAAGGACGCGGGCAGACGCATACCCGGCCACGAGATCGCCTGTCACTCGTTCTTCTGCGTAACTATCGATCCAATTATTTTTATATACCTTACCTTTTTTTCTTCGTTGATTTAACGAACGATTTTTTTGTCTTCGAAATACGATAGACGATCGCCTGGGACAAGCTGGAGCGGCGCACCCTGGAGCCGCCGTTCAAGCCCGCGGTGGAGCACACCCTCGACACGCGATACTTCGACACGGCCTTCACCGCCGAGCGGCCGAGGCTGACGCTCGTGCCCGAGCAGATACTCACCTCGATGGACCAGAACGTGTTCCGGGGCTTCTCCTACACGAATCCCAACGCCACCGATTGAAGCGCGCTTAATGATAATTGATACGTGACGACAAAAAAATATTGATTTTATATACGTGACACTGACAGCGGTACGAGCAATAAATGAGCAATGACGTTTCGATGCGACCGAACTTCGAAAGAGAGAAAGAGAGAAGAAAAAAGTTAGGAAGAGGTCGTAGCCGTCGTCGTCGTCGTAATTCACACGAGCGCCATGTGCTCTGGCCTTTTTTTCTCTTACTCTTACTCCGTATCTCTCGTTAATGTGTCGCTGTTACTGCTGCTGCTGCTGCTGCTGCTAGATGTCAAGAGGGCACTGACACGCGAGTGAAGTGGATCATTGCAAGCTCGAGCGAGCACACACAATATAGCATATTCAAATTTTCGAGAATCGAGCGGTGGCCGGCTTGTACATAATGTAACTCGTGCGTTAAAGCCGGCAAGGAAGAGGCGTGTCCAAAGTGTTTGACGGCTGGAATGTACCCACGTGTTTCTTCGAACAAAATTGACTTTTTGTACCGTGATTTTGGACGCGATATCGATGACTCTCTCGTTTTCTCATTTCAAATGACCTGCATTTATGCAAATCGCAAGAATATGGTAAAATTAATCGTCGATTAAAGATCGTCACCTATACGGAGCATCGCTCGAACACTTTGGAGTCTTTGCGCACGAGCGCGCGAGAGAGAAGAGAGCAAGGATTCTCGCTATGCATACTCTTTTTTTTCTCACGAACCTTTTGTAAATAATGAGGAAAAAAAATTGAATGAAAAGAAAAAAATATACTTATAAATGTTAGTTTGTATTTGTCGAGATAATATTACGTATACGCTAAATGTTTTTTTTTTGAAATACGATTATTTCACTTTATAAATATAATTATTATTATTATCATTGAATACAGAGATATCACTATATGCAATACAAATGAGAAAATGGATAGAGAATTGCGATTTCTTTTTTTTTCGTCCGTATTATAAATATATATTCGTTATTGTATATTTTTTTTAGTCTACGATCGTTGACTGATGATAATTTTTCTCTCTGTTTTATTTGTAACTGTACCTCATATTTTATTTATTAAATCGTGCATATAGTTTATTTATTCATTATATTGAAAAAAAAAGAAACGAAAATTGCCCAAAAAAAAAGATGACGACGAGGAAAGAAAAGATTTGTTAGAAATCTATACGAATATATGATATGTGAATGTGATATGTTTCGATTTGCTAAATAGTGTTTATGTGAATATCTGAATTGTTGTTGAATAATTTTTAAAAAATATTACCGTACCTAATATATCTGTCAATATAAAATCTATCTCTACACTCATCGTATCCGCATGACAACCCAAACTCACACGTGCACAGACTCAGGATGGAATCATGACAGATAGTTACTCTTCTTTTTTTATTTATCGACGTTATAATGTTTTTTTTTTTAATCAGCCAAAAATCCAACTTAAATCCGTCAAACATATTGTAATAGCCCGATAGCATCGTTTTCCAACGACGAAAAAAAAAATCATACACCAAATAATTCATGAAAAAAAAAAAGGTTAAATAAAAATACATAAATAAATCTTTCGCTGTGGTTTCCTTTTTTTTCCGTTACGTGCGGCAATTGCAGTCGCACGTCGTAGATCAGTCAGCTCCGGCTCGAAGGCGCTGATCAAACGAGCTTTTCTGCGAAACGTCGAGCAAGCGCGTGGTATATAGAGTGTGGTGCAATACAGCACCAAGAAAGAGAAGTCGGGGGGGCGCCGGTGACCTGAAAATTAAGCTCGTCGTCCGTCGCCATCGTACACACATACACACACACTCAGACATATCGCAAAAGAGTCGCACATATATAATTCCCGTATATTATACGATCGCAGACCAGGTCACGAGTTATTAATATATGTACATGAAGTGTGCGTGTGTGTCGCCCAATCTCATTATAATCGCATCGAGGTAAAAGGCCTGTGTTCCGCTTTGCGCGACCACAAGACAGAAAGCAGACTTTTGGCAACAATAACGAAACAAAAAACAGCATCGCAACGACAACACAACAAGTCTAACTAGCCGAGCTCGACCGTTGTGGTAATTTTCATCGCGTTTAACGGCTTTCCGCGGAGCTTTTACGACTTTTTGGGCTGTTTATTATCCTCTTACCACTGAGATCCCGCACTGCGCGATACATACGCCCTGCGCGTGTTACGCGGTCCGCATTTAAGGTGTAGTAAAAGCGCGACGATTGAGATGGGTTTAATTTTGGAAAGCTCCGTTAATTTTTTTTGCATACAGATTCGAATCCGGATATCGAAGCTTTTTTTCATCTAATTTTTGCCAATTATTTACAATGAAATGAAACGCAGACTTGAGTCTCTCTTAGCCAGACAGACGCAAAAAGAGTACGTACGAGGAAAGGAAAAGAGAGTCAAAGAGATCGAAAGAAAAAGTCTCGCGCCGTTTGCGCTCGGGTGTGCTAATACCACGTATATGTATGTATATCGCGCGACTAGAAATAGAGTCTCGCCGCACGCGGACGTATCGCATACATACTACACGCTACTTCTATACGCTGTTCCGAGTTCCAGATTTTCTTCCGATGCCCTCGCGCGGCGCGAATGCACCGCGGCGACGACGCGTACACCGATCCAAAACGATTTATTTTCGTATTTCGTCGCATGATATGTAAAATAAAATCCTCGTCTGTACCGGAGAGGGGAAGTGTCACTTATATCGAGGCAAGTGTTTGTATTATATCGACAAAGTCCCCTCTCGTCTTCTCGACGAGCAAAGTTTGACATTTTGTACCGTACCGACGACGGTGTGACTTTTTTTTTTGCTTTTCTATTTACTTTTTGTCAAGCGGGGCAAGTGTTTCTCGTACACATAGTATATAGAACGAACGAGATGTTTGGCAGATCGCAGGTAAGTATATATGCAACACTTATGTAGAAGAGGGGAGCGATATAACTATAATAGTTACAGCCGGAAACGCCAAGAAGTGTATGCTATATGGGGTCTTGTAAATGAAAGCATAAGCAGCGCTGCACCTACTTTACATATTTGTAACGTGCACTAATATGGGATGTATTTACGTGTATTTTTGAAAGTAAAATCAAGCGTGACTAATTCTGTGAAAATCGTATATATTATAGAGATCGTGCGCGTCGAGACCGACTGCAGCATGCACACGTATGCGCACATGCCGTGGAGTTTGAATCGACGCGTTCAATGCGCGCGGCGTACCAGCTCGCGAGTCCTTCTCTATAGTATTGAGTATTACGTGTATAATATACACTGTATATGAATACGTTTGGGAGCTCCCCCGCGTTGACTCTGTCTGTTTCTCTCTCTTTCTCGAGCAGCTATTTTTGAAGTAACGCATTTTTCGTGGCCACAGCAGCGGAGCGCGACTGCACCGCATACATATCGCACGGATGCATTGCCGTAAAAGCATATAATTCCATCTAGCCCTTGAAATGAAAATAAAAGAATGAGCGAAAAACTTAACTTGTTCCATTATACCGTTCTTTATTCGTTTTCTTGGATGCAAGCGTATCGAATTCAATAAAGCTTTCAGCGCAGAAAGAAGTGTCTAATTGTCAAGAAACGTTTTTCTTCGAGATATTAAAAAATTATAAGTAACGAAAAACAAAAAAATACTGAATAATTCATTTATCCAAGCTAGATGGTATCCATGAGTAAATTAGGTTCAGTTTTCTCCGATGCCAAATTAGGTAAATCGAGTGACATACATGCTTCTTCGAAAAAAAGCGAAAGGTATGTGGCAATGGAAAATGTCTATATCGATGGAAAATTTCCTGATCTTTCGATCTAGACTATTTAAAAAAATCTTAAAAGAGAAGTTTTCGAGATAATCGACTTTAAAGTTTTCCCAGCGATTTTCCCGGGTAAAGCGGAAAATTTCGGAAAATCTGACCTCACCATCGAAAAGCTGAGGCGATTTCCCATCGAAATCATGTGTTTGTTTTTTTCTCAAGGTGCATTTTAGTACTTTTACAACGATTTACAAATTTAGTAATTTGACTTAATTCTGCCGCGCGGCGCGGCACTGGGAGAGTTGACGTGAAATGCCACGTATTTAGAAAGTGAGTCAGAATGTTTTCAATTCAATCCTCCCTGGTGAATTTTCATAGGCCAAAAGGTTAATACAGCTGAGAGGGGGGAAAAAAATCAAACCAGTTCAACGAGTTACATTACTTGTCAATTTATTTATTTATACACAACATCGTACATCAATGAATTAAAATTTTACCTATCCATGATATAGGTATCTCTGGTCCGCAGATATAAAAAGAGTTATTACTCAAGCACACGAATGCGCTCTTATTTAATTCTCTTTCTCTCTCGTTCTCGCCTCTCGATCGCCTTCTGGAGCAGCATCGTCGTGGCCTCGACTTTCGCCGTGAATTTGTCGTCGTTCGTGGCGATCATACACAGTTGATACAAGTCTTCCGTCGGCAGCCTCTGGGCGAGCTTATCGCACTGAACGAGCGAAAACTGGTAGGAATCGAGTTCCCAGAAGCAATCCGCGGCGAATCTATGGAAAAATACCCTCCACATCATTTTGCAGATGCGCACGAGACAGGCCTTCTCTTGTCTCCGGTTCATGGCCGACAATTTTTGCGAGTTCGCGATCAACTCGTAACACTGGACGTACGTGATTTTATCAGCTAACTCTCTGGGACGCGGCGCCAGAAGGAAAAAGTCGTGGATCGAAAATTTCGGCTTCGCGTCCGTCATCGCGATTTCCCGCGTCTTTTTGATGAAATTGCGGCCGTTGCAGATATCGAAGACCATCCGTTCCTCGAACAGGCCGTTGCGGACGTACAGCTTCATCATCGTCGCGGCGTCCCGTCTGTCCAGCTGGTAACCGGCGTTCACGAGCAACTCGGCGACCACCAGAGCCCCGGACACGCGCACGTATTTCGATTTCAAATCCTCGCCATCGTCGTCTTCGTCGTCCTCCTCCTGCTGGCAATTATCGAAAAAGAGATCGAGGTCGGGAAAGCGGAAGCTCGCGACGTCGGCGCCTCGTTGGAGCAGCGCTGCGACGGCTCGGGGCTTGAGTCGCGCCACGGCGTACTGCAGCGGGCTACGACCGCGCGAGTCCGCGGCGTCGAGCTTCAGCCGCCCCAGCAGCCCGAGCTCGTCGCTGATCTCGAGAAACTTCCGCAGCAGCGAGCCGCCGTCCAAGTTCCGACGCGTCGTGCAGATGGCGTGCAGGGGGCTCTGTCCTTGCGCGTTGAGCAAGCTCGGATCGGCACCTCGTCTCAGTAGCGACTCGGCGAGCTTCGAGTAGCCCCTCCGCAGTGCCGAATGCAGCGGTGTGTCGCCCGCCACGCTGTCCCGCGCGTCCATCGACACGCTCCTGTCGTTGGCGCTGCAGCTCTTCAGAAACGTGTCCAGCAACGCCTTGCTTTGTTTTTCTCGCTTGCAAATCACGTGCAGAGGAGTCTCGCCGGCCTCGTTGGCCAAATTCGGATCGGCGCCTTCGTCCAGCAGCCATCCGACCGTCCTCGTGCTGTTGCCGGCCAGAGCCAGATGCAGCGGCGTGTTACCCAGTCCGTCCGCTGCGTCCATCAGCATGCCGCGTTGCTTCGGGTTCTGGAAGTGCCTCTCGAGAAAGTCGAAGCCCGCGTCGTTGGGCCTCGCGCAGAGCGCGTGCAGCGGCCGAGTTACGGCGGCGGTGGTGGGGCAGCCGGCGCCATTCGCATCGGCGCCGTGGGTCAGCAGCAGCTCGGCCATCGAATCGTTGCCCTGCGCGATGCTCCAGGTCAGCGGCGGCAGCAGCGCGTCGATCGTGTCACTGCTGCACTCGTCCACGTCGGCTCGCCCTAGCTCGAGGAAGTCGCGCGCGATGTCCTCGAAGCCGAAGCGGCAGGCCACGTGGAAATGCGTCAAGCCGCGATCGTCGACGTAGTTCACGTCGACCCCGCCGTATATCTCAAAGAGATCGCGAACCGCCGAGCGATAGTAGGAGTGGCAGAGGGCCGCGCGATGCACCGCCGTGACGCGGCGACGGATCGACTGGCCGGCAGCGTCGTACGCGGGCTCGATCCTGTAGCCCGAATTCGCCGCGAATCGGAGAAACAGCACGTAGGTTTCGGTGTCCTCGTTCCCGGGCGTGGATTCGGCTATCACGGAGATCGCGTCGAATAACAGACTCTCCATCTCTTCGGGCGAAAACACGGCCTGGGGATAAGGAACTTGGCCCAACGCGCCGTAATTTTCGTGCAAGTAGTCGAAGTGCTTGATCAACCGCATTCGCTTCTCTTTGATCTTCCAGTCGGTCGACTTTCGTAATTTCCTGAATTCGTCCAATATCCGTTCACGTACACGTATTTTCTTGTGTCTGTCGATGCACGCGGACAAACGCCTACGCTTTGAACTTTCGAAATCCGTCAGATCACACTCGTCCGTCTCTCTTTTTGACTTTTTCGGTAGCTCATCCTGTCTACTGATTGACTTCGTCTTTGACTGGTCCTGTTTATTGCTTGAGTTCTTGATTGACTCGTCCTTTTTGCCGCTTATACTCGACTCCTTCGGTAACTCATTTTCATATCTCGGCGTTCGAATACGTAAATCATCTTCGTCGGATAATCTCCATTCGTCGAGTATCATATAGCAAGTACTTTCATCCCTTATCAACTCGTCTTTATCGAGGCTGGACGACTGAGATTGCGAGCCTCCGTCGGATCTATTGCTGACCGAGAACATGTTTATAACTAACACAGTTCACGTATACACACACAAACAACAGAAGTTAAGTAATTAAGATCTTTTCTTTTTTCTTTCCTATTCACTAATAACACGTGCTGCAGTCGCTACGTCGACACTTTCACTTTTAAAAAGAAACTCAACTCAAAGCAGAAAGGAACTTGTCGTTCGCGCGACGACGACGAACGACCTTCTCGAACTAAACGCAGGCATTTAGAAAGTGGAATTGAAAGTAGAAAGGCCGTCGCATGCCTGCTTCTGCGCTGGAAAGAGCGATCGTGATGGCGCTAGTGATTGACGTGACTCGAAATTCGAATTCAAGTCTGGACAAAAAGGATTGTTATTGCAATAATTTTTAGGAAAATCATTAACTATTTAAAAATGGTTTGAATGAAACTCTCACATATGCAAAGAGTTAAAAAAAAAAGTTGAAAAACAAAAAAAGATGAAAAATCCATTTGTATATTAGTAATTAATTGTTTTCAAATTAATTTTTCTACATTGAACACCTTTATGTTGCACCATATAATGCAAACGTGCTTATTGTCAAGGTTTTTGGTTTTCCATAAACGACATACAGAAGCATCTAATCGTCCAAGATCAATTTTGGTTAGATAACTTTTTATGAATCTCAACAATAAGCACAATGCTTACACCAAGAGTGTTCCAAAAACTATGATTTAGAGCCACAAAATCATAATAGCCATAAAAGCTATTACAAACAGAAGAATTCTCTTTTATCAGTCGAATTGTTGTAACATTTTTTCAGATTCTTAAATGAGGGAAGGTATCAAATGTTTTATCAGTTTATTCGTTCAGTACTAGATAATATTTGTACAAATGATTAAAAGTTGGATGAAAATTGTAAGATAATTGAATGATTGTTAAAAATGGAATCTGTAGTGTGTATTGCTAGTATGTAAAATAAGAAACAAGACCCAAATGTGGCAAGCTGTTTCCACAGCTAAATCTGCTTATTTTTGAGTATTTCAAAAGTTATTCTTTTATATGATTATTTGAAATTGTTGAGAATAGTTTTTTTTTGTGCTGATCAACCAGTTTAATATACATTCTCTTTGTTTGGTTGATCTTTTGACAAATTAGATTGAGAAATGATAGATATTAAGGATAATTTAAATACTCCACATATATTTATAATTTTCAATAATATTCAATAATAATCTATATTTGCTTATTCAAAAATACACTCGTATTACTTTGTTGACAAATAAGCAAATTACCATAAAATAGAGTCAAAAAAAATGAAAGCGTTGATGAAGCATTGATAAATCACTTTTTTCTTTCCACTGAAGTCTTCTTAATCTTGATCGTTACCTGATGAATTTAAGCAATGATTCAATGAATGAATTTACAAGAAATAACTAATTATTCGATTGGTAAATCCTGAAGGTTACATACCTGATTTTCACTGACATTTGAATTGCTAGTTGAATCTGCTGATTCTGCTGATGGATGTATACGTTTTCCATTATCAGTTAGCAGTGTTTGATCACAAAATAAGCTCGTTTCCTCCTTTGGCAGGTTCACCTTGTTATCATTCAAGTTATCTTTTGCACTAGAGTTATCTTCTTCAACTTTGTAAAGTTGATTTTTGATCATTTCAATCGATTCTAACATGTTGGCGTCAAGAACGCCCAAGAATTTCATTTAGAAGCTTGTTTTTTTAACAGTGTCTGCAGTTTCGACTTCGTGCTCCATTATAATACAATGTTTAATATTATTTTTAGAGTCCTCCATCATAAAGAGTTTACCAATGAATTAAAAGATAGAATAATGATAGTTTTAACAATTTGCTGCAACACTCAGCAGCACTCAGCAGTGTTATGACAAAGAGGCGGTTAGAATGCGAGGTTATATCCTTTGACGCGCGCGGCCCGACGGGTCACCACATGCACCAACGCTCGTCAGTGTTTGAGTGTTGTAACTAAGGGCTACTGTCTGCTGTTGTTCTTTATAACTGCTTTATATCGAGATCAAAATATTATTGTGGGAATCTGCCAGTTTTTGACAACTTGTGTAGTACATTGTGCAGTATTTGTGTTACATGCGACGTGTTTTGGTGCGAGTCTACTGTAGGTACACATCAGGCTTGAACTCGGACGACACATGAGTTGACCTGTATGACCGATGACGCAAACTATTTTTCCACATTGAGCCTTTCGTGTCATATAGACATTGACTGCAGTTTCACAAGCTCGCGATCGCTCCGTCCACTCGTGTATGTATGTCGAGTTATATCTAGGGTAAACCAGCTAGTACCCGTCCATTTTCTTATTATTTTCAATAAAATAATTCGATTCGTCTCATAAACAAAGAAAACTTGTAGAAAACACTCGAGTTTATTAGAATTCACGAAAAAAAATTCCATAAATAAAACTTTAAACGTAGAAAAGCTATGTTGAAAAGTGGTCGGGTTATCAAAAAATCCAGTTTTCTAGTACCTGACCACATTTCAATACGGTATATTTTAATTATTTTTCTTACAACCACTTTTTTGACAGATCAACTTTTCGGACAAAAACCTTGCCACACTCTTTGCAGTTATGTGTTCTTTGATTTTTTCATGAACCGTAGCAATGTGCCTATTCAAATCGCTTTTGTATCTACAAACATTTTCGCATTCCTCGCACTTTTGCTCTCTAAGTTTCAAATGAGCTGCATTCACATGATCGTCCAATTTTCGTTGAGTTAGTAAAATCTTAACGCAATAATCGCATTTGTAACGTATATTGCCACTTTTGTTTTTTAATCTTTTATCTTCCGAGGCTGACATTGCAAACGATTTCTCCACTTTTTACTTCTTAATTGTTTTAAAATTTACCTACTGGTACTATTATTTCTCTATAATGGTTTTAAAATTTACCTAATGGTACTTCTATTTCTCTACTGTTCTTATTTCAGACCTAAAGTATACTTTGAACGTTTACATTAGGTATAGTTGAAAATTTGTTTACATCGGAATTACTTTGTCAAGAAATTACGCAAGAAAAATTAAGCGTAGTTATATGAGTTATTTAAAGATTGTGGGGATTAATTTTCTATCAGTTTATGATTTGTCTTGCAAATTTTTTTTGAGGGCTCCTAGCGCATACCTATGAAGCCCCTTATAGCTAATTAAAAAAATTATAGAGCACAAATATAAAAAGTACCGTGTACCGGCGTACCAACTTCACTTTTTTGTCATATCACGCTCGACGTGGTTTTGCCCATATAATTACAGAACAAATATATATACACAGGCACAAGTGCCGGAGAAAAGAGTATGTATATAGCCATGGTGTGGCGCGTGCCGCGCACCGAAAGCCGCATCGCAGCCGCCGCTATACCGAGAGCTGCGGCTGGTATATACACACACATATACGCTTATACTCTTTCTTCTCCCGTCGTCTCGCAGTTTTGTCCGCGACGCGATGCTTTTAACATCGTCGACGACGACGACGACATCGACGCTCGTGAGACTGTAAAGAATCTCTCGCGTAACGCAGTCAGCGCGCGGCCAAAACTAACGCTTTTCTAAACTCCTCTTCTTTTGTTTATTCACTTCTATCTTTTTTATTTTTTCTTTTTTATTTTACTTTTTTTGTAACGAACGACGAGCAAACGAAACCAAAATTATCCTCCGATCGATCATTGTAATCCTGTGAAATTGTGCTTGTGTGCAAGTGTACAAGTTTATAATCGTGTATGTGCGTGTGTTTTGTGTGGTGATCGACCGATTTTCCGACGAAAAAAAAAAATGTTGTTGCAGCCTGCGATGCATTAGGTAATGTCTGAAGCTCACCCGATCAGTGGCTCCTTATTTTTTTGTGTATATCATGGTACAAGCTAATATCGAGTTAATAGAGGAAGCGAGAAAAGATGTAATATCGAGTTAAGCTCCGTAATAGGCTGTTTATTAGTTTTGGGCACACACGCCGAAACACGAGGTACATATATCGGACGGGGAAATTTTCGAAAAATAAATAGACAAAAAAGAGTTATCGTATGAACTTGCTCGTGCACTACGCACTTGCCTCATTCATCGAGTGTATGTTACACTTGACGTTAAATTCGTCATTGCAATCGTACAGTGTGCAGTACATCTCAGCGTCGCGCGCCTCACGTATAAATAAGTATATGTACGCGCGCGAAACTTCGTGCACGACGACGACGATTGGTCACCCTTTTCCAGAGAGATTATTTTTGGATTATAAACGGGTCGAGTTGAAAAAGAAGAAGAAGAAGAATCGAATCGAGTCACGCGCGTCGTCGACGACGACTGTTTACAATCGTTAAAAAATATCGTCTCGTAATATCCGTTGATTCGCCGGGCGGTACGGATCTCGCGAATGTGTTTTTTCAGCCCTCGTGCAGCGAAAATCGTTCCCCATATCTCTCGATGCGGATCGCTTCTGTGCGTTCTTGTATATGTAATATCGTAAATTCAATCGGCGCGCGCGTGTGTAGCGTGTACCGATCGTACACTCGAGATAGCATAATACAGGCGGAATAAAAAGGGCCGGCAAAAGCACACACGCCAAAAACATCAATCGGCCGAATAATCTCTGCTCGCAAAAGCTCCAATTATAAATCTATATAGCCGTAAAGCACCTTTCAACATATCGCGGCACACACGCACACACAGACACACGCATATATACTGCGAGAGAGAACGACGCGACTCTAAATTTAGCTTGACTCTTTGCGCGCGTGAACCAAGCACACAGACACTTTACAGGCAGGGAAAAAAGTATTTAACTCGAGAGCGAGGCTTACATATATTATAAATGCGCGTATATGTCAGAAATAAAAGAAAAAGACGATGATGAAAAAACAAGCTTGTATATAGTCTTTAAAGCGCGTGTGTCAATCAATTTCGACATTCCAGAGTTTAAGAAGAAAATCCAGCGCAGGAGCTCGACACGACGATCGTCACGATGATACGCCTCGACGACGGCGGAGCGACGCTACTACTGCTACTGCTAATATCCTCGGCTTCTTCTGCGCTCGGACGCATTTAGACATCCGACGCCCTTGAGAGAGAGAGAGAGAGAGAGTCATCCGCGGAAAAGGAAGTGCACATATATTTATCCAAAACAAAAAAAAAAAAAAAAGGGAAGGAAACAATGGCCAAGATGTTTAGCTCGCTGCGTCTCGGCACGCTGCGCTCGCGAAAAGCTCGGCCCGGTAGCGTGGCCGCCGCGGCCACGACGACGTCGCCCAACACGACGATGACCAACTGCAACAACACGACGATGACGTCGATCGTAACGACGACGAGCGGCCCCGCCTGCGGCGACTCGACGACGGTCCTGCAGGACAACGCGCTGCTGCAGCAACAGCAGCAGTACATGTCCAGCGGCTACTTCATGCCGAGCTTCCTGAGCTTGGACGAGCTGTCGGAGTCGGCGGCCGTGGGCTGCTCGGCCAGTCCCACCAGCGTCACGTCCAAAGTCGCACAGGTAAGATACCAGAGGAACGGGGTTGTGAAAGTTGAAATCAATTTTTAATTCAAATCCAGTTTAATTCACGAATCAATTTTGATTTTTAATTTCAAATCACTTGAAATTACTAATCAAAAATGATTCGCGATTTAAAATTATTTTAATTCAAAATCAAAATTGATTCGTGAATTAAAATAGTTTTAATTCATAAATCAATTGTATTTATGATTCATAGTGTTTTTTCAATTGTTTTTTTTACAACCCTGCTGAGGTACGGAACAATAATTACAGAGGGAGTCACGTGATTTAAATTCATTTAAATGTATTGGCCTCGAGTCTGTGACATGTAGCTCCCATGGTGTCAGGCAAATGAACTGTGAGCGGTCAATGCTAGTGAGGGTTAATTTATAAAGATACATTGGAAATCACGAGTAGCTGCTTCTTTATAAATAAAAATGGATTGTAAAACTGAAGTGAAGAAAATAAAAAGTAAAAGGTGTTGTGTGCATGACTGCAAAAGTAAGACTGGCGTAACACAAGTGCCTTTTTATCATTTCCCTACAGACAATAAGCTATTTTCCCTTAAAGTAACTCGTAGAAATGCTTGTTTTATCAATGTAATGTTGTATTATCAATGATTGTTTATTTGTCAGTTGTTTATCGTGGGTGCCTGCGTGACTCTGTATGTAAATACATGCATTTCTAGACCTCCAACAGTTCAGGATACCGCGCCACTGCGCGCTTGGCGCTGCAGTCGAGACTCGAAGCCGATAGAACAACAATAATAAACATATAATAATTACCTACTGAGGATTGAATCTAATTCGAATCTCGTCGCGCGAAAATTGTCAAAGCTCTTGAAGCTTCGAGTAAGATAAATTAAAATGCAACAGCGTGTCGCCGGCTTCGTCCTCTACGTTGATCCGCACCCGCATTTAATGTACTCGTCGTCACCGAGCTCGAGCAACATTTCACAGACGTAGCGCAGCGGCATGAATCCGTCCTGATCGTTGGCCAGGTTCAGATTGGCGCCGTGTCTCGGCAGCGATTCGACCACCTTATTCTGTGCCTTCCTCAACGTCAAGTGGAAATCGCTTATTTCTTGCCAAATTATATTGAGGTCCTGCTCCATTTCGAGAAACTTCTCAACAACATATTCGAAGCCGGCCGAACAGGCCACGTGTATATATCCGTCAAGCTCGACTCGTCGATGTAATTGACGTCGAATTTGTTGTCAATTTTAAAAAGCTCACGAACTACCCGGATATGTAAATTGTGTTTAGCAGCGTCACGGACCGGTGTGGCGCGACGCAAAAATTTTCTACCATCTTCATCCACGTCGGGCTCGTATTCGTAGCCGGTTTGAGCCACGAAGCGGATGAATCGTATTCCTATGACATTATGCCAGAAATCTAAGGCATTTAAAAGGAGACACTCGATTTCTTTCATCTGAAAAATTTCGCGAATATCGGGGAGTCGACCGCTCCAATCGCCGATCAACTTCGTTGCCTCCACTATTGAAACGTTCATCGACTTCATTGTTAAAAGTCATGACTATTTGTATATTTACAGTTTACACACAAGTAAAAAAAATCTTCCTCCACTGTTGACACAGCGGCGTCTCAACGTATACTGACCATTCTTATTGCCTTTCTACTTTCTGTTTGTGTCTTTTCATTCATTTTCTTGGTGTATGCACATATCACGGCGAAACCACCGCGATTTTCACTCGTACCATGATATGATACATTTCTATGTGTAGCGCAGCTCTAGGAAAACTCCCTTCAGATATCTACGATGATGCAACATTGGTTTTATAGGGTAAGAATAATTTCAGGATGTTTTAGTTTTTAATTTTTCTACACCACTTACAAAGAGACCTTCTCACCTTCGGGTCACGGATCTTTACCAAAATTTTTTGGAGGTCTCCAGGAACTTAATAATAAAGCTCCATATGCGTAGTTTTATTGAATGGGCCTTAGGGCCCATTCTAAAGGGGTTTCCTCTTTTATTTAAAAATCTTTGAGATTTTCTATATCAAGGTAGGAGCACCGATCAAAAGTTTTGAAATTTTTCAAAGAATTTGTCTGAATTTTTTCAGAATTTTTTGATTCGTCCCCTACCCATTTTCAGAGATCCTAATTTGATGCTTTTCTTGCAAAATTTAAAAACCTCTAAAAAAGGGTTCGAAAAAACCCTTTTCCCTTCCCTTAAAAAACGATTCAAACAATTCTGAAAAAATTCAGACAGATTCTTTGAAAAATTTCAAAACTTTTGATTGGTGCATTTTTTCGTTTAAGTACTCCTATCTTGACATAGAAAATCTCAAAGATTTTTAAATAAAAGAGAAAATCCCTTTTAAAATGGGTCCTAAAGCCCATTTAATAAAACTAAGCATAGGGAGCTTTATTATTAGGTTCCCCAAAAAAAATTTGGTAAAGATCCGTGACCCGAAGGTGAGAAGGTCTCCTTGTTAGTACGAGAGCCAAATGAGTCAAGAAAATCTTCGAACGCGTTTTTCTCGTAATAAAAATTTTCGACTCCTTCAAAGTAAAATTTTTCAGTGAGCCACTAGCCGGTTATTCGATGAATTAATTATTCGAATTTTTATGAACAATTTTCGGACGAAATTTTTCGGCGCAAATCAAACTTTTCATATTTTTATATAAAAAATATTTTCTGTACAAGGTCTGGATTTTTTTCGGGTTTGCCGACGAGGGCTGTGCAAGTACTAGATTTTTTGAGTTTTACTCGACCCGAACTCGCCTAGTCGGAAGAATTCTAGTACTTGCCACGTTTTCGAGTTTTAGCTAAGCAAATGATGCATCGAAAGTCCCCGTTGTATGTGCAAACAATATTAGAGTTGCAAGCATACTTTTATTCAGACGTAAAAAAAATTTTTACTATAGAATTGTTAATTTAAATCATTACACGAATCTGAATTTCGCGCTCACTGCTGATCGCTTTGTGTCCGTCACTGACGAATGACGACTGTGAAAGCTGAAAACGACCTATTCTCTCTATCTAGGTTGTCGATTGCGCATGCGGTATTTCTCTTACTCCACGAGATCACGAGTCTCGACTAACTGACGCCATTCTGTATTTATCACTCGTTAAACCAATATTGTAAGCGCATCTGAAAAATAAAGTTTTGCGGTTGATTTAATTTTCTCGTCTCTGAGCGTCATTGACTTATTTTTAGTTTACATGGGTGAATAAGCTAATCACCTTCTGAAATTATTATCGAACCTATAATTAGCTTCAAGAGCTTCGAGTGTCATCCAATCACTACATCCTACCGGTCTACCCGCCACGTGCTTCTTCTTCTTTTTTCTTTAGTGGCGCCGACTGTGAGCAAGCTCTATGTCATACGGCCATTAACAGGCTTTATAAAAGAGGCGCGAGAATATGAATACAGATAGGTGAATTGAAAGTGTAGCAAGGAGGGATCCGCCACGTGCTCAGTGTGAATAAAAAAACTAAAAATCTTGAATTGTTAGCGTCTGTTTTTGTGGGTGAATTTGAACTGTGAGTGTGTGTAAAAACCATGTCTACGTCCAACGACGAAATCGAAATCATTGACATACCTGATTCCGATGACAAAGGCCTCGAGAGTGTCAATTGTGATTTAAAACCAGTGGATCATCATGAGGACGAAATCGAAATCATTGATATAATTGATTCCAATGACAAAAATCATGAGCAGCAGGTTGTGAAAAAATTCATTCGCTCATTAAAAAATGTCAATTGGAATGAAATAAAAGATCGACATATGGTTTACTCTCAACTGTGGCATTTAATGAGCAACTGGAAAGGCAACTTTTCTGACTTGAGGGTCATTTTTCGAATCAAAGAATTTGAGTATATTCTATCAGAGGTTATGTACTATAATTCTTCAAAAGACAGGAATGATTATGGAAACAAGATCGACAAGATCGATTTCTCAAATTTACGATTTATCGAGTTAGTCGTCAAGAGCGGCTATAAAGACAAGCCGCGACTCGATAAAGACGGCAAGCCAATTTTGCTTCGCACAACACCATTGCATTGGTTATTAAGACATCCGAACCCTTTTCGTGCAATGTTGGCATGTTCTAACCTTTTCTTCATTTACAACAGACACGACCTGAATTACACAGATGAAACTGGATTGACACATTTCCACGTGGCGTGTAAATATGGTATTCGCTACGTCGTTGATAGATTTCTCGATCTCGGACAGGATCCCAACTGTGTCTGGCCGAAAACGGGCGATTCGCCTCTTCACCTGGCTCTGGACCTGGCTCTGGACCTGGCTCTGGATTTGAACAAGCAAGTGGCTCTGATGCTGCTGAGAAGAGGCGCTAATCCAAATTTGATTAACAAGAATGGACAGACGACTCTGCACGTTATTTTGAAAAAACGATCTGTTCGCTATGATGAAGAAGATGGCTTTATAAGGATATTTTTGGAGACCTGCGAAGCGAACCATCACCAGGTGTCGATCGACGCTCGAGACAAATTTGGTAATACGCCATTGCACTTGGCCCTAGACTCATCAACCGGAATCAGACCCAAGACGGCCAAATATCTGCTGATAATGGGCGCCAATCCGAACTCAGCCAATGCAGAGGGATCGACTCCACTGCACTTAATTTCCAAGAGATACCAAACGGACGATTTTGTTGAGTCATATTTCACGATCAACGACGAGTTGAATCAGACGCTGCAGGTCGACGCCAAGGACAAGTTGGGTCGAACACCACTCCAATGGGCCGTGGCGAATATCTTCCTGGAGATGGTCGAGATCTTATTGGATCGCGGGGCCGATATGTCCAGCTTCGTTTTTCCCACCGAGGATTATTTTGGCAAGGTTAACATCATTTATAATAGATTCTTCCACGTATCCAACCTTTTAGTCATCGTAGAATGTCTCGAGAAAAGAGGATACGAATTGGACCGAAGCGAAGCTCTGCTCATCATGAAACATTTTGCCGATTATGGATATTTCGAGAAGTCGGTGGATTTTCAAAAATGTTGGCGCGACGACAAGAAGCTCATAAGATATGAGAAAAACTTCAAGTTGATAAGTCCGAGTCTGTCACTTGGCGACCTGCTTCAGTTGCGACCAGAGGAGGCTCAAGAACAAATCAGATGCACGGGTTACTTTCAGTTCCTGCCCGGGTGGGTCAAGTACAAGGTCCCAAACGCATGTGCAGTGCATCTGTGCGAGTTAATGTGGAGAGGATTTTTCAGGCGTTGGGCGATCTATCCTTTCTGGGAATTGATTCACTATCGGCTGCCACTTGAAATGTGTGAAATGATCATCGATGGGTTGATGAATCAAGATCTATATAATATTTGCTTGGCAGCTACCATCAAAAATAACCAAAAAGACAGTCAAAAAGATGTAGTGACAATTGAATAATGTATAACAAAAGGACCTGTCAGGGTTAAAAAATATCCCAAGAAGTTTTGTAGTCTATGTCATTCAAATAAATAAAGTGAAAAAAATTAATAACATTGATTTTCTTAGTTTTTTGTTTCAATGTTTAATCGAACATCCATAAGTTCGTTACGAATACTTACCTTTTTCTCCGTAACTTCGAATCGATTAATCAAAGAAAAATATTTCGAAGTAATTAGAAATTTCTTTTTTCTTCAGACTGCCTTTTAAACCGTGAAAACGTACCCTTTATTCCATGGATTAAGCAAAATTCGAAAAAATTCGGCATAAACTCATGAAGGTACCCTAAATTTAATGCAAATTTAATACTATTGCTAAAAAAATTTATGAAATTCGATCGATATTAAATCCCGCCTCCACCGCTAAATGACGAGGTACCTTTATCTTAAAATCTGCAAGTGTCAGTCATAATAAGTGTATAAGGATCGATTATATAAATGGAATTTTCCCTAATTAATTATCCAGGAACGCTAATCTTGTGAAGGTTATCCTTTAGTCATTTCAATAGTATCAAATGAATTAAAAAAAGCCTAGGAATTATTATATATTTTTCCACATTTCACCACTACCGACCTATTCGAGAAACGACTTGTCAGTTTATTCATGCCTTCGTTTTTAATGTCGCGATAATATATTTGGGATCAGGCCGGTAGGCGGTGCGTTACTTCCCGCAACAGAAAGAGTCGAGTTGGGTTTATTTAGAAAAATCACGGTTTTGAAAAAACGGTTTAACGGGTATTCAAATTGCTATTAAATTCATTGTCTTTACATGAAATTGAAATCGTCCACAAGGAGGCAAAAACTCTCCTTCTCTCTTACATTAATTTTAATGTAAAATATTTTTAACCGTGTAGAAATGACACACGTGACTTTCCCCGTAAACACACGAAAACTTTCTCATATGCAAATCCTCACGTTTCTCGAAAAAAATCCGCACAGATTCAAGTCGAGCGCGAGGACGGCAGCCTCGGCGTGACCCTGCGCGGCGGCCTCGGCCGAGCCCTCGTCGTCACGGGCGTCAAGCGGGACGGGCCCGCCGCCCGGGAGGGCCGAGTCCGCGTCGGCGATCGCCTCCTCGCGGTGGACGACGCCGAGCTCCGGGGCCTGAGCCTCGCCGAGGCCCAGCAGGCCCTGCGCAGGCGCAGCGACTCGCCCCAGCACGCCGCGGCCTCGCTCACCATCGAATACGACGTGGCCAACATGGAGGACATCAGGCAGGCCAGCCAGGGTCCGCTCCTCGTACAGGTCGAGCGCGGCGTTTCCGGTGAGTGGCTTCTTCTTCTTCTTGATCGAAGAAAAACTCAACGTGATTATGAGATGTGTTCGTGTCGAACAGGTGAATTGGGTCTGACGGTGCGCGACACTCCGAGCGGCGTCTACATCGAGAGCCTCAGACCGGCCAGCACGGCTGACCGCTGTGGGGCCCTGCAGCCCGGCGACCGACTCCTGGCCGTCGACGAGGTCCCGGTCCAGGACGCCGTCCAGGCAGCCATACTGCTGCGCAACGCGCCCGACAACACGCGAATCGCCAGGTACATTCTATATAAAATTTGAGCTTTAAAGCCAAATTTCATTTAAAGTCAATAGCCAAATGCTTTCAAATAATGTTGTAAGAATCGTAAAAAATGTTGTTACTGCACAAGTGATTTGTTATTTACGATTTTTTATTATTTTTAAATGTTTTTTTTAAATAAAATACACAACACTGGATATAATTTTTCCAATTACTAAAATGTTTAGAGTTCGATTCATTAGTCGACATTATTACATGTAATTTCATGTATTGTTTAAAAATAGTAAAATTAAAAATAATAACAAACCCCTGGTAGAAATTCTCATATGATATAGTCAAATGTTGATTGATCGTACGTTTTTTTCAAAATTTTATTATTAAGTATGATACTGTACGTTTTTTGTTATTTAATTACAATTCTTTGACCATATAAAGTTTAGTATATCCGTGACTATATAATAAAATTATCTTTAGACCGTAATTCCTTAAAGTACTTCACAGTTAAGTTAAAAAAATCAAATGTAAGATTGATTAATCCGGATTTTAACCCACAGATCCACGTGTCTCAAAAGATGAAATATCTATCTAGATTTAAGCAACGCCAATCACGAATTAGTCAGAAAGTCGCGCTAGTACAGAATGTAACCATTCCGAAATGATAAAATATTCATTTTAACGATCGAGTCAGTTTTGCACGATTCGACAAACTTTGATTTTTAACTATCACACTCATATCAAACAGATGAATGAGTTTCTATCAAAGTCGTGCTTGTACTTATGCAATTATTTTGTATTTGCCACTTGCATAATATGTCCAGATGAAGGCACTCGCCACCTAGTGGCGAAGGCCTAAAGTGTGGTCATGTCATTTAAATTGTTTGAATACTGGTCTAAATTTTTTGCAATTTTTAAGTGCACTTTCATAACAGTAACAGAAAAATCGCCAATATAATATTTATGTTGAGCATCTCTACCAGGGATATTAGTATACAATTTATCTGCAAACGTCGATCGAATTTTGTCCATCGTCGTAATTTTATTTTTCACACTTCCACAGGGTCCAGATTTTACCGAGAGCGCCCAGCAGCACGAGTCGCACGATCAAGCGTCGCGCTCAGCCCCAGGCGGCCGCGGCGACGACACAGAAGAGCAACAATCCCAAGAACGCCCTGTACACCCGCGAGACCCTCACGATCGTCCTGCGTCCGGATCATCGGGGCCTCGGTTTGGGCCTGAAGCAGACCGACGACCGGCTCAACTACGTCGTGGACGTTCTCGAGCCCGGTGGACCGGCCGAGCGCAGCGGCGTCCTGCTGCCGGGCGACAGGGTCCTGGCTGCGAATCGTCGCACTCTGCGCGACCTCCAGCCGGCCGAGGTCGCTCTGCTGCTCGAGCAGGCGGCCCAGGTCGAGCTCGTGATCGAGTACAAGGTGGGCTGCGCCGTTGTCCCCGGTGCCGGTGTCTTCACGGTGAGGGTGGCAAGACCCCACGGCGGACAGCCCGATTTGGGGCTGACCGTCGACGAGGACCTCACCGTGTCGGAGGTGCGTCGCGGCTCGCTGGCCTACCGCACGGGCAGCCTGACACCCGGCGACCAGCTCATGGCCATCGACTCGCAGAAGCTCGAGCCGGGCGATCTGAGGCAGGCCGCGCAGCTGCTGCACAGGCCGGGCAGTTCGGTGGTCGCCCTGACGGTGCGCAAACCCGACTCGATGAACAACGAAATAAGCATCACCAGTCCCAGGAACTCGGGCTTCTCGGCGAATTTCTTCAGGGAGCCGAGCTTGGCGGCCATGAGCCCGTCGTCGGCCTCGTCCTCCTCGGCGTCGTCGTCGGCACAGTCGCAGCAGTCGCATCATCATCATCTTCATCATCACCATCATCAGTTAAGATCGTCGGGCAGAGAGAGTCTGCCGAGCGTCGACAGCGCCCTCGACTCCTGGGGCGAGATGGCCGACACCTGCAGCGGCCCGGAGATCATGAGGCTGTGGGAGACCGCCTCGATCGACAGCGGTCAGCTGGATCTGCCGATGCCGCCTTATCCATATCCCAAGTGAGTCGATTATGAAAAACTGATCTGAAAATGTTAAATAAATTCATATTCAAGTTTATAACAGATCAAAAGATTATGTCTCGTAACTAGATTCATAATATAGCAAGAAGAAATATTAATTTTTTGTCGATTTTTTTGGTCAACATTTTACATAAGTCTTGTTGCGTTGAACAAGCTTTTTCCTATGAACTCACGTAAATAGTTACCTAAAAATGTTGATTCTGATGATAATCAAAAGTAAGATCTTCATGAGATCTATGAAACTTGTTGTCAATGAACTTGAATGAGAACTTATTCAATGTTTTCATTGGGATAGAGTATTTTACTGTACCAAATACAAGGCCATTTTTATTCAAAACTTATGTAAACGTTTCGACAAGCTTTAAAATGATTTACATGGTATAGTTGACTTATTATTCAATAAGTGTAAATTTTTTTTTATAAAAAGGAGCCAGAGATTGATTCCAAATTATTTTTTCAATTATTGTTCAAATTATTGTTCAAAGTCCCTTAAACTTAAATTTTATATTACATCATTAAAAAATTACTTTTCGTAATATCACAAAGAATGGCCATTTACTAAAACATCAATTTTTAATGTTTACAGCTCCGTCGCGTCGAATTCACCAAGACCGGCCTGCAGCTGCAGTCCCCAAGATAACAATCGCGTCTCCCAGATCTCTCACCATCATCATCAGCAACAACAACAACAGCAATCCAGTCAATCGCAGCAGCAGCAGCAAATAATCCACGTCTCGCTGCACAAGGACCCGGTCTACGAGGACTTTGGCTTCTCCGTGTCGGACGGCGTGTACGAGCGCGGCGTCTACATCAATCGGTTGCGGCCCGGCGGGCCCTGCGACGGTCTGCTCAGGCCCTATGACCGTATACTGCGGGTGAACGAGGCCAGCGTCGAGGACTGCGACTGCTGCCTGGCGGTGCCGCTGATCGCCGCGGCCGGGCCACGCCTCGAGCTCGCCATTTCCAGACCGCTATCGTCGTCGATGATCGGGAGCCTGCAGGGACACGAGAGCGTCGCCCAAATGTACTGAGACGATGACGAGTATGTGCAATCGATTCGACGATAAAGAAGGAAGACGAGAAATTATTATCTAGTCAAGATTGATGGTCCGATCTTTTTGACGACGACGGAAAAATTACAATGAACATATCGATTATTTTATACGAATAAATATCAAAAGTCGATTGGAAAATTCTGCAGGAAGGCATCATAAATTGTGTGTTTATAAAAATACCGCTAACTTGTACTGCTTGTATAATGCACTATTTACATTAGAAATTAAGATCGTTACTAATACAAAATTAGTTAATTTTGATTAATATTTCGCACCGATTATATTTAAAAAATGAATAAAAAAGTAACTTCAGTTTTAATACTGCTGTGGTATTTTTCTCAAATCCTTATTACCAATATATGAACTATTGCAGCTCATCAGTTGCACATGGAATTAAAAAATTATGGTAATGTATGAAAATGAATATTTCAAAAGTAAAAAGTACGTACATTTATGTTTTTTTTTAATATTGAGAAACGGTCGGCGTGTGGGTTGAATTTTACCATAATATTTCGTAAAAGCTTATTAAATTTGCCGATATTGACGATTTATCTAATTGTTAAAACAAAATCGATATGACCTCATCGATTCAAGATTCACAATATCTTCGTGAAGTGATTCGCGTATTACCTATTGTTCTTCTTTTTTCTCAAAACGTAATCGTTGCACCAAAACAATGGAAAAAAAATCAAGGCACAATCTCGAGGTAATTCAAAACTTGTGTTTACTTACACATTTCGCTCGAAATTCCATAAAGCATTATCAAATACGATTAACGAATTTGATTGATATACGTAAGCACCAAAAACACACAACAACAGCAGCAGCAGCACAATTACACATTACTCATTATTTATCAAAACAATGGTATTTAAACAGAAATGTGAAATTCCCTTTCACATCGTGTTTGTCGTCGTGCAATTGTAACGCATCGCGCATCAACGCGTCGACAAAAAAGAACGATAACGAGCGCGATCCTCGCAAAATCTCACTCTCGCGAATGTCGCTCACCTCGTGCGCTCTCGTACACACACACACACACACACACACGAGCTAAATATATATGACACACACGTCGAGACCTGTATACACAAAATCATTCGTCATATTTTTTTTTTTTTTTTTTTAATGTAAACGTGAAAGTGAATCAATGGGCACTCCAGAGCCGTGTACATTGTGTATACGAGGTTGCCACGAGGCTCTCCTCCCACACACTTACACGCCTCGACTAAATTCCTTCTTTTTTTTTTCAATTTTGCACACCTCGTCGAGGATATAACTATGTGCAGCACACATACGTCATTATTGTTTTACGATGCGACTACGTGTTATAACGTGTGTGCGGGTGCGTCGAGCGCGTGCGTATACAGCTCCGCGTCAGACACGGGCGAGCAATATAATAATCGAAGTGAAAAACGAGCGCGCCGTTATCGGAGAGTTGACATTTTTTTTTTGCCAAGGCTCGTTATGTAAAAAAGATTCGTAAATAAAAAAAAAAGAACGTTCTATATTTAATGCCGGTCGTTCGTTCGTTCGTTTTTTTTTTGCCTACGCATACAATCGAATCATTATTTTTTTCGGGAGAACGTACACCGTCGCGAGAGATTTTTTGTTTGTACGCGGGTATACGCACGCATCGCGCGGCGGCAGCACATAATAAGCTGGCTGAACAGAAAGAAAAAAAATTAATTTGGCATTATTCAATCCCGCGGGCAAATATTTGTATTATAGTTTCTGTACGCGCGCGTTAATGGCGCGTGATCGTTTCAATTGAAATCTGGTAAAGAAAGAAAGAAAGAAAGAAGAGCATAATAAACCCAAATCATTCTTGTCGATTCCTATTTCACGATCTATATATATACGCTTGGGGAATTTCGATATTTCGACACTCGCTGCCGAGCTCTCTTGCCCGCAGTAAAATAATATAAAATACACATATATATATTATCATGGCGAATCATCGTCTGTTGATCGTTTCCTCCTGGCTCTGCGTCCTCCTGGTCGGTTCCTGCCACGCCAACAATGGTAAGAATCACACACGCACGTAACAAGCTTGAATTTTTTTTCCTTATTAAAATCATGATGATTTTCTCTCGCCCGTATATAGCGTTCGGCACCCGTATCCTCGGCGGCGACGAGGCCGACAACGAGTTCCTCTTCCCGTACCACGTCTACCTGACCCTCGGCCACGGCAAGTACGTCTGCGGCGGCAGCATCATCGGCGACTATCACGTCCTCACCGCGGCCCACTGCGTCATGAAGAACTCGCGCGAGTTCCACGACGACGTGCTGCAGCGCGGCCTCAACGTCGTCGCCGGCACCTCGAATCTGCGCGATCTGCGCGCCGAGCACGCCAAGACTCGCCGCGTCGTCAAAATGTACGTGCCCAAGGCCTACGACTTGGGCAGACTGAGGGGCGACATCGCCGTGCTGAAGTTGAACGAGCCGCTGGGCCTGAACGTGTTCACGAATCAGCTGCAGGAGGTGGCGTTGCCGCCGAAGGAGAATACGAATTACGCCGGGCAGAAGGCCATCGTGACGGGTTTCGGTTACACGAGGTACTGGTCGCCCCAGGAGAATCTCAGACAGACCAATCCTTACGTGAAGCTGAGCGAGAATCTGAAGTACCTGAAGACCAAGGTGCTGGATCAGAATCTGTGCATGCAGAAGCAGCTCACTCAACCGAGCAACACCATCATCTGCGCCCAGGCGGATCAGAACGAGTACAATTGGAAGGAGTACCAGGGCACTTGCAAGGCTAGTATAAACGATCTTATTTCTCTCTCAAGTATACAAAAAGCATACGATAACATCTTTTTTTTTGTTGCTACTACACAGGGCGACAGCGGCGGACCACTGGTTGTGCACGGCGTGGTGATCGGCGTCGCCAGTCACACCATCAGCTCGCACCAGTGCTCCGAGTGGTACACGCCCTCGTTCTACACGAGCGTCGCCGTCTGGAAGCCCTTCATCGAGCTGGCCATGCAGGACCAGACCAGGGGGATGATCACCCACACCTATTGAGACGACTTACCTTTTATGGATCTTTTTTTTTAAATTTTTTACATTATATAAAGAAGCGTTTATAGAAATGAATGAATAAAGAAAAGCGAGAGAAAAAAAAACAACGAGTCTTTTAATTTACCGTATAGAGTTAATAAACCGGTAATACGATCATTATTCACATATATATACGACTCAGCAGCAGCAGCAGCTTCGCTCGCTCGAGCGCGTCTGCTTTTCGTTAAAAAGTAACAATAATAAAAAATACGCGTGCACCTCGACGATCGAAGCGTTGATTTTTCCCAATGCGCGCGCCAAGAGAGAGAGATAAAATTATAATGATCGCGGCTTGGCGCGTGTGCCTCGATCATTATACATACTAATATTACTATCTCTCTTCCTCACTCTCTCGAACCGGATTCGACGACGACGCCGCTTCGGTTCGATTCTAACTGCATCTCTCGTTGAAAATTGAGTTGTACACATCCAGCATACGCGCAGCTGCGGAGTTTCAAAACGCGACGAGGATCATGTCGATAAGCCTGCCGAAATTTTACGCATTCGCTCTCTGCTGCTGGTTGGGTGAGTGGAAATTTTTTTTTTTTAACAGTTGCCTGTGTATATGTTTTCGTAAGTGCGCGCAAGATCCATCCATCGATATCGCACGCGATTATTTATCTTATATACACACACCTTTTGCGTGTATCGCAGGAACGACTCTGGCAGCCGAGACCAACAACACCGGCCCCGAGCAGTACCTGGACTTTCGCATAATCGGCGGCGACGAGGCCGAGCCCCGGCAGTTCAAGTACCACGTCTACCTGGAGACCGGCTGGGGCTTCTACCTGTGCGGCGGCGGCATAATCGGCGATCGGTACGTCCTCACGGCGGCGCACTGCGTTATCGACACGCGCACCGATCGCTTTTACGATCACCCGCTAAGAATAGTGGCCGGTACCGATACTCGACTCAACGCAAGCAGCAACGATCATCATTATTCGAGCAACGGGGCTGTCGTGCTGGCCGTCGAGCAGGCCTACGTGCCCTACATGTACAGGTCGAGCGACATCGGCGACATAGCGCTGTTGAAGGTATCGTTGAAACACGCCAGCTTATACACGAAATTGACATATAAACACCGGAAATTTTTTGTTTTCGTTGTAACATTACGTTAGAAAATACGACTCCGATACTTTGACTTATTCGAATTAATTCAAGACCTATACACGATCGATTGAAATACAAAAATATTATCGATACTTTTCTCTTCTACTTGAGTGGGACAGAATGCAGAACAAGCTGAGAAAGTTTTTTGCAGACTAAAATAACTTTTTTTTTTAACGCTCTTGTTGATGTTTTGAAATTGGAAAAGAAATTGAGATTAGAATACTGGGGCGTAGAATTTTAGTATTATAATTCATCATAGATTGGTCCTGGACTAATTTAAATAATTAAAAGTATTAGAGTCGTATTTTCTGTTGTAAAAAGGCAAGCAAAAACGCAATTTTACATCAAAAATACAATACTTCAAAATTATCATTAAATTTTCATGATTTTAATTTACACGTACTAAAAATTATGTATCTACTTCAAAAATCTGGCCATATTTTCGCTCTACTTTCAATTGTTCATATAAGTTGAAAAAGTTTCCTCGGTAACATGATTGTAAACAGTATGATTACAAACGATTTGGACGTCGATCCTCAAAGACATTGGTCATGTTTATATTATTAGAAATTCAGTTTGAATGTTGTCTTTCCCGATGAAACAAGTCCTAACATCAAAGATAAATTTTAATCATCAATTTTCTGCCACGCTCAATTGAAGGATCCATCGTTAGATTAAGGTACCAAAATGTATAAAAGCGAGGAGAAAATCAAAGACGTTGTCTCGGAAAATAATTCCAGTGGAAACGACATAGTTGTTTCTGACGAAAAACAGCCGGTTTTTGATATCTGTCAGGATGCATTTACACTAGAATCAAACATGATAGCACACCGAGACACATATCACAATGAAAAAAAAGATTATGCATGCGACAAGTGCGACAAGAAATTCGAGTTCCGAAGTCATTTGAGTAGACATCAAATATCAGAACACAAAAGCCGCAAAGATTTTGTATGCGACAAGTGCCAAAAGAAATTTGTGAAAAAATCAAGTTTATTCGCGCACCAAAAGTTGGTACACAAAGATCGTAAAAATTTCTCGTGCAACAAGTGCGAGAGGAAATTTGAAAATAAATCAAATTTAATCAAGCACAGAAAAATATTCCACGAAGTTTTCAAAGATTATTTATGTGAAATGTGCGCGAAGAGATTTGGAAATAAACATCATTTGGTCGTGCACTTAAAGACAGTCCACGACAATCGCAGAGATTTTGCTTGCGACAAGTGCGAAGAGAATTTTAGAAAAAAATCGCATTTGCTCTTCCATCTAAAGAAGGTACATGTATATCGCAAAGATTTTTCCTGCGATAAGTGTGCGGAGGTGTTTGTTAAAAAATCACATTTGATCGACCACCAAAAAACTATACATTAAAGTCGTAGAGATTTTGCTTGCGACAAATGTGAGAAAAAATGTGTAAGTAAAGCAGATTTATTGAAGCACCAAAGAACAGACCATGAAGGTCGCAAAGATTACGCATGTGACAGGTGCGAAAGGAAATTTGGACACAAATGGTATTTTCTTCTTCACCGAAGGACCGTCCACGAAGGTTGCAAAGATTTCGCCTGTGACAAATGCGAAAGGAAATGTGTGAGTAAATCAGATTTGTTGAAGCACCAAAGGACAGTCCACGAAGGTCGCAAAGATTTCGCTTGTGACAGTTGTGAGAAAAAATTTGGATTGAAAACAGATTTGTTTCGTCATCAAAGGATAGTCCACGAAGGTTGCAAAGATTACGCATGCGGCAAATGCGAAAAGAAATTCGGGGAACAAGGCAATCTGATCAGACATCAAAAAACTATCCACGAAGGTAGCAGAGATTTTGCTTGCGATAATTGCGAGAAAAAATTTGGACAAAAATCACACTTGCTCGCCCACCAAAGGACAGTGCATGAAGGTCGCAAAAATTACGTATGCGACAAATGTGATAATAAATTTGGACAAAAATCAGACTTATTTCGGCACCAAAGGATAGTCCATGAGGGTTGCAAAGATTATGTATGCAACAAATGCGAAAAAAAATTTGCACAAAAAGGTACTTTGCTCTTACACTTAAAAACAGTGCACGAAGGTAGTAAAGATTACGCATGCGAGAAATGCGAAAAAAAATTTGGACAAAAATACCATTTGCTCGTCCATCAAAAGACAGTCCACGAAGGTCGTAAAGATTTCGCGTGCGACAAGTGCGATAAGAAATTTGGACACGAATGTACTTTGCTCTTGCACATGAAAACAGTACACAAAGGTAGTAAAGATTACGGATGCGACAAATGCGAGAGAAAATTTTGACAAAAATCGAATTTGCTTTATCACCAAAGGACAGTCCACGAGGGTCACATAGATTACGCTTGTGACAAATGCGAAAAGAAATATACACAAAAAGTAGGTTTGCACTCACACCAAAAAAGAGTCCACGAGGGTCGCAAAGATTTCTCTTGCGACAATTGCGAAAAGAAATTTGGAGAAAAAAGGATTATGATTCAGCACCAAAAAACAGTCCACGAAGGTCGTAAAGATTACGCATGCCATAAGTGTGAGAAGAAATTTGGACATAAATCGTCTTTACTCGTGCATCAAAAGACAGTCCATCAAGGACGTAAAGACTATGCATGTGGCGAATGCGAACAGAAATTTGGACGCAAATCAAGTTTACTTTTTCACCACAGGACGAAACACAAATGTCGCAAAGATTAAGCATGTGAGAAATGCGAGAAGAAGTTTAAGAATACATCTAATATATTTTATTTAATACTCAAAAGCAGTACACGAAAAAATCGTTATGTATTGGTAATACATTGTTCATATTGGTAATACATTACATTTTCATAATGTTTGAACTTATTACAGGTATATCTTTCGAATAGTCGATTTTTTTCTGGACAAATGTAAATATATCGCTGATTTCATGTTAACTCAACTATTCTTTTTTGTTTAAATTTAAAATAATAAACACATATTTTGGCACGTCAAAAATGTTCTAGAATGTTTTTAGATATTTTGGGCTCGTATATCATTCTACTGTAGAGGGCCAAAATTGGCAATTTTCCATATTCTCACGAAATTCATAAAAAAATTACAAATATTTTGATAATTCCTAGCTCAGTATAAAGTGACCTAAACGGGAAAAGTGCAAGAGAGCTTTTTTGGAAATTATCTAAATTTCCAGAATAAAAATATGCTCCAAAGTGATTCGAGCACTCTGGAGGCTTGTGCAATAGAAATAATTATAAAAAAAATATAAGACTCAAAATTTAATAAATTATCATCCGGACTTTCATTTCCAAAATTATTTAGAAAGCTTTTTCGACGTATCAACTACTGCGCTATTGGTTTTGTGAAAGTTCGATCATTACTAGGCTTGGAGCCGCCAATAAGTGTCAGAAAATGTTCTAAAACGTCGAAAATAAGCTAATAAAAAAGAATATCTTAGATCCGGGGTCTCGCAGTCAAAAATATTCACAGAGCTTCCTCAGGCTGTCTACTAATACCTCCTAAATTTTTGCAACGGCTCGATTTGTTTAGCCATATTACAATTTATAAATGATCAATTTAAATTGTATGGTTTAATTAGTTAAGTGTTATAAAAACAATACATAAGCAGATATTGTAAACAATATGATCATGAACAATTTTGACATATCCCCTCGACATACTAATTATGTTTATAGTAATAACGAGTCAGTTTGAATGTTATCTTTCCCGATGGAACAAGTTATAACATCAAAAAATCAATTTTAATCATTAATTTAATTTTCTGTAACGCTCAATTGAAGGATATATTGTTTAATTAAGGCACCATAATGAATATAAGTGAGGAAAAAATCAAAGACGTTGTATCGCAAAATAATTCCAGTGGACATGACAATGTTTTTTCTGACGAAAAACAGCCCGTTTTTTATATTTGTCAAGAGGAATTTACACTAGAATCAAGCATGACGACACACCAAAATTCAAAGAACAAAGAACAAAATAATTTCGCTTGTGACAAATGCGAAAAGAAATTTCCGTTTCGAAGTCATTTGAGTAGACATCAAATATCAGAACACAAAAGCCGCAAAGATTTTGTATGCGACAAGTGCCAAAAGAAATTTGTGAAAAAATCAAGTTTATTCGCGCACCAAAAATTGGTACACAAAGATCGGAAAGATTTCACATGCCACAAGTGTCAGAAAAAATTTGAAAATAAATCAACTTTACTCAAGCACAATAAAATATTCCACGAAGTTTTCAAAGATTATTTATGTGAAATGTGCGCCAAGAGATTTGGAAATAAATATAGTTTGCGATTGCACATAAAAACAGTTCATGAAGGATGCAACAATTTTTCATGCGACAAGTGCGAAGAAAATTTTAGAAAAAAATCACATTTGCTCTTCCATCTAAAGAAGGTACATGTATATCGAAAAGATTTTTCCTGCGATAAGTGTGCGGAGGTGTTTGTTAAAAAATCACATTTGATCGACCACCAAAAAACTATACATAAAAGTCGTAGAGATTTTGCTTGCGACAAATGTGAGAAAAAATGTGTAAGTAAAGCAGATTTATTGAAGCACCAAAGAACAGACCATGAAGTTCGCAAAGATTACGCATGTGACAGGTGCGAAAAGAAATTTGGACACAAATGGTATTTTCTTCTTCACCGAAGGACCATCCACGAAGGTTGCAAAGATTTCGCCTGTGACAAATGCGAAAAAAAATTCGGACAAAGATCGCATTTGCTTTACCATCAAAGAACAGTCCACGTGGGTCGCAAAGATTAAGCTTGTGAGAAATGCGAGAAGAAGTTTAAGAATACTTCTAATAAATTTTATTTAATACTTTAAAGCAGTACACGAAAAAATCGTTATGTATTGGTAATACATTGTTCATATTGGTAATACATTACATTTTCATAATGTTCAAACTTATTACAGGTATATCCTTCGAATAGTCGATTTTTTTCTTGACAATTGTAAATATATAGCCGATCTCATGTTAACTCAACTATTCTTTTTTTTTAAATTTAAAATAATAAACACATATTTTGGCACGTCAAAAATGTTCTAGAATGTTTTTAGATATTTTGGGCTCGTATATCATTCTACTGTAGAGGGCCAAAATTGGCAATTTTCCATATTCTCACGAAATTCATAAAAAATTACAAATATTTTGATAATTCCTAGCTCAGTATAAAGTGACCTAAACGGGAAAAGTGCAAGAGAGCTTTTTTAGAAATTATCCAAATTTTCAGAAAAAATATGCTCCAAAGTGATTGGAGCACTCTGGAGGCTTGTGCAATAGAAATAATTATAAAAAAAATATAAGACTCAAAATTTAATAAATTATCATCCGGACTTTCATTTCCAAAATTATTTAGAAAGCTTTTTCGACGTATCAACTACTGCGCTATTGGTTTTGTGAAAGTTCGATCATTACTAGGCTTGGAGCCGCCAATAAGTGTCAGAAAATGTTCTAAAACGTCGAAAATAAGCTAAAAAAAAGAATATCTTAGATCCGGGGTCTCGCAGTCAAAAATATTCACAGAGCTTCCTCAGGCTGTCTACTAATACCTCCTTAATTTTTGCAACGGCTCGATTTGTTTAGCCATATTACAATTTATAAATGATCAATTTAAATTGTATGGTTTAATTAGTTAAGTGTTATAAAAACAATACATAAGCAGATATTGTAAACAATATGATCATGAACAATTTTGACATATCCCCTCGACATACTAATTATGTTTATAGTAATAACGAGTCAGTTTGAATGTTATCTTTCCCGATGGAACAAGTTATAACATCAAAAAATAAATTTTAATCATTAATTTAATTTTCTGTAACGCTCAATTGAAGGATATATTGTTTAATTAAGGCACCATAATGAATATAAGTGAGGAAAAAATCAAAGACGTTGTATCGCAAAATAATTCCAGTGGACATGACAATGTTGTTTCTGACGAAAAACAGCCCGTTTTTTATATTTGTCAAGAGGAATTTACACTAGAATCAAGCATGACGACACACCAAAATTCAAAGAACAAAGAACAAAATAATTTCGCTTGTGACAAATGCGAAAAGAAATTTCCGTTTCGAAGTCATTTGAGTAGACATCAAATATCAGAACACAAAAGCCGCAAAGATTTTGCATGCGACAAGTGCGACAAGAAATTTGTGAAAAAATCCAGTTTATTCACGCACGAAAAATTGGTACACAAAGATCGGAAAGATTTCACATGCAACAAGTGTGAGAGGAAATTTGAAAATAAATCGACTTTACTCAAACATAAAAAAATATTCCACGAAGTTTTTAAAGACCATTTATGTGAAATGTGCGCCAAGAGATTTGGGAATAAACATGGTTTGCTATTGCACATAAAAACAGTTCACGAGGGCAGCAAAGATTTCTCCTGCGACAAGTGCGGGGAGAAATTCAGAAAAAAATCTCAATTGCTTTTCCACCTCAAGATGGTACACGATGTCTTCAAAGATTACCAATGTGACAATTGCGGGATAAAGTTCGTACAAAAAAGTTATTTGCTCAAACATCAAAAAACAGTCCATGAAGGTCGCAAAGATTTCCTACGTGACAAGTGCGATAAGAAATTTGGAGAAAAAAATCGTTTGAATTTGCACCAAATGACAGTCCACCTAGGACATAGAGATCACGAATGCGACGATTGCAAGAAGAAATTCGGACGAAAATCAAATTTGCTAACTCACATAAAGATAGTCCACGAAGGTCGCAAAGACTATCCATGCGACAAATGCGAGAAAAAATTTGGATTAAAATTGACTTTAACTGAACACCAAAAGGCAATACACGAAGATTGCAAAAATTGCGTATGCGATAAGTGCGAGAAAGTATTTGGACACAAATCGAATTTGCTTTCACACAAAAAAACAGTTCATGAAGGTCGCAGAGATTATGCATGCGACAAATGCGAGAAAAAATTTGCACATAAACAGTATTTTTTAAAACACCAAATGATAATCCACGAGGGTCGCAAAGACTACGAATGCGACAAGTGCGAAAAAAAATTTGGACAAAAACAGCATTTGCTTTTCCACCAAAAGACAGTTCACGAAGGTCGCAAAGATTACGCATGTGACAAGTGCGAGAAAAAATTTATAGAAAAAAGAAATTTGCTTACCCACTTAAAGGCAGTTCACGAAGGTAACAAAGTTTACGCATGCGATGAATGCGAGAAAAAGTTTGGACATCAAAGTAATTTGATTAGACACCAAAAATCAGTCCACGAAGGTAGTAAAAATCATGAAGGTAGTAAAAATCACGAGTGCGACAAATGCGAGAAAAAATTCAGACGAAAATGGACATTGATTAGACACCAGATGATAGCACACGAAGGTCGAAGAGATTACGCATGCGACAAATGCGAGAAGAAATTTGGACGAAAAGCGTCCTTGATCAGGCACCGCAAGATAATACACGAAGGCCGTAAAGATTTTGAATGCGGATACTGCGAGAAGAAGTTTGCACTTGAACATCATATGCTGTTGCACCAACAAACAGTCCATGTTGGTCGCAAAGACTACTTGTGTGACAACTGCGGGCAGACATTTGGACACAAATGGAATTTGTTAAGGCACCAATTGACAGTCCACGAAGATCATAAAGATTTTGCACACAAAAAAGCGAGAAGAAATGTATGGTGTGATTAATTTGATCAAACACTAAAAAACAGTCTATGAAAAAATTATTATTAATAATGAATTTCCTTTTAAACTTACTCAAACTTATTTCAATAATTAATTATCGCCGAATAGTTCCTTATAGAATAGCTTGTTTTTTATTAATAAAACAATAAAAAGCGTTGATTTTTTTTGACAATTGTAATTTTATATTGATACATTTTATAAAATTACCTTCACATCTTACTTGATTTATGAAAAACAATCAATTGTCATGCTACATAATACACATTGTCGAAACGCAGCTAAACGGCTCGCTGGGCCTGGCCACGAATCCGAATCTGCGCGCCCTCGAGCTGCCGCGCGACCAGCTGCTCACCTACGACGACGAGGAGGTGCTGATCAGCGGCTTCGGCATCACCTGGCTCAAGTACTACATGGCCCCGAGTAGTAGTTCCGCCGACGGTACAGCTGCGCCGGGTCATCAGAGCCCGGCGGTGGTGGACGGCGAGCTGAGCGCGCGACTGCGCTACGCCCGGGCCGACGTGATACCGACCCAGGCCTGCCGCAAGATCTACAAGAGACGCCAGCCGGTCTACTACGTGCAGATCTGCACGAGGCTGAGGCAGCGCGAGTACAGCCGGCCCGAGGGCGTCTGCGTGGTAATTATCGCATATCGTAGTCGAATCATCTCTTATTTTGATAATACATAAACTTCATAATTTCCCTTGACCCAATTAACATGTAAATATACCTCTCTAATACATAATTTGATATTATACGCCATTAATAGAAATATTCCAAAGATCGCTTCATTCAAAGCTATTACCTGATTTATACAATTATTTTGACTTTGCCACTTGTAGATTTACAGATTAAATTGCTCGCCATCTAGCAGTGTAGGCTTGAAGTAGTTGAAAACTGTTATAAAATTTGAAAACAGATAAACTGACACTTTCAAGTCATTTAAAACATTTAAACATTATTTAACACAATTTTAATTGAAAAATCTACAAAAAATCAAGCCAACTAATCGCAAAGTAATTCAAAACATTTTAAATGGTCGTTTCTTGCTCGTTAGCCCATTATTAATGTTGAGAACTTCTACCAGCGGTTTGACGACGTGCAAATGCGTTTTCTTCTTTTGCATTTATGGTCAATTATATTAAGAATGAAGCGTGAAAATGTTTTATTTCGATATGTTTAATATTTTAAAACTTATTAAGATTTTTAAAGGGTTGAAGTGTTCTAAAATTTTTGAGCAGTGATTCAATTTGAGATCAATAACGTTAGACGAAGAAAATATTTTCATTTACATTTTTTTGTTTTATTTTTTATCAAGAAGCTCTATCAATGAATTGGCAACGGTTAATAATATGTACAATAGTCAAAATTAACGTTCAACCATTAATTTAATTTAGTCTCATAAAATTTCGTATGAAGGAAGTTCGCTTACGCATCAATATCGCAAAAATACCAATTAACGACATCGATTTCACATAATTTTATTCATTTTTGATCGCGTATAAAAAAAAAAACAACAACTTTACATCGTATATCCGTTCGTCTGTTCACAACACATTCAGGGCGACAGCGGCGGCCCGGTGGTGCACAACAATCGTACGATCGTCGGCGTGGTGAGCCGCGGTCCGCTGTCGTGCTCGGAGCTCGTCGTGCCGGCGCGCCACACCCGAGTCTCGCCCTTCGTGCGCTTCATCGATCACGCCGTGCACGGCACCCACGACCCGGACATGATGGCACGAGTACACAATTTTCTGTAGACAAAAAACGAATAATAATGAAATAAAATATTAATATTATATGTAAAATAAAATCTATATACGATGTTATAAAGACTCACGCGTGTGTATCTTTATTTTTAAATAATATAATAATACAGCGTCATCGTCCACGCCTGAGCACGTGATACTTGATGTAGATGGCGGCTATGACCAGGTAGAGCAGCGCCGAGACCAGCAGCTTGACTTTGTAATAGATCAGCGCCACTATCAGACACATAACTTGTGCGAGCATTATATTGTTCTATACGCGCGTGCGGCGTTTGCTATCGTCGCGATTCGTCTCGCGCCTCCGAAATATCGTACGCGTCGCGTAATGCAGTATACATGTGCAACAACGTTTGTCGCATCCTCTCGTATATATAGATGATTATAGATCTCGGCCGGGCTTCGGTTCGCTTCGCGGTTCCTGTTATTATGCGAAAAAAAAGAGCCGAAGACGAGCGAGCATTACGTACTCGCGAAAAATGAATTAGTCGTTTTTTTTCTGTCTAGTCGTGTGTGTGCCGCTCGAATATGCTCGCGTCGCATTAGAGCGTATTTTCTCGCGAGTTTTATTCGATACTTCTCGCCCGCGTCTGGAACTGGATCGCCGCTTGGAATCTCTGTCGTTTCTTTTTTTTTGCTGTTGCGGACGATCGAAGCAGGTCGCGCGAATGCGAACGAACATCATGGCGCTGACGAGGATGCAGAAGATCGGCATCGCGGGCGGATGTCTGTTTTTCACCGGGATACTGCTGATGACGGCCATCATGCCGGCCCTGGTCAAGACCTTCATCAAACAGGTAACGCGACAAAAAAAAACGTTCGAGTCGAGGTGAAAATGTCAGGACCTCCGCGCGTACGAGGAAGTCGATGCAGAAAAAAAAGAAGAAGAAAAAATCGTACGCGTCACTATGTTTCATTGCGCTTTTCTGCAAACGCACGCGCTCGCGCGCACGTAATCTTATATACGCTTTCGGTCGAGAAACGTCCTGCAGTTTGATAATTTCGGAGAATTTAGCGTCTTTGCTGTATCACGCTTAGATACCGATGAGAATTTGTTTTATCCGATTTTTTTCTTGTTCAACGGTTATTAAATTTTAATTTGTTATCAAAATGATCAAAATTGGGTGAAAGCTGACAATGTATTTCTTTTTTACTGCGTTCAAAGGTACGACAATTCAATTACATTTTTTATGAAAAATTTTTTTTCCCTTTTCACTCGTGCCTTTTTTGGAATTTTAAAATTTTAATTACTGCTGATTTTTGGTTTGTTATTTCATGTTTATGGTATTTTGTACTGGAAAATTTGTACGAACACTTGCAATGTGATAATTCGATGACGATTTGAAATCACGTTTAAAATTTATACTATTCAAAAGGGTAAATTCCGATTTTCAAACGAAAACAATTTCGATATAATTTGGAGCAAACAATCGATCAAAAATTTGCCGTTTTGCATTTTCATTTATCACTTTTACTCTCAATCAACCCTTAGAAAGTGGCCCTGAAGCCCGGCTGGCAGATGCGCAACCTCTGGAGCAAGCTGCCCTTCCCCATCTACTATCAGTTCTACGTGTTCAACGTGACGAATCCCGAACAGGTGGCCGAGGGTGAGAAGCCCATCGTCCAGGAGGTCGGCCCCTACACCTACGAGTGAGTATATACGCAAATGAATTAATTGTCATTAGCATTCAATTGTTCTACGATCGATTTTTTTTTTTTTTTTTACACAGCGTCTGGCACGAAAAGATCAACATGATCGATTACGAGGAGGACGACACGGTCTCGTTCACCGTCAAGAACACGTTCTTTTACAATCAGCAGAAGAGCGGCGCCTTGACCGGCGACGAGGAGGTAATAGTGCCGCGCTACTTCGTCCTCGGCCTCGTCAACGCCATACTCAGGATCAAGTTCAACGTCATGCCCTTCATCGGTGAGGTTTTATTTTCTTTCCGTCGTCCAACACATCTTATCGATCGTGATTACATTTTTCCGGTACGCAGACGACGCGGTGCAAGCCCTGTTCCGCAAGCCCGAGTCCCTGTTCGTCAAGGCCAAGGTCAAGGACATCCTGTTCACGGGCATGCCCATCGACTGTCGCGAGGTGTTCAGCGGGCCCGGCGCCCTCGTCTGCAACGAGATCCAGCTCAAGTGGCGGGAGTACCGCATGACCAAGTACGAGGACAACTACTACGGCATGTCGCTGTTCGGCTGGATGAACGGCACCGACTCCAAGGACCGTCTCAGGGTCCGTCGCGGCTCCGGCAACTTCATGCAGGTGGGCGAGGTCGTCGAGTACAACGGCAAGGAGGCCCTGGACGTCTGGCAGGACGAGCGCTGCGACGCGTTCAACGGCACCGACGGCACCATCTTCCATCCGTTCTACGATCAGTCGGGTCGCGACGATCTCGTCAGCTTCAGTCCGGGCATATGTCGCAGCATCACCTGCAAGTTCGACGCCAAGACCGAGTTCGCCGGGCTGAAGACGCTGCGCTACATCGGGGACATGGGCACCGATCCGGATCACAACGAGGCGGACAAGTGCTACTGCGAGGCGCCCGACGACTGCCTCAAGAAGGGCGTCTACGATCTGTACAAGTGCGCGCACGCCCCCCTGCTGGTGAGCAATCCGCACTTCTACAACGCCGATCCGTACTATCTGAAGGCGGTGGAGGGTCTGGCGCCCAACAAGGACAAGCACCAGATGTACGTGGACATGGATCCGTTCTCGGGGGCGATACTCAACGCCCATCTCAGGGTGCAGTTCAACATGATCATCACCAAGGTCGAGCAGTTCAGCCTGATGAAGAACTTCCCGGCGGCTCTGCTGCCCCTGCTCTGGCTCGACGAGAACGTCGAGCTGCCGGATTTTCTCCTCGAGGAGGTCCTCTCGGGACACAGGCTCTACAGCATCGGAGTGTGAGTGACGATGATTTCTTCTCGTATTTAAATTGAACAAAGATGTGATATTTTCTCTCTCTCTGTGTTTAGAGCCACCGAGTACATCATGATACTCATCGGCCTGGGCATGTGCGGCTACGCCGGCTACAAGTACTACAAGGCCCATCGCTCGTCCAAGCTCGATCTCAAGGACATCAAGATGGCCACGAACACGCTGGACATCAGCCGCAGGCCGACCATCATCAATCCCACGCCGGACTTCGAGACGAGGGTCGGTGGATGATGATGATGATCGATTCGAGAACGACGACGGCTGCTATATCGATTGTTGTGTCGCGCAAAGGAATTGCCTATTATCGATAATAATACATCGTTGGTGCTTACGAGGACTATCCCTTTTGAGATGAAATAAAAACGGGTTCTTACATCGGAAAAATGTTACATGTTGCAATTTTAAACGAGAAATTTTCTTCGTATGCACCTGCGATATATAAAAGAGGATCGAGATCGAGATTATGCTGCCCGATGATAGGCAATCCAACGTAAAACATTACTTTTTTCCTATTATTACTTACCTTTATCACGTCATTTAATTAATCTAAGAGTATTATTATTATAATTATTATACTTTACTGTAAACGATAATAGTTCCGTAAGCCTTTGGAATGGTAACATATTCATTTGTCGAATGTAAGAAATAAAAAATCATAAATTTCGTGTTTCGGAAAAAGATTATCGTTCTTTTTTCTTCTTCTACTTCTTCGCATTTCTTCGAACGTCCACGGAAACGACGTGTGCGAATAATCATCGGTCAAAAATAGCATAAAAGGCTATTTGCACACACATATACATTTTTTTTCTTCTTTTTGCATTTCTCATCGCGCGATGACGCGGATGAAAATGTGTGCAGAGAAAAAGAAGGCAGCGACGAACGCAACGGCGTGTGACGATGCTCACCTCTTCGCAATATAATGTACAGAAGCCTCGTGACGCGGATATTATTGTATAGACGGTCACGTGCATCATCGGGCCTCGTCGGATCTGAACTCCAGTTGAAATTGTACCAGTATCACCAGGTAAGTAGCGATCGATCCAAAAATCTGCGCAAAAAAATTAACGTCATTGGTCAAAACTGAAACTCGAGCAGCCGATTCATCTTACCGATATTATCAAGCTGCCGTCGAGGGTGAAAAAGCCGTACGCCGTGAAGTTGGTACGCGCGTGAAGCAAGTACAACGAGAAATCGTTCAACTGTATGAATAGAAAGAACATTTTATTAGTAATGTGTAATTGGAATTACCAAGAAAATCTTGACTTGTAAAGGTAAAAAAAGAAAGAAAATTCGTTTGTGCGGGGATACTGAAAATTGGAAGATGCTTTTAAGACTCCTCGATGCAGTGGGGGATTAGTGTCGCTACCCACGAAATTGGAAAAGCAATAATGTACACAGATTTTGGATTGATAAAATTACTAAGAAAATAATAAAAAATTCATGAGAGTTTTAATCAATTTTTAAGAAATTTAGAAAACAATTTGTGATTTAAATTAAATTATAAAATAACTTTCACTGTGGTTTTTTCAGTAAAAAGTTCCCAGCGATCAACTAAATCCTTGCCCCATTCACTGTTACAAACAAGACGTGAAAAAATCTTTCAGTTGATCGTTGCACGAAGAATTAGAAACCAAATAGCCAAAAAACTAACAGAGAGTAGTAATTGGTCGTTACGAAATCTAAAAACATTATAACGTCAGTGTGCAAAGGTGTAATAATAGTTGAATGTCAGAGGTTCAGGTAATACATGATCATTTTGACACAGTTTTTATTGAAATTTTAGAAAAATACTTGCATAAGCATCTATACATATTTTTTATTATACATATTTATAATTGTCAATCATTATTCTTTCTCGCTTTTGTCGCATGCTTAATCTTTGCGACTTTTATGGGTTGTCATTTGGTGCCAGATCAAATTTGATTTTTGTCCAAATTTCTTCTCGCACTTGTCACATGCGAAATCTTTGCTACCCTCGTGGACTGTTGTTATATGCGAGAGCAAATGATATTTATGCCCTAATTTTTTCTCGCACTTGTCGCACGCGTAATCTTTGTGACCTTCGTGAACTGTCCTTTGGTGCTTCAACAAATCTGATTTACATGCCCATTTCTTTTCATATATGTCGCATACAAAATCTTTATGTCCTTCGTATGCTATCCCTTGGTGATCAAAAAAATATGATTCACTTCTCCATAATTGCTTCCCGCATTCGCCATATGCTTAAACTTTGCAACTTTTATGGACTGTCTTTTGATGGCAGATCAAATGAGCTTTTCGTCCAAATTTCTTCTCACACTTGTTACATGCATAGTCTCTACGTCCTTGATGGACCGTCTTTTCATGCAAAAGTAAGGTCGATTTACGTCCAAACTTTTTCTCGCACTTGTCGCATGCGTAATCTCTGCGACCTTCGTGGACTGTCCTTTGGTGCTTCAACAAATCTGATTTGTATCCAAATGTCTGCTCGCACACGTCGCATACGTAATCTTTGCGCCCTTCGTGGATTGTTCTTTGGTGGTTGAGCAAAGTCGATTTTTGTCCAAACTTCTTCTCGCACTTGTCGCATTCGTGATCTGTGCGAGCCTCGTGGACTGATTTTTGATGTCTAACCAAATTTAATTTTGCTCTAAATTTCTTTTCGCAATTAACGCATTCGTAATTTTTGCCACTTACGTGGACTAACCTTTGATGGGCGAGTAAATTGCATCGAACCCCGAATTTCTTCTCGCATTCGTCACATGCGAAATCTTTGCGACCTTCGTGGACTGCTCTTTGGTGCTTCAATAAATCTGCTCTACTTACAAATTTTTTCTCACACTTGTCGCAAGCAAAATCTCTGCGACGTTCGTGTACTTGCCTTTGATGGTAAAGCAAATGCGATTTTTGTCCGAATATCATTTTACAATTGTCACATGCGAAATCTTTGCGACCCTCGTGGACTGTTTTTTGATGAAAAATTAAAGTCGATTTATGCCCAAATTTTTTCTCGCAATTATAACATTCGTAATCTTTGCGACCTTCATGAAATGTTTTTTTGTGCCTTATCACACTGCTCGGATTATTAAATGTATTTTCACTCTTATTGCATGTAAAATCTTTGCGATCTTCGTATATTGTCCATTGATCCTTTAACAAATCTGATTTATTTTCAAAGTTTTGCTCGGAATTGTCGCAGTCGAAATCTTTGCGACCGTCATGTACTTCCTTTATATGCAAGAGTAAACTTTTCTTATTTCCAAATCTCTTGGCGCACCTTTCACACAAGTAGTCTCTGAAAACTTCGTGGAATATTTTATTGTGCTTGAGTAAAGTTGATTTATTTTCAAATTTTTTCTCACACTTGTTGCACCTGAAATCTTCGCGATTTTTGTGTACCAATTTTTGGTGCGTAAATAAACTGGATTTTTTCACAAATTTTTTCTCACACTGGTCGCATGCAAAATCGTTGCGGCCTCTGTGTACCGATATTTGGTGTCTGCTCAAATGACTTCGGAACTCAAATTTCTCTTCGCACTTGTCACATGCGAAATTATTTTGTTCTTTGTTCTTTGTATTTTGGTGCGATATCATGCTTGATTCTAATGTAAATACCTCCGGGCAAATATCACTAACGAATTTTTTTTCGTCAGAAACAACAATGTCGGGTCCATTGGAATTATTTTCGGAGACAACTTCTTCCGATTTTATCTTACTTGTATCCATTTTGATGACTATAATACAAACGATTTAATGTTATGAAAAATTAATGAGTAAAAGTTATCTTATTATTATTAAGGCAGTAAGGCATGTTTCATGGAGAAAGACAACATTGAAACTAATTTGCTTTTACTGTAAACATCATCAGTGCGTTAAAGGAATATGTCAAAATTGTTTATGTTTAATTGTTTACAATTAAGCAACCCATTTATCTGTTTATACATTTTTTTACAATATTTGGAAAATGTAAAATTCTGAAAAATTTTGAGAAAGTTTCTTGATCAATTCTAAGATATTTTTGTTATGTAAATTAGTTTTCTGAACTCAATCGTTTCGAGTAAAATAATGCTAAACTTTTTTTATGTTAACTTGAATAATTTCCTTCTCGAAAACTATTTAATTTTTTCGAAATCGACTATTGTCAATTTTTGCATTTGGTACGTTCCAACTACATATTCGTAGACAAGACAGCATTGTAAATCCTACTGAACTCAATAGCATTTATGGTCGATTATGTTAAGTTTTTTTTTAACATTTTTTTTCAATTATTTACCCTAATTTTTCAATTGGTTGGAATGCATTTCCAATCTTTTCGAGCTATGCTTTTGAAAAATGATCGGTAAAGCTTTAATTTGAGATCAAAAACGTTATTGTGAAAATTACACCTAGAAAAAGAAGAGAATATTTTTATCCTAATTTTTTAGAAATTGTAGTTTCTTCACAGGTTTTATGTTTGAAAAATTGCTTTATCAGCATCTAGAAGTAGAATATAAATGATTTATTCACTATGAGAAAGCTCTTTGCCATGAATCGGAAGCGATTTTTTCATATTAATATTTTTTTCATTTTTGGAAATATAATTTTTAATATTCTTGATTTACTATATACTATACAGTATACATAATTACAATTGTGAATCATCATTTCTTCTCGCATTTGTCACATTCGTGATTTTTGAGAGCCTCGTGCACAATTATTTTTGGATGCCTAATCAATTTCGGTTTTTCTCCAAATGACTTTTAGCAATTAACGGATTCGTAATTTTTGCCACTTTCGTGGACTACCCTTGGGTGGGCGAGTAAATTGCTTTTAACCCCGAATTTCTTTTCGCATTCGTCACACGCGAAATCTGCGACCATAATGGACGGTTTTTTGATGTTTAATCATTTTCGATTTTTCTCCAAATTTTTTCTCGCACTTGTCGTATGTGGAATCTTTGCTACCCTCGTGGACAGTTGTTATGTGCGAGAGCAAATGATATTTATGCCCAAATTTTTTCTCGCACATGTCGCACGCGTAGTCTTTGCGACCCTCGTGGACCATCCTTTGGTGCTTCAACAAATTTGATTTGAATCCAAATTTTCTCTCGCACTTGTCGCACGCGTAGTCTTTGCGACCCTCGTGGACTGTCCTTTGGTGCTTCAACAAATCTGATTTATATGCCCATTTCTTTTCACATTTGTCGCATACATAATCTTTATGACCTTCGTGTACTATCTTTTTATGCTTGAGCAAATCTGATTTGTATCCAAATTTCTGCTCGCACGTGTCGCAGGCAAAATCTTTACGACCTTCATGGACTGTTGTTTGATGTTTTATCAAATTGCTGCGAACCCCAAATTTCTTGTCGCATTGGTCACATGTGTAATCTTTGCGAACTTCGTGTATTGTCCTTTGGTGGAAGAGTAAACTCGAGTTTTGGGTAAATTTCTTATCGCACTTGTCACATGCGAAATCTTTGCGACCCTCATGGACTGTCTTTTGGTGTTTAATCAAATTGCTTCGATCTCCGAATTTCTTTTCGCACTTGTCGCATACATAATCTTTGCGACCTTCGTGTATTGTCCTTTGGTGGAAGAGTAAACTCGAGTTTTGAGCAAATTTCTTATCGCACTTGTCACATGCAAAATCTTTGCGACCCTCATGGACTGTCTTTTGGTGGGTAAGTAAATTATATTTTTTTCCAAATTTCTGCTGGCACTGTTCGCAAGCGTAATCTTTGCGACCCTCGTGGACTGTCTTTTGGTGCTGAACCAAATACGATTTTCGCCCAAATTTATTTTCGCAATTATCGAATACGTAATCTCTGCGACCTTCGTGTGTTATCTTCTGATGTCTAATCAATGTCGATTTTCGTCCAAATTTCTTCTCGCATTTGTCGCAGAAGTAATCTTTGCGACATTCATGTACTGCCTCTTGATGAATAAGCAAATGACCTTTTTGTCTAAATTTCTTTTCGCACTTGTCGCAAGCAAAATCTCTGCGATTGTCGTGGACTGTTTTTATGTGCAATAGCAATCTCTGTTTATTTCCAAATCTCTTGGCGCACATTTCACACAAATAATCTTTGAAAACTTCGTGGAATATTTTATTGTGCTTGAGTAAAGTTGATTTATTTTCAAATTTCCTCTCGCACTTGTTGCACGAGAAATTTTTACGATCTTTGTGTACCAATTTTTGGTGCGCGAATAAACTGGATTTTTTCACAAATTTCTTTTGGCACTTGTCGCATACAAAATCTTTGCGGCTTTTGTGTTCTGATATTTGATGTCTACTCAAATGACTTCGAAACTCGAATTTCTCTTCGCACTTGTCACAAGCGAAATTATTTTGTTCGTTGTGAATTGTGTCTCGGTGTGTTATCATACTTGATTCTAGTGTAAATGCCTCTTGACAAATATCACACACGTATTTTTTGTCGTCTAAAACAATGTCATGATTATTTTCCAAGACAACTTCCTCGAATTTCTTGTCATTTTTATCCATTTTAGTGCCTTAATCGAACGATGGATCCTTCAATTTATTGTTATAGAAAATAAATGAGTCAGAGCTATCTTCTGGTATTAAGGCTTGTTTCATGAAGAAAGACAACATTGAAGTTAATTTTCTTTTACTGTAAACATCATCAGTGCGTCGAAGGAATACGTCAAAATTGTTTATGTTCAATTGTTTACAATTAAGCAACCCATTTATCTGTTAATTAATTTTGTTACAATATTTGGAAAATGTAAAATTCTGAAAAATTTTGAGAAAGTTTCTTGATAAATTCTAAGATATTTTTGTTATGTAAACTAGTTTTCTGAACTCAATCGTTTTCGAATAAAATAATGCTAACCTTTTTTTATAATAACATGAATAATTTTCTTCTCGAAAACTATTAAAATTTTTTCGTAATCGACTTGTGTCAATTTTTGCATTTGGTACGTTCTGACTACATATTCGTAGACAAGACAGAATTGTAAATCCTACTGCACTCAATAGCATTTATGGTCGATTATGTTAAGTTTTTTTTAACATTATTTTTTAATTTTTTACCCTAATTTTTCAATGGGTTGGAATGCATTTCCAATCTTTTCGAGCCGTGCTTTCGAAAAATGATCAAGCTTTAATCGAATGAGTCAAGTATGAGTCAAGCTTTAATTTAAAATCAAAAACGTTATTGTAAAAATTACACCGAGAAAAAGAAGAGAATATTTTTATCTAAATTTTTTAGAAATTGTAGTTTGTTCACAGGTTTTAAGTTTGAAAAATTGCTTTATTAGCATTTAGAAGTAGAATATAAATAAATGATGATTTCATTCTGAGAAAGCTCTTTGCCATGAATCGGAAGCGATTTTTTCATACTAATATTTTTTTAATTTTTGGAAATATAATTTTCAATATTCTTGATTTACAATATACTATATACAGTATACATATTTACAATTTTGAATAATCATTTCTTCACGCATTTATCGCATTCGTGAACTTTACAGCCCGCTTGGAATGTTATTATGTGCGAGAGCAAATGATATTTATGTCCAAACTTTTTCTCGCACTTGTCGCACGCGTAGTCTTTGCGACCCTCGTGGACTATCCTTTGGTGCTTCAACAAATCTGATTTACATGCCCATTTCTTTTCATATATGTCGCATACATAATCTTTATGACCTTCGTATACTATCCCTTGGTGATTTAAAAAATCTGATTTACTTATCATCAATTGTTTCCCGCATTCGTCGTATGCTTAAACTTTGCAACTTTCATGGACTGCCCTTTGGTGGGAGAGCAAATTCGATCTTTGTCCAAATTTCTTCTCACACTTGTTACATGCATAGTCTCTACGTCCTTGATGGACCGTCTTTTCATGCAAAAGTAAGGTCGATTTACGACCAAACTTTTTCTCGCACTTGTCGCATGCGAAATCTTTGCGACCTTCGTGGATTGTCCTGTGATGCTTCAACAAATCTGATTTTTGTCCAAATTTTTTCTCACATTTGTCGCATACGTAATCTCTGCGACCCTCGTGGACTGTTTGTTGGTGCCGAAACAAATCTGATTTGTATCCAAATGTCTGCTCGCACACGTCGCATACGTAATCTTTGCGACCTTCGTGGATTGTTCTTTGGTGGTTGAGCGAAGTCGATTTTTGTCCAAATTTCTTCTCACACTTGTCGCATAAATAATCTCTACGACCATAATGGACTGTTTTTTGATGTTTAATCATTTTCGATTTTTCTCCAAATTTTTTTTCGCATTTATCACATGCGAAATCTTTGCGACCCTCGTGAACTATTGTTATGTGAGATAACAAATGATATTTATGTCCAAATTTTTTCTTGCACTTGTCGCATGCGAAATCTTTACGACCTTCATGGACTGTCCTTTGGTGCTTCAACAAATCTGATTTACTCACACATTTCGTTTCGCAATTATCGCATGCGAAATCTTTGCGACTTTCGTGAACTGTTTTATGGTGTCTAATCAAATTGCATCGTTGTCCAAATTTTTTCTCGCATTTGTGGCATGCGAAATCTTTGCGACCCTTGTGGACGGTTTTTTGGTGCAAAATTAAACCATCTTTTTGTCCGAATTTCTTATCGCACTTGTCACATGCGAAATCTTTCCGACTTTCGTGTACTGTTTTTTGGTGGAAGAGTAAATTAAATTTTCTTCCAAATACCTTTTCGCATTTGTCGCACGAGTAGTCTTTGCGACTTTCATGTACTGTTTTTTGGTGGTTGAGCAAATACGATTTTCGTCTAAATTTATTTTCGCAATTATCGCATGCGTAATCTTTGCGACCCTCGTGGACTGTCGTGTGAAAAATCAAAGTCGATTTGTGTTCAAATTTCTTCTCGCATTTGTCGCAGGAAAAATCTTTGCAACTGTCGTGGACTGTTTTTATGTGCAATCGCAAACTATGTTTATTTCCAAATCTCTTGGCGCACATTTCACATAAATAGTCTTTGAAAATTTCGTGGAATATTTTTCTGTGCTTGATTAAATTTGATTTATTTTCAAATTTTTTCTCGCACTTGTTGCATGTGAAATCTTTCCGATCTTTGTGTACCAATTTTTGGTGCGTGAATAAACTTGATTTTTTCACAAATTTTTTCTCGCACTGGTCGCATGGAAAATCTTTACAACTTTTGTGTTCTGATATTTGGTGTCTACTCAAATGACTTCGGAACTCGAATTTCTTTTCACACTTTTCACATGAGTATTCGTTTCGTACATTGTGAGTTGTGTCTCGGTGGGTTATTAAGCTTGTTTCTAGTGTATATGCTAGCTGACAAATATCACACACGTATTTTTTGTCGTCTAAAACAATGTCATGGTTATTTTCCGACACAAATTCCTCGAATTTCTTGTCACTTTTATCCATTTTAGTGCCTTAATCAAACAATGGATCCTTCAATTTATTGTTATAGAAAATAAATGAGTAAGAGCTATCTTCTGATATTAAGGCTTGTTTCATGAAGAAAGACAACATTGAAACTAATTTAATTTTTCTATAAACGTGATCTGTGTTTCGAGGGTCGATGTGAAAATAGCTCATGATCATATTGTTTACAATTAATGTAGCGATTTATCTGTTGTAAAAATATTTGAACATCTTCAAATTATTTTTAAATTTTCAGTTACCATGGGATCAATGGGTTTGAGTCTTTAGACGAATTTTCGGATACACTTTTCCTACATTTTTCCTTACTCCTAAAATTTTGAAAAGCTACCCGTCAGTACCCACGTACAAAAGAACTTTTTATGTAATTTTTTATAACCCTGCGATTGAAAATTTGTTTCTAGAATTGACTCATTCTCATTTTATACATACCTCCGTCAAAACATCCTTGTTCAAGGTTTTCTGTATGAGCCGATGAACCAGAATGCCAGTCTGATCGAACTCCTCGCCGATCTTGGTGACGTAGATCAGTAGCGCAACGAGGGACGACATCAGCCCGACGAAGCGCAACAGCAGCTGGACGTACTCGATTGCTGAGAGCATGAGCCGACGCTCGAGCAGCAGATTCATCAGAAAGTACAGGATGACGACGAAGCAGAGAAAGGCGTACATGACGCTGCCGAGCACCACCAGGGAGTAGAACTTGGCCACCTCGTGGTAGGTCTCGACGAGCGAGCAGTGCATTCGACGCAGCCTCAGCAGCGCCTGGAGACACTTGGCGTTGACGAGGACGCTGCAGCAGCTGGTGCCGGACGAGATGCGCGGTGGCAGTGCCCGAAGCGCCGAGTTGATCCTCGCCGCGACGCCGAGCAGCGACCTCACCACCAGGGCGTACTGGAGAAACAGCCAGGCGACGACGAGATTGCGCAGCGTCGAGCTGATGGTGTAGAGCATCCTGTCGTAGAAGACGACGCAGGTGACGAGCAGCGCCAAGAACAGCAAGAGCTCGAAGCCGACGAGGAGGACGGCGTCGAGGGGAGAGTTACGATCGCGATCGCGAAGCGAGTCGCCGCTGAGTTTCAAGCGGTAGATGCGCGCGGCGAGGCCGGCCGATCTCGTCTGATTCCAGCAGTAGAAGAGGCCGATGGCGAGGCTGTTGACGATCCCGGCGAACACCTCGAGCAGGTCGATGGCGTTGAACAGCTTGAGGGTGCGCTTGTAGCGGAAATTGTAGACCGAGAGAAAGCCCCAGCAGTTGGTCAGGGCGATGAGACCGAGCAGAAAGAGGGTGTAGACGAGGGACGAGGTCGAGTCGACGAAATCGACGCGTGATTGATTTTTGTCGTTGGATTCGACGATGGAGAACGTGGCGAGGCCGAGAGACTTGAAGATGAGAAGTAGGAATTTGAGACACGTTAAGTCGCTAGGGTAGCGAAGGAGGGTGGAACTCCTTTTGGCGCGAGCTTTTTTTTCAACGCCGCTACTGGAATTTTCGGTAATCATCGTCGTGTGAAATTCTGTTGAAAATACAGTTTTAAAGCTCGTTGTAATATCATTAGTGAACGAAGAATATTATTTCTATGCGGTGTAATCCACTTAAACGAATCGATATTTATTTAATTCGCGATAGTGGACGGAAGATCGACCGATTCCATTAATCATAGACGGAGAGAAAAGAGCAATCTTATCGAAACGAGTGTGCACCTGGCTCTCATTGAAATTCAAGTACTTGCTTCGCCTGAGTGTCTTTCGAAATAATAGGTAAAGTATATATGTAAAACAAACTGACTGAAATTTTTTCATTGCGGAGCTTATGAAGCAATCAATCGATTTGAAAGCCTTTTCTTTTCCATGGAAAATATTTTTGACTCATCTATTTTAATATCCCGCGATGAAATTAAAATTTAAGCTAGTTCAAATTTTGTTTACTCATTAGGATTGTTTTATGATTTTTTTTTATTGCATAGAATATATTTTTAAATGTACAATATCATTTTTATTTATTCATCATCATAGTTATAGGCATTAAAATAAATAAGTTTCATGAAAATTTAATTCCAAATACTTTTATTATACACGTTATTTATCGTTCATTTACTAGGCTTAAATACATGATCAGTGCTGTATAGTTGATTGCTTGTCCCGATTTTAACAATCCTGCTACTGTCTTAATGACTAATCTGTTGGAGTTGTTAGTTTTTATGAAATTTAAATCACTAAATCGTCTTTCGGGATCTACGTTTGCATGGGGCACTGATAATATCTTCAAAATAAATGACGAAAGATGCGTAAAAATTGGCTTATTACTGGAATAGAATTTAATATTTTGAATATTATTCCATAATAAAACAATGTTATCTAAAGAAACTGGCACCATTAGACCCTTAGTTTCCGTCAAAATTGTCAGAGACCTCCACTCGTTTGATAATATAGATGCATGATCGTCGTCGGTAATAAACATCTGACATTTCTTTTAAAAAATACGAGATTATATTTTTTAAATCAGTAACAGTATTCAAATGCTCCTAAAAAGCTTTTCCTGAATTTTTACTCATAAATTTAAAACGTATGACGCCATCTGATAATTTTTTCGTAACTAATCACAAACTATATCGTCTGCTACTCAAACATCAACACGAGTTTTAATGTTTACAGAACATTATGAATCGCACGTTCTTTACTACGATAAAAATGCATGAGTCGAAATCAATGACTCAGGCTTTTCGAAGAATGAATTCTGTTTCTCGTATTTTGATATAAAGTTAGTTCCTATTTAGTAAGGAAGTATTTACCTATTTATTTGAAATGTCAATATGACAACGCAAAGTCATGATAAAATTGAATCCGATAGACCTCAAACACCATCGCAAGAGGATTGCTGCGGCAATTCTTGTAATCCATGCATTTTTGATGTTCATCAAAAATTATTGAAAGAATGGGAGGAGAAAAAAAATTGTAAATTTAATGAGCTGAGAGGAGAAAACTATTTATCGCTCACCAAGTACAAGAAATTTGTTGTTAAAAGTATAATTGAGGCTTCAGAAAATTGTATTTATCTCGAAATTGAATGTGTTCCAGGTAAATTTATGCCTTCAAATATCAATAAAATATAAAATTAATTTTTTGTTCTTTTTTAAGATGAAAGATGCAGACTTTTTTTAACTCCAGGCCAACATGTTATGATCAGATTAAACTCGACATCAAAGCCCTATACTCCAATAACTTGGAATGACAAAAAAATTAAATTTTTAATCAAACTTTATGAAGATGGAATAGCTAGTAACTGTTTTAAAAAATTAAAAATTGATGAAGAACTGTTTGTCAGAGGTCCATATGGAGATTTTATTTATAATAGAAATAGGTAAATGAGTAAAGTTTATTATTTACTTCATGACAAATGATTCGTGATGATCATAATTTAATTTCAGTTATCAATATGTAGTTATGTTAAGCATCGGAACTGGGATTGCTGCTGTTTACCCAATTGCTGTTTCAATTTGTAAAGATGAATTAGAAGATACCAGAGTTCATATGTTTATAGGATTTAGATCTATATCTCATGTGCCTTTAAAAGAAGAATTGAGAACACTTACAGATTATTGGAATTTTGAATGCACACTGTGCTTAAATGATAAAAGTAAATATTATTTTTAAAAATACTTAAAAATTATTATCAAAACATTAATTTGAATTGGTCTTTTACAGTGGATGCAAGTATATCAGGAGTAACAGTTGTCAACAAATACTTAAAAGAAGATTATATTCAAAGTCTACTGGACTCTTATTCCAAAGAAACAACATTAATATTAATTTGTGGAACTCCGGAATTTAACAAAATAACAAAAGAACTAATGATGAAAAGAGAATTTAAACATTATGTTTTTAGTTGATATCTACTAAGTTTAAGTGGATAAATGTAAATAATCAATGTATATTGAATTGTTATTATGACTAAAAAATCATAGATATTGTAAATACATTTTGTTGAAAAATATCCAATAAATGAATTTTGGAAAGTTCGACTTTATAAACCTTTTGAAAGAAAACAGTGTGTTATAAAAAGTCATCATTAAAAAATTAATTCAAATTTCATTTTGAATAAATTCATACATTTCTTTTCAATAGGACACGTTGGATTTTAAAGCGAGCTGTGAATCAACTCTCATAAGAGCATTTACGATGAAATCGTGTGACATACGCGACCGTGGTAACGATAACAACTCGCGTTATATTCTATCGGTCAATCTCACGATAGAGGAATCGATGTTATTTAATCCCCGATATAGTGGACGGAATATTGACGGATTCCATCAATAATTGGGGGCAGATAGGAAATAATCAAATTAACACAATGGCAAAGATTTAATTTGAGTAATTTTTTAATTGAAATTTAACTAACTTTTGAGCCTAAATGGCTTAGGCAATTTTCATACAATTATCTTCCAAAATAATTGGTAAAATATGTAAAACAGCCTGGAATTTTTTCATTAAAAAGCTTATTCCAGCAATTTATTGACTCGGAAACCTTTTTAATGAAAAACCTATGCTTAGAATAATAAATGTTACTATTAAGTCATCATAGCTAGACATGCTCTCCCGCATTCGATCATCACACACGCATTCGTGCATTAACGAAGTCACGGCAACATATACAGTAATAAAATAATATTCTTTACACTTTTTCAACAATACAAGCATAAAAAATAAATATTCTCCCTTTTTTTTTTACACAATATACTTCTGATTTCAATAATGAAATAATTAAAATAAATCTCTCTTATACATTAATACTTTACAATGCATTCAAACGGTTTTTTTTCTATTTACAAAGTTTTAAAAATTGACGCTTATGATCAGAGAAAACATGAATGTGATCTCTCTGCGTGTTACAAAATCGTAGGGAATGTTAAATTGATCGGTCCAGCGATCAACATGTCCGTATTTGAACGTCGTTTCGCGCACAAGGATTACTTTCGAGTATCTAAATAATTCTTAAATCTAGTTTACATTTTTGTGCAAAAGTAAGAAACGACAGTATCAATATTTATTATAGTTAATATGAAAAATTCCATGAGTAATTATAATATTGTCGTTGTCTTAAAAAATTTTCACATACATTTATATAAAAAAGAAGCATAAAATCTAATTTTATAGCTCATTAGTAATAAAACGTAAAAATTTTATAAATTGCACAAATGTAGAAGATTTGTTAAAAATTGATTTTACGTAACAATTACATATTCAACTATTTACACACTCCATATCTTATTCAATATTTGAATCTATCTAAACTTTCAATACTCTATTACTTTAAAGGTCCCATTCAAAATTTTTGGATGGTCTCGAATTGAATATAATCTATTTTCATAATAAAGAGTCATTTCAGAATCACTTCACTTTTACACATTTATATGATACTTTTGAGTAGACTTTATACATTATGATTTGCATTAACCATAAAGTTTCCATTTCCATTTTGCATAGGATTATAGAACTTAGGCAGTAAACTTTTTCTTTTTTCTTCTTGCTTCTGATCGTACTTAGCTTTATTGTAACAAAGTACTCCAAGAATAGCAAGTACCATACCAAATATATTGAGACCTGTAACTGGATTGCCTAAAATAAATAGTGTTACTGCTATGACAAATACTCGTTTGCTTGCACTAGCAACTGCATATGTCAGTGGTGTAACTAAAGACATAACAGAAAAAGCAATGATATTTTGAAGCCAGTTCAAAAAACCATCCAAAACAAGAAGTACTATAGTTCGCGTTGATATATCAATAGGAGCACCCGTAACTGGATCGTGCATAAGATTTTTAACATCAAATGCCAACCAAACTGGTATGAATAGAATAAGTGCTAAACGACCCAAAATGAGAAGCAATCTCAGATGATGAATACCGGTATCATGTAGTACCTGCAAAAGATAAAAGCATAAGTCACAATTTATTCGTTATTAGAAACATTGATTTAACAGTTTTCTTATTCTCACCTTTTTTGAGAAAATATTCTGTAAAGAATAGGCTAGAGTCGATGCCAGAGCACTAAAAAGTCCTGTAAAATTAAAACTAAGCTCTGTCAATGTCGCAATAGCCACACCGCAGACGATTGGCAGCAGACTCAAGTAGACTCTTTTGGTTTGATGCTCGGACAGTATCAGCCTGGATAGCACAACAGTGAACAGTGGCATCGTGGCTTTAACTGGAAAGAAGCCAAAATAAAATTAGTTAAACAAACTTGCCCTCCGATTCAATGTCAACTTAAAGCTCTTGAGTTCGAGCATCAAATAAACTTGGCAATGGTCTTGTGAAATTTTTTTTTCGGTTTTATTGAATTCGGCCAAAATAGAACTTTGAGATCTCTCGTCATTTTCAATTCGTTGGTCGGTGAAGCAACAATGATCGATATAAGTATCCACGTTCAACGGACGGACGGAAACAAATAAAAAGCCGGAGGCAATATAATTTTGACACGGCGCTAGTGACAAAGCGCGTTGTCTCCCTCAAACTCTTGGATTTCTGTATTATACTTTCACCATTCAAATCTTGCCCAACTAAATTTTATCTCTCTCTTCGACGTTGCGCGCGCGCGCTCATTTTTCGCAATAAATCGAGAGAGAGAAACAGGCAAGTCGCGCTACGCCGAGAGAGATGTCAAAACGTCAAAGCAGTAAAATAATGTTAACAGAAAATTAATTAACGTTATCAGCGGTGCGCGTTAATTAAATCGAGTCGTCGCGGAAAAACAGGTGCAATTATCGACGCGCCGAGTATACACACAGTGTATACTGTCAAAACGGAAAAACGACTCCCGCGCGTGACAGCTGATATGACAAGAGCATACAGTATGGATTTCGATTTGGTTAAAATAACAGCTAATACGATCGAACGAATCAAGAGACAGAGAGATGCAGTGATTTACAGAGTTTATATTGTTATGTAAATACAGGAAGGAGCGTTGTCAACAATTCACACGCGACTGTGCGTCCACTGCAAATAAAAAAAATCGAGCGAATCTCGAAACGCCATATGTTGCGATCTTTGGCATTGCCATGCTTCCCACTATACGCTGCGAATATCGTCCACGCGGTGCGCGCGAGGAAGCCCGATGTGCTAGCTCCACGCGCATATTATCATATCGACACATATGTGTGTGCACGACGATAGATGCCACATATATAGATAAGGGTTTTTTTTTTTTAGACACGAGAGACGATGCACCACGACGACGATGATAATGGATACGTCGATAACGATATTTACCCGTGTGGGCGTACGACACCGGGACCTTCCAGATGCTGACGTGGCTCAAGACGTTGCTCAGGAACTTGCCGAAAGCCAGGGGAACGATGAGCTTCAGGTAATACTTCCAGGTGATCAGGGTCGAGGACGTCTTGCGCACGCCCCAGGCGCGGAACACGGGCCCCGAGCACAGGGTGATGGTGAGCAGCTGCACCATCGTCACCGTCATCGGGTAAGGGAAGTCCGAGAGCAGCGCCTTGGCGACGACGTTGCTCGACGACGACGAGGCGTACCAGAGCAGACAGAGCAGCACCACCGTCAGAATCTCGCGATTCTCCTTGCTCTTCTCGGACTCGACGATCATGATGGTGTCCGGGCTTTATGTTACTTTTCGTTTATTATTGCGGGTGATGATTTACAGGTAACGACGCGAGAGTATTTTATTACGAATAGTTTACAACTTTTTTCTCAATGACATGATGTCGACGAGTCGGTGTTGGATCGTTGATACACACTACGCTGCAGCAGCACAGACCGCGAGTCGAACTTTCGCACTTTTACACCTATATATAACGAATCTTACAACATAAGTAATATAATATATCGCGAGATCAGCCACCACCGCACACACGCACGCACACGTCAACACACGCTGACAGCGGTGGAACTGCCGAGGCTGACTGCTGCGACTGCTGCTTCGCAGACACACGCCAGAGCGGCACAGTGAAATGATGATTCTCTTTTCGCCTGTATGTATATATGTATAATCAGTGTGTATGTCGCGGGGGGGACGCGAGGTTAGAAAAGATAGCGCGCGCGCAAATTCGATTCGCACGGATGTGATCATATCGGCTTTCGAGTGGCCTGATTTGTCGAGTGATTTAAAGAGCGAGAGTTGTAAGTATCATAAGCGATATGGGTGCGGAATTTCAGGAATTTCAATGAACGATGATCCGTTCGTTAATGAATGACTTCGGAGATGAGCAAATTTTATTTTAAAGTGCGCGATGTTGACCAACAGCTCAACGCGAGCGATTTAGGCAGGGATTTGTAACAATCTTTAAAAATGTTTAATGGTCCCGACAGGATATTTAATAAATTTTATTCGAATGCACTATAACTAAAAAACGACCGGATACCGATCACGCGGACGTGCAGTATTTCACACGCGTTGACCCAATTTCAAATGTATTTATGTTTATACACTCCTAAACCTAAACGGTCTCGACGAGTGTGTTTGGTAATGCATTTTATGGCTCCAAAAGCAATAAGTTCATTACCCAATGGATACTTTATCGATCGTAACTGTATGCCAATACAGTCCAGAGTGCAGAGAGGGTGCAGCGAGACATCGATCAGTCGAGTTCGAATGCCACTGTGGGTCGAACGCGCGCGATCGGGTCGAAATCGGTATGCGAACTCGGTGACTTTGGGACGAAAAAATGAAGAATTTCGGTGAAACATTGCTGGTTTTGGTGACGCTTCATTGTGGCATTGGCTTGGTCTTAGGTAAGCTGATGTCAAAATCCGATCTTCTTTCTCGCATAAAAAACCATAAACATGTCAAAATTGTACCCGACACACAGGTGACTGGCCATCGTCGTCGTCTTTGTCGTCGGAGGAGATCAAACCCGAGTCGGTCGTCTTCTCCTCCACGGAGGATCGCGGCTTCTTTCAGCAGCTGCTGCAGAACATGCAACAATATCAGCATCAGCAGAGCAACGGGGGCGCCGCCGCCGACAGCAGTCGAATCGTGGGCGGCCACGAGGCCAGCCGGGGCGAGTTCCCGCACCAGGTCTCGCTGCAGATCGGCTCGCGTCACGTCTGCGGCGGCTCGATCATCAACGAGCGCTGGATCCTCACGGCGGCCCACTGCACCAACGGCGAGGAGCCCGACGACATGACCGTGGTCGCAGGCAAGCACAACATCAGGACGCGCGAGCCCACCGAGCAGCGAGTCCGAGTCGCGGATTATCGGGTGCACGCAGCCTACGAGGGTCCCGTGACGCCCTACGACATCGCCCTGCTCAAGCTGGCCAGGCCGCTGAAGCTGGACGGACGCTACGTGGACAGGATCGACCTGCCGGCGCCCTACAGCGAGCCCGACTCCGACGCGGCGGTGCTCTCGGGCTGGGGCTCGATCTCCCGGGGTATGCGCCGACTGATGCCGAGCACCCTGCGGAAGGTCGCGCTGCCGATCGTCGATCTGCGCACCTGCGCCGACATGTTCGCCTCCGCCGATCCGGACTCGGACTTCAAGCTGGCCGAGAGCAATCTGTGCACGGGGCCGGGCTTCAGACGCGCCTCGTCCTGCAACGGCGACTCGGGCGGACCGCTGGTGGCCAACGGCGAGGTCATCGGCATCACGTCCTGGGGCTCGGTGCCCTGCGACGGCGGCTCGCCCGTGGCCTACACGAAGGTCTCCTACTTCGTCGATTGGATAAGCGACGTCATGGGCGACGTCGACGATTGAGTCGGGGGATCGAGAAAGTAAATTCGCACGCAGAGAGTTAATTACTAAATTATTATTCTTTATTTTTCTGGTTTGTATGTCAGTCGAATATAGCTGCCAATTCATTTGACAATTTGAAGTACGAAGCGAGTCACACGAGCTTCGTACGTCTGTCTCTGATACTCGTTTAAAAAAATTACTTACAACGTATAGTATAAAAAATTTTTTAAATTATATTGGTTAATTTGATTACCGACACAATTCAATCATGCATCGAACTTATAACTAAGAGCATTATTTACATTCTAGTAGAGTAAACCTCACGTAACAATTAGAATTTTACTGTGAATTTTTTAATTGTATCGTTATATAAATTTTTTAATTTAAGTTGATCGATCAGTACCATTAATCTGGATGCAAAGAAGTGTTACTTGAAAATAAAATTCGTAATTTAATTTATCACATCCAGTTTGAATAGACGTAAATAGATATAAATGTACGTTCATTCACAGTAAATTGCGCAAAACCGTGGAATGTCGAGCGAAGCGCCGAGTTACAGCTGCATAAGGACATTTCACTGATTCCGCAGCACAATGAGTCAGTCGCGACGCAATAACAATCTAAACGTTAACTCGGACACAGTTCAAATGCCAGAAATACACAAAGTGTGCAAGTTCTATTGACAATTTTTTTATTATCACATTAATGTACTCTTTTCCCCTCGATTTATGACTTGCTTGATAACTTATTTACCATTTCATACTGCTACAGATTTACCACGCTGAAACATTAATGTAATTGAATTTAAATTCGTCATATTTATTTGTTGTTTTATTATACCACTGCTTACCTGTGAAATATTCTATCTGCATTAGCTTTGATGCGCCAGACTATAAATGCAGTGAAGAGTGAAACACCTAAACCTATGCCTAAGCTTAATACTTCAACCTTATAAGAAGGCTTCAAGAACATTCTCATACCAAGATTTTCCCAAACTGATTCTGTCCAAGTTGAGTATTTTCCTGATTTCATATCGTAATCTAAAAATAATGATGAAAAAGTTAACAAGCCCTCAAATTAGATCCTACGTGCTTAATAAAAAGTGTTTACTGTAATACTAACTTTCTATAATAAATGCTGGGCTTTTTGCTTGACTGAAATTAGCCGTAGCCTCGACGCAAACACCAGTCAAATTGTAGCCAGCCATCCATAAGAAATGTTTCTCCGAGCATGAAGTTTGATTAAGCTCAGGATATGTAGTACCAGTTAGTAAACCTAGCAACTGACCGGTTAAGATAGTAGCTGCATTGTCGGATCTAACCACCCCAGTATACAAGGAAAGCACTTGATTTGGTAATATAGTTCCTGGTCGTGATGCAGCTGAAAACAAAGTGCAACGAGCACTCTCCAAGTAACATGGCAGCAGTTCAGTTACAAGCTTTTCAATAAGAGTTATATTCTCTGTTGAAGGTTTGCTTCCTGGGTTTGTTATGCTATAAAGTGCATTACCTAGAGTAATTGCAATGTTAGCTAAGCTAGATGGAAGATTTGTAGTCTTGTTACTGAAAAAATCATTAATTTATTATATATTTAAATAGTAATAAATATTTTGTAATAATTATCCATTTCATTCAATTTACCTTGAATAATTGAGTGCTTCAGCATCATCAAGTAAGCCATTGTAATAATTATTTACAAAAGTCTCTCCATGATTCGCTATTACAAGTGTTTCAATAGAAGAGTTTTCTTTTAGAAAACTCTGCACAGAAACTGGAGGTACACTATTGTTCAATACATCCGCTTTCAATTCATTTTTAAGAGTTGTCAATAAAGGATTATCATCTTTCACATTTTTTGAGTGTAAATAAAGTTTTCCCTCTCCAAGTTGACCCAACTCTATTACTGAGCTTATTTGTTCCAATTTCAATGTTTTACCCTTTAGAGCATCAAAATTACCTTCTTTAAGATCATAAACTAATCTACTGGATCCAATATAATCCATTGTTTCACCATTTAACAGTGAAAATACAATATTTGTATCTAAAATTATTTGAAAATTGTTAAATATTCAAAATAACTTATTCAAGATGATAAAACCTTACCACTAATAGTTGCATTCAACATATGAAGATATGTTGCTGTAGCCAAGAGAGTAACAATAGCTGTAACTGTAGACCCAGCTCCTGGTACCAAATTATCATACATTGAATTGGAATCCAGTTTAGCGATCACCATAATAACATTTTTAATGTTATCACTCATTGGGCCAACTGGCCAATGAATATTTTGGTCACCTATTGGATCACAGAAGAGAGTTGGGTGATACAGAATATTAGATGAGCCTCTTTTTAAGCAAGATTCTGAATTAAGAGCAGCAAACATGAAAGATTTCATTTCTAGAGCACACAAGGAGCGCTCGTTTTGCTTTTCTCTATCATGCGCATTCATCTTTAGGTAGCAATCTTTTACTTTTTCAAGAACTTCGTTGTCCTAGATAATAGAAACAAATGAGATTTTTCATGCAAAAGTTAATTTTTATGAAGATAATTTAATATACCTCAATGTAAAACATGGGGAAGGGCCAGTCTTGTAGAAGTAAAGATGAACCATGGGGGTTCCATGATTCATTACAAGTAGTATATCCTGAATATCTGTTTGGACAACTGTCATCAGGTGAATAGCTGGTTGGACGATCTAGACTTGTATTTCTGTAGAGTAGAACTCCATTAACATCTACATCTTCAAACCTTTTCAATGTTTTCATTGTAAACATATCGAAAGTTAAAACAATCATGTAAGGTCCAGCAGTAGCATTTTTTTCCAGCCAAACAATATCATCTTCATTTTCGACAAAATGAATAACTCCAACGCTACCAGATCTACTTGCTTTAAATTAAAAAATAACATTACTCAAAGCCATTATAGTTCGGTTTTTCGATTTAAAAAGGTATATTTACATGAACAACCGAATTGGTGCGTTCCATTATGTCTTCTGAAACAAGCTGCAGATCCATGAAAATCATAATACATCATATCCCTGAGTTTCTGGGCAGCTCCTGAAATCCGACAGTTAAAAATACACATGTCATGTCATGGATTTATTTATCTTATCTGTGCATTGCCTATCTAGGTTAAAACTCACCGAAGCCAATGGCTGCGAACAATAACATAAACAGTAGGCACCTCATATTCGAAACTAAAACTAGAACTAGGTTCTTCAACGATAAATACAAAAACTATTTGCCACTGTTTATGGTATGTTGACAAATTTTCACGTCCATTCTGTATCAGTGAGCGAAGCAAACGAAAAAACTTCGCTTCTGTCTATACTCGACGATGACTTATATATGACGTGTCGCATGCGCGTCAATGTCCAAACCAGCAGACCGTTCGCTTTATGCATTATTGCTATTTGCTATCGATATGTCCACACTGTTACTGTAGCCAACTAAATTGCAACAACGATTTATTAAAATTTCATGAAGTTGATAATTTTGCATAATGCGATTTATGTTGTGAGCTAACACTATGGATGAATTGAAGGTAGAAGAAAGTTATCATGAAAATACTCTCGAAAAACTGAAAAAAAGTCTAACAGCAGACCACATATAAATATTCAACTCACAAATAAAAGTGACAGGTGGAATAATTACTTTTGTCATAACAAACGCTAGTGCAACAATAAAATGTCAATTATTTATTGCTCTGCACCATTCCTAAAATAAAAAAATAATTAAATATTAATTTGTGACAAAAAAGAGGCCTGTATTACAAACATGAAAAAAACCGCAGCCAGTTCCTTGTCAAACAGCTTCCTGATGAAATTTTCCTTCCTATGTTTGCGAAAAATATAGTAGTTAAACCTATTTTCTTCTCCTGTAATTTTTAAAGTTATCAATAAGTCCAATCGTTTTCGATCTTGAATTAAAGCTTAGCTAATCATCTTTTAAAATTACGTCTCAAATTAAAAAACAATCAATTTCCGACAAATTACATTTTTCTTCTTCACGATGTAATTTTTGAAATAATCGATGAATCCGAACGTTTTTGATCTCAAATTGAATCTTAGCTGCTCATATTTCGTTGCTCAAAGTGTACAACTTCTCCAAAATTACCATTCCTGGTAATGTTTATGTTAAATTTTCTACTTTTTCTTGTCTTAAAAACCATTTCTAATTTTACATATATGTATATAGAAGTTTATAAAATTTTATTAATTTATCTAAAAGGTTATTACTTGAATTCAATAATTTTGTAAACAAAATTACAATTGCAGAATATTAAAATTATTGTATTTTTTCGAATATCGCGCTTGAAAAAGTACGGTTCAAATCACAAGTCTACGCATTCAGCGCGCTTTTCAGTCGTTGTTGTTGAATCATGAAATGAACAAGTATACACATTTTTTGTTTTAAAGTGTTGAAAATCAAGATGAGTCTAGAAATACCAAAAAATAATTCCAAAGAAAGTGATATCGATGAAAGTTAGTCTTTACTCATTTGATTGCTATGAATTCAAATACTACGAAAATCTCAATTGATATCTTATTGCTCGTATTTGATTTTTATTTTAACCTTTTTTATCAGATCGCAAGGACAAAAATGTGAGCTATTTACTAGAAAGTGTTCCTCAATTGGAAAAAATTTTTAAAGTTATTGGCAAGATTGGCGAGGGCACGTTTAGCTCTGTATTTTTGGCATATCTCAAGAGCAACCCCAACAAATATTATGCTATAAAACAATTAGTACCTACAGTTTCGCCTAATCGTATTTTACGTGAATTGAAATGCCTTAAAGATATAGGGTGAATTTTAAAACATATCCATAAAAAATGATATTTATTGGTCTCCAATTCATTTTCAAAATATTATTGTTTTTTAGTGGCACAGATTATGTAGCTGGAGTAGAATTGTGCATTAGAGAAGCTGGAAATGTGGTATTCGTCATGGAATACTTGTACCATGACAAATTTTCTGTAAGTACTGTAAATTCTTGTATAGAAAACAAAATGAAATTAATAAAAAAAACGTTGACTCGTTTTAATTATTTGGAATAGGATTATGCACTCAATATGCCTACAGAAGAACTAAGAGATTATATGAGAGCTCTTTTAACAGCTCTGCGCAGAGTACATCAATTTAAAATTATTCATCGAGATGTTAAACCAAGTAACTTTTTGTACAACAGACAAAAAAGAGAGTAAGAATTTTTTTCATTCCTTCAACAATATAAATTGATATCAATATAATCAAAAAACAATTTTGATTTTAGGTATATGTTAGTAGATTTTGGCTTAGCTCAATCTCTCGACAGTATAAGAAGTAATCCTGCAATTTCTCGAAACAAGTGTCATGATGAGGTACAACAATTTATGACTTAAATTATACTTAAAAAATAATGCATTTTTCCATTAATCAAGTTTTCTTAGCAGAATAAAGTCAATAGTTTGATAAAAGATACAAAAAAATCAACATATATTAGATGCGAGTGTTTCGGAAAACCCAAAGTATGTTCTATCTGTCTAATGAGACCAGAACAAAATGTCAATCGAGCTGGTACTCCAGGTTATCGAGCCCCTGAAGTATTATTGAAGCATCATCCACCTACTACAGGTAAGAAGCTCAATAAGATTGAGTTACTTACAAATGTTCAAGTTAGTTAAAATATCTACTTTGTTCTAGCCATTGATATGTGGGCTAGTGGTGTGATGATGCTTTGTATCTTAAGTTCGTCGCATTGTTTTTTTCGTCCACCAAATGATATAGCTGCACTTGCTGAAATTGTCGCAATTTTTGGCACCGAAGCTGTACAAAAATGTGCCAAAGCACTCGGTAACTTTAAAAATTTCTGGTCAATGTAGTTGCTTTTATTTAAACTAACAGTTCCTTAAATTGATTCTCAATAGGTAAAAAGTTTATATGTAGTACAGACACACAAGCATTAGATCTGAAGGATCTTTGTCAAAAATCACGCAAAAGAAAAAGAAACCCTAATAGTAAATCAAGCTCATCTGTTTTGGTAATATTTTATTATAATTTCACACAAATAATTAAAGCCATAAATTACTATAATTAATTTTATTTTAGCAAGAAGATTATCCTGATGCAGCTTACGACTTACTTAAAAAATTGTTGGACTTAAATCATGCAACTAGAATTACAGCTGAAGAAGCTTTGAATCACCCATTTCTTAAATCATAGACTGAAATTATTGTTTATTAAGTTTAATTAGATTTTAAAGAAATCACAAAGAGAGATATATTTATTACTCAAAATAAAATTAAAGATATATATGTATTAGGACATGAAATGGGGACGTAATTTAGTATTAAATGAATTTGTAAAGTTTTTAATATATTTTATCGGTTGTAAATAATCAACATTACATAAGTTTAAACCAGTATCATTTAGAATGATTCCAATTTTATTCAAAAAATTATTCATTATTTACATAATTACAGTTTCAAATCACTTAAGAGTAATTTATTAAAAATAGTACAAATTTATTGGCTATTCTGTCATAAGTATAGTTTTTCATCTGTAACTCTCTAAGAAAGCATGTTCAACTTTACTTTTGGCAATAACAACAAAAAACACAGGAGTGCCATTATTAACAATAAATTGTTTGTGTTGCAAAATAGAACCTAATGATTGGTCTATATTAATTCTATGAAGTTTTTTATCTTTTCCTGCAAAATAAATATTTAACTTATCTACTTTATAATTTTGGTCACTATCCCATGCTGGTGATTCTTTGAAAATTTCTTCTAATTGTGCTTTCATTGATGTTGTTTCTTCAAAATTTTCAACAAAGTCTGTTTGATTATTTTCAGGGTAAGCAAAAATCACTGGCCATACCAACGAACCATCAGATTTTAAATGTACATACCATTGACTATCTTGAAAGAGATTTGAATCATTATCAATATTGATTTTTTTCAGATCAATGGCTTTCTTTATTTTTTCTTGAGTTTCTTTTAGTTTTCTTTCTTTAGCTTCTTTCATTCTAGCATCTCTCAACTTCAACTTTTTGTTCTTTTCTGCTTCTGCTTTTAATTTAACTATTTCATCATCTTGCTTGTTTTCTTTCTTTAAAATATTAAGTATTTGATTACAAAATTGAATACACTGATCATTATCTTTCAATTCTAAACAACATTTTGCAGCTGTATGCATAGGTTTTATGTACTGAGGTGAAAATTGCAATGCTGATCTACAATCTCGCAAGCTCCATTTATAGTGTTTTAGTTTTAGCTGTGACAAAGCTCTATTACTATAGAGTTGGGACATCAAGTCTTTGTTTTCAGATTTACTTTCAATACCTTTGGTATAAATATAAACAGCTTGCTCGTATTTCTTATGCTTGTAATTGAAATTTCCATCTTCTTTGTAACTTTGAGCTAATTCGTCTGGTGTATTGTACTCTTCTCCATATTTTAATTGCTGAAGTCCTTCGATCAATGGAGATACTTGGTTTGGGTCATCTGAAATTTTAGACATGAAGAAAGGATGTTTTTCCATTTCTTCCTCCCAACGATCCTCGGGCCATCCATCAGTATAAGGTTTTTTTTCAAGACTATTAATAAAGTCATCCAAATCTTGCTCAAGCTTTCCAGCTAGTTCTGCACGTTCTTCCTCGGTGTAACCTTGTTTTTGCGCATCTTCTCTAGAAGCGTTGTCACACATTTTAATTTTTGATTACAAAAATGTAAGAAACTATTTCACGATTCACAAATTTAATGATTTATATAAGCTTCCATAAACAATTAGAGAAAATGTTTGTTACAGCAACGTAGTCACACGTTATGATCAACAGCCTCGTTTCTACGAGCGTGTAAACACGTGCTCCTACGCATTCGCAACACCAGCTGGGCTGGAACAAGTGATAAGTGTATTTCTACAATGAAAATCTGAACATCCAAATCTCACTCACTTTATGCATTTGTTTAGAGTAACTATGTCTACTGAATACATATAGTTATTGAACATTTTTTAAAATATAAATTTGACATTTTATGAATTATAGTTAGAGTGATGATTGGAAGTATTTAGAAAATATTCCGAATAATATATACTTACCCCTACAGAAATTGATCGCCACACTAAGTCTTTAGAAATTCTTAAAAACTCTTAAAAACTCTTAAAAACTCTTCAAAAGTCTGAATAAGTCTTTAAAATTCTTACAAATTTCCAGATTTCGTACCATGATTTCAAAATTTAATAAAACTTTATAAGAGTTTCAATTAGTATAAAATTTTTTTATAAATTTATGTGAAGGGTTTCTAAAATGTTCAGAAAAAAAATTTTAAAAATTTTTACAAGTAATTTTAATTGTTTAAAAGAATTATAAAGAGTTTTGAAGAGTTATAAAGAGTTTCGAAGAGTTATAAAGAGTTTTGAAGAGTTTTTAATAGTTCTAAAAACGTTTTTGATTGATCGACGCTCACCAAAAATCATGTTGAAAAAACTATACGGGCAACGATATGAACAATACATAAAAAAAAAAAAAATAAATGGAAAAAAAACTTAACACTTTTGCCAAAAAGTCGAGTTTCCACAAGGTTTTATGAATTTTTAAAAACTCTTTTTAACTCTTTAAAATGATTAATCAGGTGTACGAATTTCTTACATTTATAAGAATTATAAAGACTTTTTAAGACTTTATAAAACTATATCATGAGAAAAATTTCCGTTGGGGTAAGTGATAACAATTTAAATCATGTGTAATAAATACCGATATTTTGAAAAAAAAGATTGATACTTTTAATGTACTAGTGATATGAGGTGCTTGTTCAACTCGCATAATCGGATTAACTAACTCCAGCTAACTCTGAATATCTCGCTGGTGGAAACAAGTCACTTTTCATAATACTTTAAACGTGTGCAGTGTCTTTCTTGTAAATTTACAGACTAGAGTTCGGCCATTTATTCCTTATAAACAGTGCGCGAAAATAATAAAAAAAAATTATAAACAAGATTTAAAGTGCTTATCGGTATTACAGTTTTGTCGTTCGAGTGTGATCATCGGATTTCTCATCGGATTTTAAGTAATGGCCCTGAAAAAAATGGCTTCGCCAATGCAGATTAACGCAAGAATTAACATGGACTCGAGGGAAAAGGACGAATACCTCACGCGAGGTCCTTTTGACATGGTCGCAGTCGACGAGTATGAATATAAAAAAATCGAAAAAATCGGAAATGGCACGTACGGTGATGTCTATAAAGCAGTACGGCGAGAGGACTACTCCCTGGTTGCGATGAAAAAAATTTTTACGGAGCACGAGAAAAGTTTTCCAATAACCGCAGATCAGAGAAATCAAGCTGGTGAAGCCACTTGAGCACGAGAACGTCGTTAAGTTTATAGAAGTTGCCAGATCCAAAGACTATTTCTTTACGGAGCCGTGGCCCTTCGAGTTGAAAAATTTAATGCAGTCGATAACGACGAGCAATTTTGAAAAAAACTAACGCCTAGCAGCAGCAGCAACAACAGGAGGCAATAAATAGCGGTCTTAATAATCACGACAGTTATGAAGATCGAATTGACTAATTATTTATAGCGCCCTATTTGTTTTTATTTTATTAATCAAGTTATAGAATTACTTATGGTAAATTTAAGATGATATGGACATTGCAAACTGTATGATATTCCGCTGCGATATAATAACCATGGGCGTTGAGTACTTTTTAAATAGTGAAAAATAATTTTCATTTAAAAAATCCGCGGAGATCAAGACGATCATAAAGATTCTGTTAAAGAAAGAAGCTAGAATTAGAAAATAGAAGTATAATTCTATTTTCAAGTTATAAATGTTATAAAATGTATATATTTTTATAGTCCTGTAATGAACATAAGTAACGCTGAACCGTATCTGTATTGCGTGCTATAGATTGTTGTTTTATAAAAAAGCAAAGTATGAAAATGGTCAGTACTTGTAAAATTACTAGTCGATATAATTTACCGACAATAAATAATTTATTGTTGGTTTTCATACATAGATTATTTATACTGGATTAACAATAAAATTTTTGTAAAAAAATAAAATATATGAAACATCTGAAAACTCTACATGCAAATCTTTTTGACTTAAACCTACATAGAAATCTGGTAATTAATTTTCGAATGCTATAATTTTAATGTACGTGTGAATTCGATCAACATCACTAAAGAACTTGGGAGTCACAATGATAAGAATCAAGTAGTGGTAAATTTGCATTTTATTATGTCCACCTCCAATCTAATTTCATGCATTTCCAATTGTCGAGGAAGTAAAGCACTAAAAAAGGGGTAATCTTTGATTTTTTAAACAGCATCTGAGCATGAGAAAAATGCATTTTAGAAATGCTTCTTGCCAGCCCAATTTTCTTGATCCACGAAACATCAGTAGAAATGAGTCTAATTTTATTTCTTGAGGTCTCTGAAAACAAATATCAATACGAAAAAAGTCCCAGACACATCTGGGGCCCAGAACGGGCCCTGTGTACCTCGTCTCCTGGAGATCAATAGAAATATTGAACATATCCCCTCGAAACTCGTAACTCATTGGTTTTCGAGGTCGCTGAAAACGAATACCACTGCGAAAATGACTTCTAAGATACCTGGTATCTTATACGGCGTGTGCGACCGATATTTCAGAATTTTTACACGTTTATTAGCGTTGAATATTTAGCGTTGAAAGTTTATTTTTAAAATTTTCCGGGTAAAATTGAATTTTTTAGAAAATCTTAGTACGCCGTAAAAAAACTAAGGTAATTTCATATTGGAAACGTTAGAAATTAAGTAATTGCGCTTCAAAAGGCTGTGCGGTCGTCGGTTTAAAATACTTACAACACTTGGCATGAACGTCTCACGAAGGGCTCGGCCGGGGGCACATTAAGTTTCCGAATGCTATTTCAACGTATGAATTCAGCCGACATAACTGAAGAAACTTGGTAGTCACAATTAAAATAATAAATTTAAGGATATTTAAAATTTTTGTTATTTTAAATGTATATGTTTTGTTATTCTGAAAGCTGTGGGGAGTTCAGAAATAAATGTTTGAATTTCAAAACGTTCAACGCATATTCAATTTTATGAATTTCAAATATTTATTTGAAAAATATCTAATACTATTTTTGATACAATAATTTTCAATATTCTATTTCAACGAATGAATTCAGCCGATATAACTAAAGAAACTTGGTATAGTCACAATTAAAATAATAAATTTAAAGATATTTAATATTTTTGTTATTTCAAATATATATTTTTTTTTATTCTAAAAGATGTGAGGAATTCAGTAATAAAAAGTTTGAATTGCTGAAGGTTGAATTTATTTGAAAAATATTTAATACTATTATTGTTACAATAATTTTCATAATTCTATTTCAATGTATGAATTCAGCTGACATAACTAAAGAAACTTATGACTTATGATTAGAAGAACAAATAAAAACTAAAAAATTTTAATAAAGATTGAAAATTTAATAGATAAATATCCATTTACTTTAATTTTATAATTTTATAGGTACAGTTGTATCTCGTATGCAGACTTTGCTCTCATTTGCTAATTTTTATATGTACAGTTGTAGCTCGTATCCGGATTAGATTAAGTATTAGACACTATTCCTATGGAATATTCTATTCTTTTCATTTTAGTTTATACAATAATCATTGTTTGATTTTTAACTTCTAGCATGGTATTAAATTGTAATAGTAAAATGTCAATCTTTTTATAATTTTGGGAATTTAGTATTCATTTGACACACTTGTTTAAATAATTTGACTATACATTCAAATAATTTGACTATGCATTCGAATAATTTGACTATTTATTCAAATAATTAATTTTGTTGCATATGCTATGTTTTATGCATATTTTATTTACTTCATTTTGCCTTTTCAAAATCTTGGTATGCACAAAAGTATTTTATTTTTAAATTTTAATTAAAAACAATTAATCTAAAAAAAATAAATCGATAATATCTATCGATACGAATAATGTAAACTTAATACTTGAATTTAACTTACTTGTAATCCAACTTATAATAAAAGCAAGTGAATAAGGCGACAAAAAATTATATAAATAACTTTTTACGCCATATTTTGGCCTTTATTTTTTGCTTAAAGTACAAACAAATCTAGTTTTGTTATACTATATCACATGATATACTTATTATATAATTATATATACAGCCATACATACAGAAATGCCATAACAAAACTTCATAAAAATTATTTATGAAGCTTTTTTTCATACTGTACAACAATCTCAGAGAAGGTCAAATCAAGTCAATGTGACAGAAAGTCTAAATAAACTTATACAGAAAATCAATTAATTAAAAAATTTCAAAGTAGTTTTTGAATAGAAAAAATTGCAAAGATTTTAAATCTTTGAACTAATGGAAAATTTGTCATATTTTGACTGAGAATTAACAAATAAGTAGATTTACTTAAAATTATTTACTTAAAATTTACTTTAAAAATCATTAATTATTGCGAAATCCAATAATATTTTGCTAAAAGACTCTGTCTTGATAGCCTGTGTCAGTGACCACATTATTGTGAGGTTTCTGAGATGCTGTGACACCAGTGGCTGGTCTCATAGTGGCTCGTCTTGGAGGTGCGAGATATTCAAACATGCTTTGAGAGTGTTTGCTTAACATTTCAGATAAGTCACATGGCATTGGATCTGTCCAAAAGAAATCATGATTCAAAGCTGAGTCAGCATCAAATCTTTTAGCTGGATTTAAAGCAAGCAATTTGTCAATAAGATCGCATCCATAAGCATCTTTTACATATGGTCGCAACCTATCTTTTACTTTTCTTTTTTGATCTTTTATTAGCTCTATTTTATTGTAAAGTTCTAAATTCTCAACACCAGGCCAAGTAAATGGGTCAATTGAACCACACAATTGACAAATTAATGTCAATTGTTGTTGCTCAGTGTTGCCTTGCATAATAGGAGATCTTGTCCACATTTCAGCCATTATACATCCTGCGCCCCACATATCTACCGGCGTACCATAGTTTCTATCACCTAATAAGAGTTCTGGCGGCCGATACCACAATGTAACAACTCGATTTGTGTATCTGTTAGCTGTTCCATTTTTCTGGATGCTAAATGCTCTAGCCAATCCAAAATCAGCCAATTTTAATATACCATTTTTTGTAATGAGAACATTTGCTGCCTTCATGTCTCTATGCAAAATTTTATTGCTGTGAATGTAGTAAAGACCATTGAGTAGCTGTTGCATTACTTTCTTGATTTCGCCTAGACTGAATTTCACATTGCCGTTGGATAGAAGACCAGCAAGATCGTGTTCACAAAAATCAAAGATCAAATAGAACGTTGGTCGATAACGATTATGCTGTGTAGCTGTAAGAGAGTAATAAAATAAAATTAATTAGATGTTCAAAAGTTGATAAATAATATAAATTGCAGGGCAAGGGTGGCAGCATACAAGTCATTATTGGGAAATATTATGTATCTTTTTTGAGGGAATTTGTAGGTTATGTTTTGTTGGGGTATCAAAAAACACCATTTTAATATAAAATAAACGAGTATTTTTTACCTTTTGTCCTGCAGATCTCAATGAGATTGACGATATTTTCATTTTTCAGCAGCTGCAATATTCTTATCTCTCTGAGAGCAGTGATAGGAAAGCCTTCCTTTTCATTTTCCATGAGGACTTTTTTCATGGCGACGACTCTCTTTTTTCCACCTTTTTCAACGGCTTTGAACACTTCTCCGAAAGTTCCTTGACCAATTTTGGCTACCTTCTCGTACTTCGAGGACTCTTCGCAGTAGGGAAAATTGAATTCCTCCATGTATTTGTCCTTTTCCTTTTGATTCATCCTGATAGTAGACTCTCGGCTGGAGCTCTTGGGTTTATTAGGATGATAGCCATTTGGAATGCTGCCGGACGAGCTGGCCGCGCTGGAACTTCTCGACGACGAGGCCCCGGCCTCCGTCGAGTGCGACCTCGGATGAGGTGGTGTTTTCGGCATTTTTTCAAATTAATTTCTGTTAAATTCGTTTGTAAAAAGCAACACTGTTCTGCTGACTCTATTAACACGAGGTATAATAAAGCCACGTGTTAGATGCACGAGAGAAAAAACAGAAACTATACAACACTTTAGAAAATTCAATGACTACACTGCACTTCTATATGATACTCGTGACTGAGACAGGCCGCAAATGCTACACAGTACACCGCCAACGAGTCTCAATGAACTGGTATAGCAGTGGTGTAGCTCACATGGACATTGGTAGGTAGTCACTAGTTACTGCCTCGATCCTCGAGCATTGCCAGCAGCAGTGTAGGCAGCTCGGTACATGCGCAGCCGGTGCTGCGTGAGATCGTCTAACATCGAAACGAGGAACGTGAACGCAATGGTGGTGGTGGCAGTAGGCGCAGTATTTGAAACAGATTTAAATCTCTGCATATAGAATACTACAATTGTCAATGCAACAATGCAATTTTTAGTAATTAAAAAATGAATAAATAAAGTAATAAATATTATTGACATTTTTTGACAAGAAACTTGGTCAAACGATGAAAATTTTCAAATGATTTTTAGCTATGATTCTAATGGAAAAATACATAAATATTTATAGATATCTATAAATTTATTAAAATGACAACAAGCACGATCATTTATAAAATATTTCATTGTTGACAAATTATTGATTGTTTAAAAAGCTTTGATAATGTGAGAAAAACAATCAAATATACTGTGTTTGCATGTAAAAAAGTTCCCTTACACAGTCTTATTTATTGCAATCAATTTTTTTAAAAAAGGGTAAATGGTGTGATCATAGGAAAAAATCGTTTATATCATAAATAATATTGTTTAAACGACCAGTTTAGACTCCGTAAGAAACCAAACAATTTCTTCCTTTCAAAAAATGTTTCGTATTTATGAAATTGTTACGCTAAACCAAATCTAATTCTGTCCAGTTCACGGAGTAGTGGACAGTGGAATGGAAGTACAAGAATTCCGGCGTTCCAGCGGATAGAATTCTTTTCTGATTAAGATGATCTACGTGGTGTAATCTTTCAAACGGAAGAAGAAATTCCAGCTCCATTTCCGGTGTAAAACTTTTGCCGCAACACAAAACATATTGGAAAAATTTGGGCAGATTCGTCAAAATAATTTTAAAAAGTTGTTATTATATTAGAAACGAAAAAACTACGCGGTTCGATAACGTCGAATGATTTTTCTCTGTTTGTTATAATTTTCAAAATCAATAGTAGTGCAGTACTCATACTTTTTTTCGCATTGTGCCAGCTATTGGGCGTCGAAGTCTAAAAATTTTTCTCGAAAAATAATGCAATATTCAGATTCCTCGTTGAATTTCACATGAATTTGAGTTGTCACATTCCACCCGCGGATAATTAATACTATGAGAATGCGTTTAATTGAGATTATTTGTATCAAACGCGTGTTAATTTCCGGGGGTACGCCGCCATATTGGCGTAGCTGTAACAAATCTACACTCGGCAACAAAATTATCGCAACAAAAAAATTCATCGAAAATTAGTCGATTTTCAAATGCTTCTATCTTAGGCTAGATTTATCGTATCGACACGCTTTTTTTTTTAATTTCTTGTAAATTTTGTCCTCTTTAAATCCATATAAATTAAGATAAGATTCGAGTTAATGTTGAGTTACCAGTAGTATTTGAGCGCGACACTAAAAATTACTGAAAAAAAATGACTGTTTGAACGTGTACCAGTAACACAGTAATTTTTCTATCGAAATCTAACATACACCATCGCAAAGTGCTCTTTTCAACGAGTAATTTAAAAAAAAAGGACCTCTCTACGATTTTTTTAACGCCCTGTAGGTCGTTTTGAAGATACCATTTAAAAATCCACCACTTCGCGCATTTTACTTTCACATTTTACAAGTGTGCGGACTCAACTTAGACATTTTCTGCTTTGCTCTTGACGCGGCCTGTTTAGGAGCTTTCTAACAGTCGAATTTGTTCATATACATCCCAATAGACAAAGCTAAAAATATTACGTTTTCACATTTTTCGTAAAAATTGAACGTGGGCGAAGCCACGACGGGGTCGCTAGTACTTTATACATCTATCGGGTTAGGTTGCCGGAATGTTCTTACTAACCAAAAAATCTCTATTCCCCGGCCCTAGAACACGAGAAGATTTCGGCATTATCAGCGCATAGCCGATATACAATCTACTCGATCGACCGCAGGTAAAAACGATCTCGTCCAATCGCCCGAGTCGAAGTTAATAGGAAGTTCCATATAGATGGACTACACGCACCGTCTCTCTTGTATTTCTCACGTTTTGTTCTGGTAATTTAGTCTTCAGCTATACCAATAAAAACTAAACTAAAAAGTAAAAAAAGTCTTTCTCACGTGCTTGCGAACACGGACGAAAAACTGATGCGATCGCGTTCGGCATTTTTCGCGTTTCGTTCTCGTCTATACCATACGCGTATGTATGAAATATACATACAGATCAACCGCACACATAGTTCAACAAATTACAATCCATCGGTATTTGTAAGTAGAAGCTCGCTATTCAACCCCCACGAGGCAACAATCGCATATTCTCTTTGCGGCCCTTTAAATAAGCTTAATATCTATAACTGACGCGTAATTCCGCTTAAAAGCTTTGCACGATACGCATCTTTTCATATCATATATTTATACGTTAATGATACAATACAGTATAGACTCTTTCGGTATCCCGAGCTCGATACTCGTCTTGTAATAATTCATAAATAATAATATTAATGCAGCCCGGGGGTCGAACGTTAATCAAGAAATGTGTGCCACGCGCGTCCTTTTTTTTATATTATTATCATAACATACACTCTATATCGCGACGTAAAAATCTCTCAATTTGCGCGCTTACATCCCTTTCGCGAAGGTGTCGCAGGCCTCGATTGAAAAGCACAGTCATGTGCCTGCATTAATGTATTGCTTCGCGCGCCTCGGGTAGAAGCAAGTGTTATTTTTTTTATACATGCGAATAAAGCCCTAAGTGCTCTCAAAGCGTCGGACGATTATCTTATCGCGTGCGCGCGCGGTGGTGTATTCGAGTAGATTGCTTTTTATTAATTTTCTTAATGCTCGCGGATTCAATCCTTTTTCCATGATTGTTGTGAGTTCGAGGGATGATTTTTGCTTTTTTTTTTACTGATTCGAGGCTTGATTTCGCCTGAACGATCGAAATCAAATGTCGCGTAAGTGTTTTCGGACAAATCTTCGAGCTTTTTTTGTCATCCATCGAAGTGGAATAATGAATTTTCATCCCCCTTTTTTTTGGTTCTTAGTAAAGAATAGAGAAGCATCGACAATTATTTTTCGAGTCGATCGATGTACCGAGTGAATCGTTGTTATATATGGGTCAATTAATCGGCGTGACTCTGCGTACGTTCGACGCGCAGCTCAGAGCTTCCTCTTCTTCATCCACTTCTCTCTGTGCCAGATGCCAATCAAAATTCAGGATTTCTATGTTGATTTTTCCGCGCCTCGTTTATATGGTGGCTCTATACATAAACGATGTATTATTCCTCCACCCACGCTGAGTGAAACGCGACGTCGTGCGTCGGTATGAAAATTCAATTAAAACGAGAAATGACAATTATTTCAGAGCGCAAAAATAAACAAAAAACATAGGAAAGGAGATAGGAAAACGACGCACGACAATGTCGCGCGTATTATATATTTTATAGGTATAAAGTAGTCGATAAATAGTCACGGGAAACGAAACGAGTTTATAATTTTCTTATCCTCGCTATACAAAAGAGAGGCACTATACTATTGTGCAAAAGTATAAAATGGCAAATTACTCGCTGCCGCCACTGCCGTGTGGTGTGTGCGGGGGGGTTGATTCTACCCCTTTTTCCGGCAACAACGTAATACACACGACGAGGCGTGTTCCGACGGACGTTTAATAAGTGTCGTTGGCGACATTTCTATTTTCCAATTCGCAACATTTTACATATGCATCGGAAGTGGCGTATCAACGAGGCGGCTATGTAATTGCGCAGCTAATAGGAACAACAAAAGTCGCAAGTTGACTTTAAAGGCCTGCGACATTTAAATTTGTCGACGTAACGATAATAATAAAGCGTTGACATCACGTGAACTACGTATGTATAACATAGTGGTATTCATCGACGAAATCTCTCGGGAAAATCCCGAAAAACATTTGAATGTAATATATATAGCAAGAGATAGGGACTGTTATTGTCTTATCGTCGTTGTCGGTTGCACGATACAAAACGGTACACAAAGCGTGTGTATCATTATAAATCATCATCATCATCGTCGTCGTCGTCGTCTTTCGCCGCAACAGATTTGTTCCCTTTTATATATACACGAAAACACCAGGTCCTCATATACATATTATAAAGTGGTATATATACAACGTTGCATACACATAGTAGTAATATAAGGATTCAGCAGCAGTAGCAGCACGAGAGCAGATCGAGAGCTCGGAGCACCTGCCGCGCGCGCCAGGCCCACGTCCAGTAGTACCAGAGTATCATCCTTGAGAGTTGAGACACACTACAACGCGTATATATAATAATAATTGACTCGCTGTATACGCGAATTTGTGTGTGTGTGTAGCTTTTACAGGCCTATTAAAACCGATGATTTTTCTTCGGTCCCCTTCTTTCTTAATATACACTCTCTCTTGGGTTTCGCGCGCTCGCTGGCACGCGCCAAGTATCTCCCCTTCGCGAGCGAGCGATACTCGCAATCCTCCTCCTTTTCTCTCTCTCTCTTCTTTTGTGGTTACGCGCGAGCCGAGCCATGGCAAATGTATTCCTATATACGTTATAATACGCGGCTTGTGTATATCGATGCGTTTTCGCGGAAGATTACAATGAGTAGCAGCAGCAGATAGTAGAAGAAGAAAAAGAGCGTGAGATTTTCACGCGCCGCGGCTTTTCGGTACACTACTACTCGATGTATAATAACGCGCCGCGCCTCTGTATATTCTTTCCTTTTTTTAATTTTATCTCGCTTTTTATGAGTTATAAACTCTTTGCGCTCGCTGGCGTGGTGCGAACCGGCGAGGATTTGTCTTCTTTCTTCTTTAACGCAACGCTGCACCGAGAGAGCGAGAAATTAATCTTTGCCAATTTGGCCGAGCGCTAGCTGCAGCTGATATAATATAAATATCAATTGCCTCTCGCATTTTTTTATTTTTTTCAGAGAAAAATTGTAAACTGCGCGTCCAATTATAATAATACGTGTCGTCG